TTCGATGCTGCCGCCGTTGTTGCTCGCTGCTGTTGCTGCTGATGCCGCCACGTCGCCGCTATTGCTGTCGCCGCCGCCGCTCCGTGTCGCTGCTGCTCTCGCCGGCGCCGCTCTACCACGTCCTTCGCAGCACGACGATGGCCCAGTCTGCTTGGATCGGGAGGAGCATGTCACAGCGGAGTCCACCGCCCTGCGGTGGTGCTCGAACGCTGCAACAGCTGTCGTCCACCCTGTCCTTCAGCACCCCCTTCCACCGCCCCCGCGTTGGGACCCCGCTTGATGCAAATGCAATGGTGTTGTGGTGAAGAAGATGAACAGTATGGAGAGAGAGGAGAGGAGCAAGGGAGAAGATTGGGACAATTCTGTCAAAAAAAAAGAAAATGCAATTAAGGGGTAAGCAGTGGCATATACCCAATAACCATGAAGTTATAATGGCATGGTTACAATAGTTGAATACCAATGATATATTTCAAAACCGGCAAACTTTTATAGTGTGGCAATGTTTGGCAAGCAACTAAACAGCCCCTTCGCAATTATTTAGGTCTAGACCAGCCAACTCTCTTTACTATTTAGGGTGTGTTTAGTTCACACCAAAATTGAAAGTTTGGTTAAAATTAGAACGATGTGACGGAAAAGTTAGAAGTTTGTGTGTGTAGGAAAGTTTTGAGGTGATCGAAAAGTTGAAAGTTTGAAGAAAAAATTTGGATATAAACTCGGCCCTATGTCTACCCTTTATGAAGGATAAAGATATGGCATACTCCTATGTACCGAAACACTGACAATACTTATGGATGCTAACAAAATTATTTGGAGGTAATTAAAAGAATAAAGTTATCCTATCAAAAATAAAACTTTGATAATAGTGAAATATTGCCAAACTGCAATTCACTCTACTCAATTTTTTTTTCTGCCTTTTACCATCTCTTTAATACTCGCCACTCCCCCTGTACTCCCACCTTTCGGTCTTCTTATTTAGTTCCAAACTTTTTCTTTAAACTTTTAATTTTTTCAACATATCAAAACTTTTTTACACGTAAACTTTCAACTTTTTTAACACATCGTTCCAGTTTCTTCCAAAAGAATTTTGACGTGCAAACACACCCGAACGAGCGAACGAGGCGGCGCCGCGGCGCTTCTTCTTCCTCTTCCTCGATAACAAACGCAGCCAACCTCCGCTGGAGCCCGCCCGACCTCCGCCTCTCCTACCTTCTCCGGCACAGGAACCGACCGCCAGCCGTCGACCGGTCGGAGGGCTCCGCCTCGTCCAGATCTGGCCGCTGCTTCCCTCGGCGGCTCGTCGGATCCTGCTGAATCTCGCGTCGGCGTCGGCGTCAGCGGAGGGAACTCAGGAGGGGATCGGTGCTTCGCGTATTGGGGGGGCCTCGATGGTCTCCCTCCCCAACGCCGCTCCGACCGTCTCCTCCCCGCGTGGCCCGACGAGGCTCGCGGGCATGGCCGACGAAGGGACGAGTGCTCTCGCCGGGGCATGACCGACGCCGGCGTTGGACGGGAAACCTCCGAGCTTGCGAATTCGATGCACAGGCTCGGTGAAGAACGGGTTCGACAGGAACTCCACCGGCTGGTTGCCTGGTTGCCGTCCCGGCCTCAACCAAACCAAGCCTAGCCTAGCCTAGCCTGACGCGAGTTCCTCTCGCATTCGGGTACGGCACAGCGTCTTTCTCGTTGTTATCTCCAAATAAATTGCAAAGAATCGCCAGTCCTAGAATCTAGGTTTTACCCTTACTGTTTGCTTGTTTATTATTGAAGAAGAAGAGGGGGTGGGGTTCACTGGAGGAAGTTCATTGGAGTTTATTGGGGGTAAGGAGAACAGCCTTCCAGCATCTCGCGTTTCCAGGATGCTGTCCAGTGAGCTTCCGCAGGTTTGGTTCCCTCGTCTATATCGCCTCTCTCCTACTATTTGCGTGTTCTATTCACTCCGAGCATTAATGCGCAGTCCGATCGATGGTACAAAGCAAATGTGTAGTAATTCATATCATGCAAAGTCACACTGTGATTGCCTTATGCTTCATCACTGATATTTAACGCAAACTATGGTCACAAATCGACTCCTTTTTGCCGTAGGATTGCTGCATCTTAGATTTTCTCTCTGATTCACAGCGATGAGGACTGCAGCAACAATCCTGCTCACATAGAATCTGCAAACGACTTGATTACACCTTACATTTGTAGAGAACACCTTACTGTCTGCAGTTCTACATAATTCTTAAAGATTCACTAATATCAGAAACTTTATACCATGCACGAATCTGACCACCCATACTCTGCATCCAAATCTCTGAATGATCATGGTCCACCTCTCTGTGCACATGGAGGGATCATGTCCTATCTCTATGTGTACATGGAGGGTTTAGTGAGTAATTAATTAGTCTATTCATATTCCCCCCCCCCCCCCCCCAAATTATCATCTCAATACCAACTTTCTTTTTTTATTGAGAACAGATTAAATTTCCATTGACCTGGCTTAGGAAGAAAGCCTAACAGCAGACAGTCTTTACACAGAAAGAAAAAGAAAGACACATCCACATGGTGGTAACAACATAAACTGCATTAATCCAAAATTGTATCTTAGATTTTCGCTGTAAGATTCCCATATCTTAGATTTTCCATGTCAACTCACGGCAATGAGAACTGTAGTAACAATCCTGCTTACATATGCCCAGAAATAACAGAATTACATCTACCTTCGTACAAAAACAATCCTTTCTGCACTTCTACCAAACTACAAGATCCACTAATAACAGAATTACATCTTACATTCATAAAAAAAGCAATCCTTTCTGCACTTGTACCAAACTACAAGATCCACTAATAACAGAATTACATCTTACATTCGTAAAAAAGCAATCCTTTCTGCACTTGTACCAAACTACAAGATCCATTAATAGCAGCAACCTTAACCCATGCAAAAATGTAACCACCTATTCTACATCCAAATCTCTGCATGCTCATGTTCCTCCTCTCTTGCACATGTCAAGGGCGAATGGGTTATTGATTAATTGGAGTGGAAATACGCCAACCTGTGATTACACTGGAAAAATAACAGAGAACAGCCTATAGTCACGCTTTTGCATAATGTCAAAATGGAAAACATTTATTTTACAAAGAAACCCGTGCCAACCTGATTTTATTGCATTTAGTTATTTTATGTTCTTCACTTATTCTGATTATTAAATATTGTAATGTCATTTTATTTTTATTTTAGGAGCTGCATTTTATTAATTTTGTACTTAAAATGGGGAAGTATCTAATGTGCAAAAGGACAACACCGAAACCTACCCATGGTAAAGAAATAAGTGAGAAAGGGAAGTCAAATCTTCAATTTGAAGACCTCCCGGCAGTATCTTCTCTTCCCCATTTTGTGTTCATATTGAATTATGTACTGGATTTCTTAACTTGAAGGTATGTTGTTCTTTCAATTCAGGATTTGATATGCACAATTTTATCAAAATTGCCTCAGAAAGAGGCAATAAGGACTAGTGTTTTATCAAGTAAGTGGAGATCCATGTGGACGCTTCGCTCAAAAATATCTCTTGATGGTGGAGCAGTGTGTGGTAGTCGCAGGCGTGGTCAAAATAAATATTGTCAGAGATTCATTAATAATGTTGAAAAAGTTCTACAGAATTATCAAGGAAAGATGGTGGAAGCATTTGGAATTAAGTTTGAATTTGACAGCATTCTAGTTGATAATCTGAATAAGTGGGTTAGTTTTGCTGTGTCAGCGAGGACAAAACATCTATCTTTTGATTTAGTGCCTATTAGATTTGCTCGTTGTGACGATCGGTTCATATTTCCATTTGAACTTTTAGACAGTGGAAGCATTTGCCGTCTACAACATCTTCAATTTAGCTTTATCTCTTTGCAACCACCTTCCTGGTTCGGAGGTTTCCCAAACCTAAGGAAGCTTGAGCTTAATTTGGTGCATGTTACAAGAAAGGAACTTGAGAACATGTTGTGCAACTGTTGCTGTCTTGAGTGGTTGAGCATGGTCAGATGCCATCTGAAGGATGACCTTAGGGTAGATCGTCCGATGTCCCATTTAGCCTACCTGCTTATTAGTTGCTGTGTCATAACCAAGATAGAGCTCCACGCTACAAAACTCTCTACCTTTATATATGAGGGTGAATTTGTTCCAATTGTCCTCAATCATACGTCAAAGCTGGTCAATGCACACATTTTCATTTTTGACGCCATTTTTCACCATGTTGTTGCTTCCCTTTTCCATGGCCTTCCAAATGTCCACAAGCTGACATTATGTATTCCTGATCTACAACTGGAGGTTTTCCCTTTCAACAACTGTGAACTAAAAATTCAGTTTTCCTAGCACTGTTTGGAGAATGATATTTGTTTTTTTTTTAATCTTTCAGAATCTATGGTCGTTAGATAACTCACTGAAGTTTTCCTGTCTCAAACACATACAATTGTTTGCGCACATATTATCTCATGGTTCCGACAAAATTCTGTACTTAGCTTATGTCATGAGGGCTGCACCCTTCGTTGAAAAGGTGGAAGTGCATGTAAGTACTCTTCTCATTTTGTCTTTGCTACTCAGTATTTGATAGCTCTCTTGTTTATGTATTTACTGAAGCTCTTCATGCATAAAAAGGATTAGCGAAACATGTTGTGTCGAAACAGTGTAAGATTGACCATGGGTATTGTTTTAAATATATACTTAGTTTGGTGAAAGTATCATTGCAAATCAAAACTTTTTGTGGGCCTATACCTATTTGTGCACTAGGTACTGTAGCATGTGTGGTATTGTTCAAGTGTCTTTCATATTCTCAGTAATACATGGGACCTAGTACTTTATAACCTTAGTAGAGGAAAGATGGTGAGATGTGGAATAAATAAGAGCACCAATATCAGTTTGTGATACTTAATTCTCAGTCTCAACGTTAGAAAATACTATTGAATGTGCCATGATTGTGTTTGTTAGTTTACATTTAAGTTGGGTAAATTTGTTAGTTAGTTTTATATTTACATGGTAGAGCATTGCAATAATTGTTGGCAAGCTGTAGTAAAGTGATTTCAGTCTCTGTTTACATCTTTTTACCTATGGAACAGAACCAAACATCACAACAAAACATATTTTGGTTATTAGAGGTAGTACACAACATAACATATTAATGGATCATTGATGTTCTAACAGGGCTTCCTAATTGATTGTATCTAGTTACATAGTCAAGCTAGAAATCTGTCATTCAATGAACTAAGGTGTTCTCAAACAGTCCTTTTGTTTGCAAATATCCTATTTCTTTGATGTGTTCAATCTAGTCTATCAAAATATATTCATATATTTAATGAAATGCTACACATACTTCCAGTAAAGTAAATATTTGGGAAACATGTTTTAGTTACTTCCATATGTGGTTTAGACTTTTAGTTATGTTATGGCCCCTCAGTGCCAGACGTTCTTTCAATGTTTTTGTCTTTATTGTTAACAGTGAAATTTGTACTTTTTGAGCTGAAGTTTGTTAACCTGATATTTTTGAACTTTTTGCAGTTTGCTAGCGGTCATAGCCTATGGTTTGCACAAGAAGGCCCCCTTAGACATGAACTTGGGCACGATGAATACAAATATCTGAAGAACCTTTGTGTTACAGGATTCAAAGGGGCTAGAGGACAACTTGAGTTTCTTTTACATGTTGTGGAAAATGCAACTGCACTAGACGTTATAACTGTGGATACAACTGAAAGAATGTTGGAAAGTGACATTAAGAACGACTATCTCTGCAGTATTGCTCGTCAGACTATCGAACTTCATATCCGCGAGGCACTCCCACCGAAGGCGAAGCTCTTTGTTCTTTAGGCTCTGCCAAAAAGTCTTTAAGCATGCATTTAGCGGAATGTAGTGGTGTGCTCCCCCCCACCCTCGATCCGTATGATGTGCCCGGCTATTCAAATGCATGTCTAGGTGAAGATGTGAGGATTGGGACAGGGGATTTCTAGATTTTTGTGTGTGTGTGTGTGTGTAAATTCTACTGAAAGGGGATAAAGTTCGATTGTTCTGTCGCAGTTTCGGTTTCTGGATATATCTGATGCTGTCTTTGTGGTTATAATGCCTAATAGCAGAAAACCTGTCTTCTGACAAACTTGAAAAGGTTGTATATACGACTGTTTCAGTTGTACAATCCAGTTTTCTATTTCCAGTTCTATTTGGGAATTCTACTATCATGTATGTGTACTACTGAATTCAGCAATAGTAGGTAAAAACAAATGAACTGCAGTATATGTCTTGGACTACCTTGTCAGTTTTTTCTTAATCGTGTAACGTTGACCAATAACCATGTATGCATGTCGACATGCCAATAAATGTTCTACCAGTGTAGACAGTTCACAAGATCAAATTCTAAATTTCTAATCATTTTAAGGCTGCACATATTGTTGATAATATGGATCACACGATTTTACTTTGTGTTTCTTGTTAGTTTTGTTGAAAATTGGAATATACCTAAGAGATGTATCTTTATAAATAGGATAGATTCACATTCTATTTTTCTGGAATAATGTATCTTTATAAATAGAACTTTTCCTGCAAAGAACCTATGAATATTGCCCACCTGCAAAAACTAGGATGTCTCGATGCTTTATCCTCTCTGATTCCTGTTAAACACATGGGAGATTAAGGAAACTCCAACTTTCATTTCATTTGTCCCAACTCCAACTTTCATTTCATGTGTCCCAACTCCCGAACTTTGAACATGAGATCATGTCCTTCCAATGTCCAGTATATGACAATATTATCATAACTGTGCTCACCTTTCATGGTGCAAATGTTTGCGCTGGCATGGATAAGGTAAATTGACTCAAGTACAGAACGGGTATATCATCATATATCATCGTTTTGTAGAGCAACATATTACAACGGTTTTTCACAGGATTACTTACTATTGATGCCTATGCTCACTTTAGAATACCAAGTTGAGAAGAGCAACATAACAGATAAATCTGTTACAAGAAAAACTCTAACAGGCTGTCAATGAAAAATGCTAAGCTTAAGGTGAAATAGATTGGAGATTCAAAAGTTCTGGCATCGATTAGATTCAAAAGGTTTAACTCAAAAAAGACTTTGCCTAACAGACTCTGCAGCACCAGAAGCATTCAGACAGCAAGGTACAGAAATGAGGGTGGGGGTGGGGGTGTGTCCTTCACCATCTACAGGACATCCACTCGCTGCTGTCTTTCCCGCTCTCCCTCATGTCTTTCAACCGTCATGAGCACAAACAAACTTCAAGGTCCCTGACGAGCTTCGACTGGTTCAGTGCTGAAGCAAAGTACTGGTAATCACCATCTCGCCGGGCAGGTCACATCCTTCCTTCTCTGCACATAGTGATGTGATTTGATTCAATGTTGTGGACGTGGAGGAGTAGCACAGAAATCAGATGTGAACGCACAGAGAAACAAACAGAGATGAGTGGGAAACTTACAGAAACAAACTGAGTCGGCATTTGGGAGAGCACATGGTGAAGCCAGCCAGCACAGCGCAATATCCTGTAGATGATGAACAGACATGCGTACCGACGAACTCTGCATTATTTTAACACTTCACAGTTAGCACCAATTCAGCAGCAATATATTTATAAAACATCAAATGCTGCATAATAAACTTACAGGCAGAAGGCTTCTGTTGGCCTTGGGCGCCAACATCAGCTGCGCCCTTGTTTTTTCCTTTCTCAGCCGCAGCCAGTATAGCACATACGGCGGATACAGGCAGCTCAGGCAAATTTCTGGCAGCTTGTATGGCCTCGTACTGCCCTAGCTTCACCTTGACGACATCTCCTGTCAAGAACTTGTCAGCTTTCTCGACCTGGAATAGCCTGCGGATTGCGCCGACCTCGTCAAGGGTCAGGGCTGGACAAACGTCCACCTCGACGACGTCCTTGTTGATCTTCCAGTTGCTGATGAAGTCCTTGGCGTCCTCCACTGACTTGAGGAGGATCTTGAGAGGTTGCTCCTGGCTGCGTGCATCCAGGAGCGCCAAGAGACCAGGCGTGTCGTTGAGCATACTGGCCGCAGTGCATGCCACCCCCACGCGCCGTACTACCTCGCCGCCGCTGCCCAGGGCCATGCCGAGGTGGAGGAGCGTGCAGCCCACCCCGCGGGAGACGGTGGTGGTCCTGTCGATGACCACTGGCACGGGTCCATTCCTCTCAGAGAACTGGACTTGTCCGATGTGGAGAAGAAAGGTTCCGTAGCGGTTGCAGGTTCCTTCCCACTGCTTGAGCATCTCCCCCAGGTTGTTCAGGTTGCTACCCCTGTCGCCGATGAAGGTCACGATCCTGTCGATGGTCCCGCTGACACCTTGTTCAGCTGGCTTGTCCTCATTAGCAGCATCCTCGCTACTGCTAGCAGACGCCTCCTGGTCGATGCTGTTGGCCTCCCTCTCCCCTTGTCAGTATCTGAAACACACGCACAGAAAAAGGAGAAGCACAAGTAAGGAAAAAGGCTGGATACTGTCGACGAAAAAAAAAATCGAACACACCGGCCTAGGAAATCTGCTTAACTCCTGTGCAGGTCCAAAGATTGATGAAATGCGGGCGTGCCAGTCAGTTTGATCCTGCAACTGACAAGATATGCAAATAGTAGATCAAAACAGCCAATCGGCTGATAAGCCGATGGAGTAGTTCCAGCCGATAGCCGATAATAGCCGATGTCGATACCAGCCGATAGCGATAGGGTTTAAGCAATCGGCTATATGTCAAATGTAGATAATGATATAAAGGCAATCGGCATGATGATGATATAATATAGCAATATAATCCAGTAGAAACCAATCGGCTAACAATATGATATAGTAGAACAAGTATTGATCCGAAGGTTAAAGCACCCATCGGCTGGAGGTCCGATGTCATGAAATTCACAAGATTAGATTAAACAATGAAACCTTTGTTGTCATCGGCTAAATCCAACTTATATGTATATGCAATCCTTATGAGCCGATGCAACGTCCAGATAACTCACCGGCTGAAACCCCGATGATAACCCTTATTGGCAATCAAGAAGCAGGCTAGAGATTATGGTTCTAAGCACGACTTAGTAGATCAAACTTAACTGATGCAGCACTAAGTATGAAAAGAAACATAATACCTAGACAATCAAGCCGTTGACTGAGTTTTCAGGGTGGTAGATGTTTAAGCTAATCTAATCTAGCAACGCGATTTAGCCGATACCGGCAGAAACCCTAAAACGAGAAGCAGCCGATATAGCTAAATTGACATGCTAAGACTAGATTAACAGAGACATATGATAAATAGGTAGGCAAATATATCATCCAAACCAGAGCAATCCAAGAGGTCGAATGTACTGATGCAGCCTTGAACGACGCCGACGTAGACGATACAATTGCCTGGACCGGCGAAATATTGGATTTATCCCTTCGCCGGAGATCGAAGACGATGCAGCCCTGCGTCGGGTGCCAAGTCCCACCGGAACGTAAAAACAAAAATAGAAGTAAAAATAGTGGCGATGCGCCGAATTATATTGATCGTGAAGATAGTTTACAATGACCTCGAGTGTACATATTTATACCCATGGGTTGATACAAGTCCTTGTCGGACAAGAAAGAAACCCTCCTAAAGATAAAAGGAAAAGATAAAATCCTTATAGGACACTAAACACACTTTCCTAAAGATAAAAGGAAACTAACAAACTATTCCTAATTAATAGATAAACTAACATGCCGCATCCTCTTTAAACTCAGTCACTTAGGGATAAGCTTCCTTTAGTAGATTGATTTCCTTAACCGAATATAGCAAAAATCCGACTATTGGCGACTTGATAACTCCCATCGGCCGATTCCGAGATGATGCAGCCGATAATGATTCTAAGCCGATGACATCTTTGCCGATTATCAAATTTCACTGTTAATACATCTTTTGAAGGATTAATAACACGATCATGATCTCTAGAAACAAATAAACAGACCAAACGATTTGAATAAATAACTAGTAACACAATCATGATCTCTGGAAACAAATAAACAGACCAAGCGAAGAAGCTGCAATTCTTCCTCCAAAAAATGAAATGAACATGAAAGACAAGTGCGGTGCGTCACAAAAAACACAACGCTTAGTAGAATCACCAGGTTTACCACACAGCAACGCTCGCTTAGTGGAATCGCCGCACAAACCAAACATGGAGACAACACAACTACTGAACGAACGATATAAGCGGGCAATTCCTCCCAAAAACATGTATGACGTTGCCCGATTGTCAGATCTACACCCTAAACGAACACAAAAACGAAAAGAAACTATCAATGCTAGGACACAGCCACGATAGATCCGGAATGGGAACTCAAAACTGCTTGAACAAAGAACCACGATCAGGACGCAACAAGTTTCAAACGCACACGCTTCGAGCCTTCGAGACGCAGCCACTGCGAGATAAAACGCACACGCGCAGGAAGAGTACACGAACAGAAACCAGGAAAATTAGATGAACAGAAACGCCCTCACGAACCTGAGACTCCTCTTGCTCTCTCGTGATACTGTGGAAAAAGGGAGGAGAAATGGAGGGGAGATTTCTGATTCGGCGCCTGATCCGGCTTCCCCCCCCTGTGCTGCTTATATAGGCCTCGCGTCCCGGAGGATGCGGGGAGAGGTGATCTGCACCTACCGCTAAAGTAGTATCAGCCACTGACATGCGGGCCCAGGTCCACATGTCAGTGACTGGCCTCGCGTCCTGGAGGATGCGGGAAGAGGGTGATCTGGCCCGCATGTCCGTGGTTGTTACTGCAACAGCGGCTGCGTAGAGAATCCCGCTGGTCTAGCAAAAGTCGGGAGGGATAGAGAAGCGTGGAATTGCACGGGCAGTCTTGCGGCGTGGATGTAACCGGCAAAAGGGGCGTGACAAGGACGATCAATGCAGTAAACGAAATAGTTACAGCGGTTTCTCGTAATCCAGTCAGTTGAAACTTCAAAGCGGAAATACCCATCCACTACTTTCATACGGAGTATTAGAAACTGTATGAAAATCGAGCACTGAAGAAAAATCGAAGTGACAAGCTCTGCTGTGCCCCCAAAATTAAGCCTACATGGCTACAGTTCACAAAATAAGGCATATGGTCTGTGTCTAAATGAAGATAGCTTTGCTGAAGGGAAATGGTGTCCTACAAAACTCTTGCGAGACCACTTCAGTTTCAGCATCTTGAAGCTACAAGATCTCTTGCTCTCGCCTCACTTTACATTCACGAGTTCCACATCAAACACGAGGGTTGAGTTCTGCGGTATTGGCCCCATTCTTTTGTTTCCATACCTACAAAGGGTGTTGAACAAATCAGATTTCAGTAAACCCCACCTTTTATGGTCAAGGTTGTAGAAAACCACATTATGGCTTGTGGCACAAAACCTCAGTTATTATGGTTCTGAAGTTTCACAAAACCCCACCCCTATACATGTTTGAGTGAACATTTACTTAACATTTTAAAATAAAGTCTACATGAAAATTTTAATTGTTGATTTCATGACTAAGGTTATTGGTTTTATCTTCACTACTTTAAAATACAATGTTTCAGATATGATAAAATTAATTATGATTTGAACAAGTGTGGGGTTTTATGAAACACTTAAACCATAAAACTTGTGGTTATGTGCCACAAGTCATAATACATGTGGTTTTCTACAACTTTGACCATAAAAGATGGGGTTTTCTGAAATTTACTCGTTTTTTTTTTCTGAATGAAAATTGAGAAACTGTTGATTGCAAAAGCAATGTGATGGTGTATCTTACCCCATTGATGGTGGGATCGTGAGCCTCCTTTTGTCCCCAACACGCATACCTACAAAACACACAAGATCACACATGAGAATCAGCCGTTGGCCTTTAGTGGCCTTCGAATACACCTGCAGCACTACTCAACAATTATGTGTTGGATTACAAAGATGCAAGGTCATATACCATTGATGCCTATATCCCAGCCCTTAATGACCTCCCCAATACCTGCAGCCAAAGGGACATTACAATCAGTTTGACACTAAACTGTGAGGACAAAGATAAAACATCCGCAGGAGGGTAAGAAAGTTACCGAGTCTAAAATCAAATGCCCTTCGACCAACCGTAGAGTCAAAAATTGTGCCATTCTTTAGCTTGCCAATGTATTTAACAGAAACCTGGAGAAGGATACAGTGACCAGTAAGAGTATGTAATATATCTATAACCAGAGAACAAAAAGCGATCAAATAGGTTATAACCATGAAATTCGTGCAGATAGACTGTAGTCACATTAAGCAATTGAAAGTTGAGTATGTCGAAGTTGGTACTACTTGAAGCAACATTGATAGGATACATTAATAAATAGAAGCTTGAAGGGGAATCTTGATTTTGTACTCTGTTGGAGATGTTTACCTTTTTCCCAGGAGAGGCTTTTTTACCATCTGGTTTGCCCATTTCTATCTCCTCAATTATCATACCATTGCCAAAAGTGCGTGTTTGGAGCGGCTGCTTCTTGCTCTCTGACCCCGTAAGATCTGTATTTGATGTCTGGTTTCCTTTAGCATTCTTCTCCTGTGTTTTTGGTGTCTGGTTCTCACTTTCATTCTTCTCCTGTGTCTTCTTTTTCTTGTTCTTTTTCTTTTTGCTAGCCTCCTGTGCAGTGTCTTCCTCAGCATCAGTGTGGCTGGAAGAAGTCATCAAAAGAGTTCGTTAAAACAACAAAGAGGTGACTTGCAACAAATACATGGATAGGAAAAACATCATTTGGCCCTTAAGATACTTACATATGTTTTGTCTTATCGGTATTCTGATGAGCACCAGCTTCTGCTTCTGAGGTATTTTTGTTCTTGTTTTTCTTTTGTTTTGCATCAACAAGATCAGCTGGAGAATCTTCCTGTTTGATCTCCTTTTCCACACCGCCCACAGCAGTCTTTTTGGCCTTGGCCTTTTTATTTTTCTTTGACACTCCATCATTTTCATCCTTTACTTCCCTGAAAAATATTTTACAGAACATTACAAAATGTTACTATGCCTAGCCAGACAAATCAGGTGGTGCAGAAGAGGAGGTACCCTGAAGGGTCATGATGGTCGCCAACAGCACTGCTTTTCCTTTTCCTATCTTCAGTGCTCATCTTGTTGTTTAGGTTGCCTTTTTTCTTAGAACTACCATCAGTTCTTTTCTTTGATTCAGAAAATGATACAGGAAAGCCATCTTCATCTTCGCTTTCCAAAGATTCAGCAGGTGGAGTCCTAACAACAAGCTGCAGTTTAGAATCATCACCATTTTCGCTGGTTTGCTTCTTGTTTGATCCCTTTTGTGCTCCACCAGCAGCAGGCTTGTCATCCTCTTGAATTTCCTCAATAACAACTGCAAAATTTCATCAGAAGTCAGGAAGACTCATAAATTGGTGTTAGCTGAAGCCTAGAGTATTCAGAATTTCCTATAATGTAATCTTAATGCCAACAAAGAAATTAAATACTAAGAAACAGTAGTTCTATTTCATGGGATGGGAAATAAGACCATAACATTCACTTTGGCTAATCCTGCATGAGCACAAAACTACTTCACTGTGGTGCCCCTTGACACACATACAGTATCGCAGTCCACAAAGAGAAATGCTCGCAAGTGGAAACTAAAAAACCATATCCTAATGAATGTTCTTCTTGGTTGAATAAGCAACAGATGTAACTAATGCTACATATGGATATCATTAAGAAATAGTAGTGGGGAGCTTCAAGCCTTGGCATCTTTCACAACATGCAAATAGGCATATAATCATCTTACTCTGGGCATCTTATGCATCAAAATATGGAAACAGGTAACTTTGTCAACAGACACAGGCCAAATACAATTCCGCAGCTGTATGTTTATTGTTACTCTAGTACCATATGGTGTAATATTTGTAAGATGTACCAACTGAATAGCTCATGATAAAAGCATGGATCTCACATACATGAACCATAATGCAAAGCTTAAGAATTAATAACGATTTAAACCATCACCTGAACTTTTGCCTCTACGCTGATTGTATATCATCTCTGAGTCATCATCCTCTGAGTCATACTCTGAATCATCATCTTCACCATCTAAATATCGTGTGGCCCCAATGTCAGTACCCACTATTCAGCAGCATATCTAAATGTCTTGCAAAAGGGAATAAAATATCAAATCATAACCTGAGTTTCCAGGAGATAATGGGATGAGAACAGTGCCATCATCAGCGCCACTGTCATCATCATCAGTATCCAGAAAAGCATCATCATCTGAGCCTTGCAGAGAGTCACTACCAGTATCACTGTCATCTATCTCCTCCCCATACACATCACTGACAAATACCTTAAGGAAAAAAAAACAAAATGCAGCACAACAATTCCAAACAGCGACTAACACCCTACGGACGATCAACTAGAATCAAATAATAGCATGTCACGATAATGCGCGCACAAAGGATACCCAATGTAGTATCCAGCGAGGTGGACGCTCCTCGGCCCGAGCACCGAGAACGTGACGTGCTTCTCCTCGAACTCGAGCTCCAGGTGGCAAGTCTCCGACTGCCCCGGCACCAGGGCACACAGGAACACGGGATCCTTGTTCTTCACAGTGCACTGTAACTGCACCACGTTCTTCTTCCCACCGCCGCCCTTCTCCACCTTCCCAGCCTCCCCTCCAAGCGTCGCCTGCGATTCCCCATCCATCACAACGTCAAACAACAATGGAGCACGCACACGCGCACAACACAACAGTATAAACATCTCACGCCATTAACACGGAGCGCATCGAAACGGCGAAAGCGCGAGGAATCGGGAGGGGAAGCGAACCTGGGTGAGGCGCAGGCGGCCGAGGCGCGGGATGTGGGTGTGGGTGTAGGGCTTCCCGGGCTTCACCTCCGCGCCTGCGAGCGGGTAACCGAACAAGCAAGCGATTAGACTGCAAACCGAAAACGAGGAGAGAAGCGCCGCCGCGGCGGCGGCGGCGGCAGCGGCCATGGCGATCGAGCAGATTACCCCAAAACGACGACATGGTCGCTGCTCGACGGATGCGTCCCGGCGCGTGCCTCGGCTGGGGGGAGGCGGCGTGGAGGGGATTCGAATAAGGATTTGGAGCGTGTGGAACTCTGGGTTGGAGAAGAAGAGGAGGCGTCGCACCGCGTCGCGGCGAGAAACCCTAAAAATGGGGGGTTTAGCGATGCGGCGGAGCGAACGGAAAAATGGGACGCAACAAGGCCTGATAAACGTGCGGTTTCCCCTCTTTTCTGGGCCTTCGGCAATTGGGCCTGGAATGGAAGAAACAAAAGGAATAAGTCCACCTTGACTACCTTAAAATTGTTCCGAATCTAATCCATAACCCTAAACCGCAAAACCGGATATCTCGACCCCCAAACTATTGAAAACCGGTGTAATTTGACTCTCTTGGTGGTTTTGGAGGGTGGTTTCGCTGACGTGACGGTGTTGACCTAGTTTGTGGGGTTGACGTGACGCTTATGTGGCATTTGAAACAAAAATATATACGTCGGGCCCGTTTGTCATCCTCTCTCTTTCTTCTTCCTCCCCTTTTCCTCCCTTCTCTCTTTCTTTCTTTCTCTCTCTTCCCTTCAGCCGGTGGCGGGGAGCTTGGACTGGAACGACGGCGAGCGGGAACCAGAGTGGTGGCGGCCGGCGGGATCTACAGCGGCGGCGACAGCAAAAGCAGCAGCAGCAGTGGTCCACATATCAGTGACTCAACTGCACATGAGGATCACTTTCCGAACCAAACACCCCTCCGGCCTCACTGGCGTAACACGCTACACCAATACGCCATCACGTGTAGCCGTTCGACCTCCCGCCGCCGTCCGGTGGTCGATGCCAGCGGTGTCCCGTAACCCCGTCGCATCCCGCGTCCACACCCCCACCGAACTCCCCCCGAACAAACCCAAAAAAAAAAACAGCGAAGTGAGGAGCACGACCACACGCGTCCAGCTTTTCGCTCGCACCAGCTCACCACCTCAAGCTCACCTCACGAGCTAGCTAAACTAGCCTTCGCCTTCGCCCTCCTCCCTCCGCCTCCATTCCCATCACCCCCAGCCAAATCCGCCTCGCTTCCATCCACCCACCCCACACCTCTATGCCGCCTCCCCTCCCATGGCGCCAACCGCTCGCCCCTCCCCGAGGCCACCCCCACGAGCCGCGACCTTGACGACCACCCTCCTGCTGCTACTCCTCTCCTCCCTCGCCGTCGCCGCAGCCCAATCGCCGCCTCCTCCACCGCCGCCGCCGCCGCCGCCTCCCCCGCCACCTCCGCCATCTCCCCCTCCGCCGTCGCCGTCACCGTCACCGCCTCCGCCTCCTCCTCCTCCTCCGCCGCCGCCGCCGCCGTCACCGCCGCCGCCATCCCGCGCGCTGCCGCAGGAGCGCGCGTCGAAGAAGCACCCCGTCCCCCCGCCGCCTTCCTCCCGCCCGCGCCACCGCCACCCGCCCCCGCCCCGCCCGCGGCGGCTCAACTTCGGGGAGAAGCTCGGGATCGCCTTCGCCGGCGTGGCCGTCGCGGCGCAGGTGGTCTTCGCCACCTTCCTCGCGCTCCGCGCGTGGCAGCTGCGGCGGCTCGACCGGGCCGAGGTGTCCTCGTCCACGCCCCTCACCTGACCTGAAGCCAGCCAGCTCGCCGGCCCGGCCGGCCGCCGCCATGCTCGCCGCGTCGCGTTCGTCCGCGTCAGGTCCGTGGTTTTTTTTTTTCTGGAACTATCCGTGATCTGATGCCATTGCTGCAAACTAAACTGTAAAGAAATCAACGAGGACGTAGTAGCTCCACTCCACAGACTACGTCTTCCCCGATTCCGTTGTAGAAGCCATTCTTTCGTTCACAGACACAGATCGAGCATACAAGAGCGCGTCGCTGCTGCACCGTGTACAATCCGCTTCTGCATTGTGCAGACTCTAGTAGGGAGGCAATGTGATCTACTGAGAGATGTAGTGTTCTTCTTTGTTACTGCCACTATGTGGTCCATATTTCAGAGATGGTGCTTGTGTTGCGATTAATTGCGATTGCTTGCGGGAGAGTACTGAAGATTATCTCGTTCAATGGATCTCATGAATGTACAAACAGAGGGATATATCAATTATTGTAGCGATGTGATCTGGGCTCTTTAAAATTTTCACCTGTGGTACCACTTGCTACAATCAATATAGGTCCATGTGGAATGATTGACCCAACCCTGGCCCCTTGTTATTCGAACGATCCTGCACTTTCTGTTTTATGTTTATTTTTGGATTTGCAATGTCCTACTCCAGGCCAATGCACAAATTACTCCTGTCATGATAAAATGTTGTAACTGGTAAATTATCTCGCGCGAACGTAGATATTAGCAAGTTTCAGGTGTCACGAAATGATGTAGACGATGTTGTTGATATGTGTGTTGGCACTCAACACCAGAGATGTTCAGAAGATGGAAACCTCTATTTGCTCTTTCAGTTTTTGTTTTGAAACCAGAATGTTGTGGTGTCCTACATACTGAATTCCTTGACATGGATTTACTGCATGCCTGCATTTGTTATTTTTTACTTCTCAATTTGGATCATGCTAAGGGCATGTTCAACGAGATATTACTGCAAAAAGGGGAAGCTCCATGTTTCAACAAGATAAAATGCCCTTGTGACATTGTCATTATAAAATGCCCTTCTCTGTATGATACGTCAATTTCTAGGAAGGTAAAAACAGCAAATACTCCATGACTAACCAGATTTACTTGTTTATTTCATTAAGACCTATGTGTATGTCTTTTGTGTCTGTTTGGTAGTGTGTTAAATCCATCTTCACTTTTGATGCTGTTTCCTCCATGACTCACCAGATGTTCATGACATCTTAAAAAGGTACTCCTGCTTTCCTTGTTAGTTGTTACCTTTTGCGAAATGCCAAGCATTTTTTGTATCAATAACAAATAACAAAAATATAACTACAAGAAAGAGTTTTTGCATACACTACTGAGCTAAGGTTTTGATATTTGAGTATTTGACTATACACATTCTAAAAGCATTGCCAATTTGATAATTGTGGAAGTATTATGATGCATGAAAGGTCAACAGTCTTCTAATGTGCGCGTCGACAGATAAGCAAAACATCTCTTGCTTGTTGATCACAGATAGGGAGGGTCAGATGGTTTTTGAATATGAAATCGTACAGGAATCATTGGGCTTGCATGTGAGAGCCAGATAGTCAGTAATAGTATATGCCTCGGATTGCATCTTGGACAACTCGACAAGTCTGATCTTCCTGTACTAGTCCTTACTCAGATCCCTAAACTCAGATTCACTTGGCAATGAAAATGCATGCCGACCTTGAAGGAGCAATCGCTGGAGGCTTCTTGAATTCTGTTATTCTTGGCTAGTTGGTGTATCTTTCATAGATTTGACTTCGATCTCTTGAGTTTGTTGAATAAAGATCGGTGTTGCCTTATCTGGTTACTACTTTAGTTAAGCTTATAGCCTGGACATTCCATGGGCAGCCCATTTTGTAGCTAGGTGTCACTTATGATAGTAGTTGGCTTAATTTATCATGTAAGTGAACATTGACCGACAATTCCATTAGACATGCCAATCAGCTTCAGTTTCATTGTTGATCTGAATAGCCGAATCACTGGTGGAGAAACCATCTTTGGTCGGTTGGCCAAATTCCACAATAGTCCCAGTTCTAATAAAAACCGGGACTAAAAAGCATCTTTAGTCCCGGTTGAAAAGTTGAGGTGTACTTTTTTATCTTTAATCCCGGTTGGTAACACCAACCGGTACCAACCGGGACTAAAGATCATTTTTAGTCACGGTTCAAAAAGTTGTCGGGTTCCAGACAGATCCCCATTATTTTTACTCCCGGTTGGTATAAATAACCGGGACTAAAAATAGATCTTTAGTCCCGGTTGTTTATACCAACCGGGAGCAAAGACTATCCCGAGAGCCGCGCGCGATCTCCTCTCGATCTCCTCCCCTCTCATTAATATCTCCTTCACCCCCTCTTCCTCTCCCCTTCATCCCCTTCCTCTCCACTTCCCCTCGATCTGGAGCGGCGGCCGGCCGGGCGGTAGCGGCGGCACCAGGCAGGAGCGGCGGCGCCCGACGCGAGCGGCGGCGGTGGCCGGGCGGGCGGGCGCGGCGGCAAGCCGGGCGGGAGCCGTGGCGGCGGCCGGGCGGGCGGGCCTGGCGGCAAGCCGGGCGGTAGCAGCGGCGCCCGTGTCAGGAGCCGCGGCGGCGGGCGGGCGTGGCGGCCGAGCTGGCGCAGACGCCGAGAGGACGGGGACCGGGAGGCCGGCGGCGCCCTCCCATCTGCTGCCGATTTTTTTTTGATTTTGTGTTTCATTGGATTTGATCTGTGATGTATGTGATATTGGATCTGATCTGGGATGTATTTGAGTTGTGATGCATTTCTTTTAGGATTTGTGATGTATTTTTCGTTTGAGATTTGGTGATGTGATGTATTTGTGATCTGTGATGCATTTCTTTGCAATATGTGATGTATTTCTTCCCAAATCTGTGATGCTTGTGGATGATTTGGGATATTTAGGGAGCAAATCGATTGAGCAATGAAACAACAACAAAAAAAAAAAGAATCAACCGGGACTGCTCCACCATTTTTAGTCCTGGTTGGTAATACCAACCGGGAATAAAGATGGATTTTTAGTCCCGGTTATTTCACCCGGGACTAAAGATGTGTATCTTTAGTCCCGGATTCGTACTCCCGGTTGTATAACCGGGACTATAGGGGGGTTTCTAACCGGGAGTAAAGCCCCTTTCTCTACCAGTGAATTGTTTAAGAAGTACTCCCTCCTTACCTAAATGTTTGACACCGTTGACTTTTTTAAATATGTTTGACCGTTCGTCTTATTCAAAAACTTTTGTAATATGTGTAAAACTATATGTATACATAAAAATATATTTAACAATAAATCAAATGATAGAAAAAGAATTAACAATTACTTAAATTTTTTAATAAGACGAACGGTCAAACATTTTTAAAAAAGTCAACGGCGTCAAACATTTTGGGATGGAGGTAGTAGTTGATTTTAAAAAGTAGTTGATACCCGCGCGTTGCTGTGGAATAGCTATATCGTGAATTTGAAATATATAATTCTAGAACTTTTGACTATTGGTATGGTATCATTACATAAAAGGGAACATATGGTTGTAAAATTATCATAATTGCATGATCAACGTGCTTGAATGTTCGATCTGTGCGTTGTATTGCTATATGAATAGAAATGACATGATTCCAATTAAGATACTGTTGATGCGAAAAAACACGAGGCCTGGGAGATCTGCTTAACTCCAGTGCAGGTCTAAAAATTTTGCCTTTAGGTTCGTGAGCGTGCTAGTTGATTTGATCCTGCAATCAACCAGAAATAAAGACAAGAAAATAGCAGTTAAATCCATAAACGATAGTCGATCGGCCAGCTGCCGATGATGTATCATTTATCTTTGGGCCGATGTCATATGTGAATCGATCGGCAATCATGAATAAGTAAGGAAGAACTAAATCTACTCGATCGGCTGTAGATATTAACAATATGTAATCCTTATGTCGATATATACTTAAATCAAGTGATTGGGATAGATCGGTCGCCATACCGAGACAGTATAAATCACTTAGATCGAAATATATATTAACAATGAGATTATAATAGATGTTCATAACATAGCCGATCAGATAGATCCAGCATGTATCAGCTAATACTCCGATACCACTCTATATTAAGATATTAAAGCAAGTAAAATATATCAAACAGAAGCCTAATATACCTAAATGCAACAAGATCTTAACATAAATAGTAGATTTAACATGTCAATCAAGCATATAAGACAAAGAGTAGTTAAATCAGGTAAGATCGGCTGAAACCCCGACACTACCCTAATCGGCAACCAAAAACAGGCTAGAGATTGAGATTCTAATCACGACTTATAAGGTCAAACTCAACTGATGCAGCTATAAGTATGAAAAAATGGACAACATCTAGACAATCAAGCTGTTGGTTGTTTTATAGAGTGGTGGATACCCTATATAATCTAAGTCAACATAGATATTTAACCTAATCGGCTGCTTTCCAATAATAGATGTTAGCCGATTGAAGGTTAGATAACGATATTGTCAAAGATTATACAGAATATATGATAACTCGACGAATTACATACACAAGATTAGAGTATCATAAAGGTGAAAGCACTAATCCCGAGAATGCAAGCCACCATAACAAGTTTTACCTCTAGTTGAAGATCGAAACCGATGCAGCTCAACCCGAAAGCAAGAAGTCGTCAAAACAAAACGAAAGTAAAGGGTGGCGATGCGCCGAGATTGTATTGAACGTATGTTGTTGTATTACATGGGGGCTCGGGGTCTATTTATACCCGAGATTACAAAATATGTCCGTGTCGGACATGACTCTTATCTCTAACAAACTCTAAGATATCATAAGTCTTTGCGGCAGACTTTTGCCCAAACATATCTCTAAGGAAATTACATGAAATATCCTAATTAATAGATACAATTGCCTTCTCAGGACTCAATCCATGCATGGCAATCCTCATGAAGCACATTAACTCAACCCGACAATGTATGCCGCGCCACATTGTCGGCATCGGCTCAATTGGCCAACCTTGTCCGACTCGAACTCCGCCGATCCTGATTGTAGCCGATTCTGACTTTTAGCTGATTCTCGCTCTGTTTCCGGAACGATCTCTATCTTAGATACCGCTTCGATCTATCTCCAACTTCGATACTTGGATTACCAAATTCGGTTGTTAACAGATACTCCCATCTTGAAGAACAATGAATGGTAAGCAAATAGTACGCTATTTTTATTATGTACTCCCTCCGTCCCAAAAAAAACTCAACTTCTAAAGTTTGAATTTTGTCCCATAAAAAACCAATTTCTACCATTCTACCTATTCTTAGCACGTAAATCGAGAAGTTTTATATCTTCAATACCCTTTACCTACCTATTACTATTACTACTTTTTTCAATGATTAAAGGCATTTTAGTCATTCTCACTCTCCACTAATTTCACCTTGATATGATAGGAATTGATTTTCCGTGGGACGGAGGGAGTACTAAATTGACTTAAGATCTCATCCAGATATTTTAAACAACTAATAAAATATTTCTTTTTGCGAGAAAACAAAGAGAGAATACGGACAACGCTGCATGCATATGTTGGCAAATGATCTTAAAAGAAAATAACTATTGGGTGCATGAATCTAGTAATTCCAAGAAATATGTTCACCTATGAGTAAATGGGAGGAACTGTGGAGAAACAAATACAGTGATTACCGGTCTGAAAAACACAAAGATTTGGCACAACCTTTTAATCAGATGTAGATGGTCAAATGTGAGAGTGGACTAATCCCTCAATACTTAAAGTTACCAAAAATTGAAGTTACCATAGTTGTGATACATTTGGCAAATGAAGCTTGGTGATAAACGAAGAAATCAGATATGAAAATAAATAAGATTATTAGTATATTACGATACACATTTGATCAATTTATACTTTTAATCTTGTTATATTTAGGATATTTAAAAATATATAAATTGGACCACCCATATGAAAATCCTAGATACGCCAAGATAAATTTGGTTAGTTTATTTTAGGATGATGAATATAAGATAGAAATTGTATGGTTGGTACTGTAGCTATTGGCTGCCATCTACTACTAGCTATTACCTCCGTCCCAATTTAAGTGCAGTTGTGGATTTAAATGACCAACGTTTCACCATCATTTTATTTAAAAACTTTATGAAAGAAATAAAAAAAATATTTACATATAAAATACTACTTATGTTTTATCATCTAATAACAATATAAAAATACTAATCAATTTTTTTTCAAATAAGATGGATGTTCAAACGTTGAATATGAATCATGTAAAACTACACCTTTTTTTACGGAGACAGTATTATTATACTGAATAGGGCAACAGGCCCATGGATGAGCTAGTATTATTATACTGATCAGGGCAACAGGCCCATGGATTTTTGAACATGTGGATAAGCTAAGAATTCCCACCTGGTAAGTGGCTGATAACCCTACCAAGCTAAATAGAAGGCTTGGCAATAGCTATGGACTGTAATATACCAAAGGTCTGTATAGCCTCAGACTGCTTTGAGGTCATTAAGAGCATCTCAGAGAAACCAAGGTGCCAATATTTAGCAGTCCTAAATGATATTGAGGCAAGAAGGAAGCATTTTGTAAAAGTAGAGTTTCATCATAAAAATCAGGCTTGTAATTTTGATGCTCATAACTTAGCTAAGTTTGCTTCTACTTTACAGGAGGGGCGTTATCTTTGGTTCTTAAATCCTCCTTGTAATATGAATAGGAATGTAAATGTGGACGGTAATAGATAAATTGTCCACTCTTTCTAAAAAAAAAGCTAAATAAAAAAAGAAAAACAGAAAATTATTTGTGTTATAAATTTTGTTCGTTTTTACTATTCACCGTAGTGACCATGCGGCCATGCGGGCTTACCGTCGGCGGGGGTATAGTAAACCCGTCGTCCACATTTTGCGCAAAAATGCTCATATGCGTCATGCTGACATATGCAGTCCAGACCTCAATTCGGGTCTTCCTCCAGCGCTGACGTGGCAGTCCAGTGACGCGCTTCCCTCTCTCCCATTGGTCCGCCCCACCATCCACATGGCAACGCAGGCCCACCTACCTACCAAAACAGGAAGGGCATCCCCTGGCACGACGCTGACAGGTGGGCCCCAGTTGCGGGCGGCCCCATCCGTCATCGACTCAACCCGCATATACCCACGAGTCCCACCAGCCACAGGCCACTGAGCCCGCATCGTCTCGTCTCCCTCTCCCTCTCCCACCCCGCCTCCCTCCTCGACGAGCTCCGAGCGGCGGCGATGGCGAGCGACGGCGCGGCGGCCACGCCGGCGAAGGCGAGCCCGAAGAAGGCCAACCTCCTCGACCCCCACTCCATCAAGCACCTCCTCGACGAGACCATCTCCGACGTACGAGCGACACGCGCTAAAACCCTAGCCTCCCCCCCCTCTCCATTCTCTCTCCCCTCCCCTCTCGATCTCCTCCGGTTGGGTTTGATAGATTTTGGCCGCTGATGAGGAGGTGGTTTTTGTTGTGCGATCAGGTCGTGAAGAGCAAGGGCTACGCGGAGGACACGCGGCTGGGCAACTGGAAGCTGGCGATTGGGGCGGCCGTGATCGCCATCGCTCTCCTCGCGCAGTTCTACCCGAAGAAGTTCCCCCAGAACCGCGAGTTCCTCCTCGGCTGCATCGCATTATATCCTTGATTTTGTGATTCCGCTCTGTTTCGGATGAAACTGGATTTAGATCTGCTTTTGGGGTGTTGTCAGTTAGCTGGAATTTGGTTTTGATTGGTAGTTATTGTGAAACCTGTTGTTTGTTTCTGTTGATCCTTGACTTGATCGGTCGATACATATGTGGTGTTGAATGTGGTGCTGTTGATACTTAGCTATACCAAGGAAAAGGATGCCATTATGTTCACACACCCTCCTGCGGTGAGTTATCATCTGGATTTGATGCTCTTTAATTCAAAGTGCATATCAATGACACACTTTATCTTACTGTAGCGCATCTATTATAAATGGTTGGGGGTTGGGCAAAATTAGCCAATTAGGAAGTAGATCTCGCATCAACATATATGAAAATTGAGCAGTATAAGATGCCTATCATAGTACTCCCTCCATTTACTTTTGATAGTCATATTTCATCTTGGCACACTGACCAATGGTAAGTAATTTTACTTATCATCCATTTAAACAAGCTACTAGTTATTCCTCGTAAACAAGTGATTCATTAATATTTACATTTCTCGATGCCCATGTAGCCAATCTTTTGTGAAAGAATGGAGAGTCACACATTAAATCCGAGAAAGTCATTAAGAGGATATGTGGTTGGATTGAAATATGCCTATCAAAAGTAAATTTTTCAGATTTGAAAATATGCCTATCAAAAGTAGATAGAGGGGGTATCATATATAGGTCTTGAAAATTCTGAGTTTCTGACTGAAGAGTTTGATGACCCATATCATACTATATCTTGTCATTGCAGCCCCATAAACTAATATGGTACAGACTGGTAGTTTTCATTTTTCAAGTTCTGGTTTGTTTCATATTCTCATGTTATGGACATCTCATTGCAAATTAGATGTTATACTACTTAGTACAAATATGTTTTATCTATTACTTTTCCTCTCAGGTAGCAACTTTGTAGTTGTGCAGGTTATGTTACAGCTAGTGTCGTCAGTTACATCTTACCAGCAATGAAGCTACCAGATTATGAACAACTATTTTGCTTCTAAACCATGAACACACTGACAGATGTGCCTGGCTATTCAGTTACTTTTAGTAATAGTGCTTTGTTTAGACACTTACTTCATCTTGTCTTGCACTCTACATAATGTGATTAGGAGATGTTTTTACGATTTTTCTTGTTTGGTACATGTGTCGCCATAATGTTTACAGCATTATTTAACCTGTTGTATTTTTCTTTGTTCCAGGGTTCTTTCAATAGCACTGGACTAGTTATATCTTCAAAATTACCAAGATTCTCGGATATGTACACTATCACAATAGCCAGTGCAGATCCCCAGTCTATTTCCGCCAATAAGCCAGTTCATTTCACTAAGAGTGTTACAAAATGGTATGTATTTATTAGAACTTCTCAATTCAGTGAGTTAAATGAAGTCATCAAGAAACATATTTCTTCTTTAATCTTAGTGAAGGCACACTCTTCTAGTTAGCTACAGTTGCATGGTTTAAACCTATTGTTCTCTTAAAGGAGAGAATTCTAAATTTGATTGCAATGCTCGTTATACGGTCATGTGCTCTAAAAATGCGTTTGCCAAGGCTGCACCTTCCGGTGTAGGCCACCTTCCCAGTGTATCCGATCTAGGTGTCTGCCTGGCTCTGCTAGGTTCGCCTTATGCTCTTATCACTGATATGTGCTAGCTGCTAGTCTGCTGCCTAACTAGCCATAGCGCCTTGGTGAACACTCTCTGCTAATGCTCACTCGATTGATGCTTCCATTGTGCTGTTAGGATTACACCATTACATGAAGATAGCTAGTGCATGACGGCTCCAAACATGCTTCCTGTATTAAGGCCATGTTCGACACCACCTAGTTTGCAGATACTACTAGTTGCACATTGCAAATCATTAGCGTCAACATTTTAGGCATTATTCAATGGCATAAAGAGAAAGGTGCAAGCTTGAGCATGATCTAACCTGTCAGCGCAAAGTTCTAATTCACCTGGAAACTTAAAGGCATCCTTTCAGTGTTACCCTTCTTTTGCAGTAACAGTATTCCTGTGCAGGTTTACTAAGGAAGGAGTTCTCGTGGAAGGCCTGTTCTGGAAGGATGTTGAGAGGTTGATTGATGACTACAACACTGAGCGCAAGGGCAAATGAATGGGTAGTCCATGTGACTATGAGACGTTAATTGTCTAGAAAAGAAACCCTCTTGTGGAATTCCTTGCTTGGAAGAATCCTTAGCTTAATCAAAATAGACAATTTTGTCATACATTACTGTTTCACTGGTGATTGAAATACTGTCGAAGACACCCGGTACCATCCCAATTCTTTTTTATGAGCTTACAAGCCTATCGATGGTTAATCATAGATACCAGCACTGAGCTCTGTACGTTCTGCTTATATGACAACATGAATGAAATTGCCTCAGGAAAACAGAAAAATGTATTATGCCAATAGCCAAAAATCCTTGTAAATAATTCCTTCTGTACACATATTTTGGACTGGTAAGGTACCAACAACTACCAGTGTCGTCGAAATACGTACTCTCCTCGTCCCAAAATATAAGCATTTTTAGCATAGTGATAAGTCAAACATTTTTAACTTTGACTATTACTAGCAAAAAAAAATTATGTAAAATTAATGTTACTAAATTTAAAACATCTTATTTAACTCTTTTTATTTAAAATATCTTATTTTTATAGATATTGTTGGTCAAAATAGCATTTTGGAGACCGTGTTACAGAACAAAAATACTTACGAGTATATTTTAGCACGGAGGAAGTAACAACAAACACCACCCTTTCAAGTTCCATACGGCAATATGTTACGGAATTGATCCATAACAATTTAGTTGTCTGATAATCTAAGTCACAAGTTCAGTATGTCAGGAGGAGTGAATGTGCCAAACACAATCATCAGGAACATTATTCATCATGTTTGCTAAAACAAGTGCCGTGCAAGGGTTTGGACAACCTCTGTTCCTAGAATAACACTTCGCTAATTACTGTACATCAGATACAAAACCTCAAAATACAGAAGTGACTCAAGTGAGAAGAACTCCATTGGATTTGAGATGTATCATCTTCACCCTCCTGGTATATACCTTGTAAGGGGTCAATACCGATCTGACTGTGTTACGATAGCCTCAACTCGATCTATTGATGCTTGCAATCGCCCGTAGTTCATACTGAAGGCAGGTTCTCCTGTTCCAACAGCCCTGCATGGAGAAAAGATGAAAATTAGCTGATGTTACTGTGTCTTTATGGTAAAAATTATCCCTGATTAGTAGGTTCCACAAGGATTGTGCTAATGATGCCTAGCCACAAACTCTTTAAGCAGGGTTGAGTGACTTACCCATGAATCTCAGGAAGCACATATTCAGCTCTCCAACCGACCCTCAAATCAAACCCTGGGAACATGCTGAGTGTCGATTTGTTTCTTATCTGAGAGACACCATCTCCCCCCAAACACGTAGAGAGCTTCCACTTCCATCCAGTGGCATTGAGATGGAAATTGTGACCAATGCCGACCTGTAACCATTGTTATTAGAAATTCCATGTACTATCAGTACTAGAAAAGGAACTTGTTGAACAAATGAAGATTCAAGCTGGGCACTTTTTTTTAATCACTACTGGTTCCTGTGTTTCACCATGTTGACCATGTGTGGTATGTCCAACCAATCTGATCCTTTCTAATTCAACTAACTTTGCATGTCAGTTAGATGTGCATTATACTTTCTGGCTAGGAGAAATGGTCTATACTCTGTTCCTGGTGTACACATTAAGAGAAGGAAGCAACAGAAAGTCCCAGGAATCACTTGTTATATGTTTTGAAGGACCAAATCTTCCGCTGAGACAGAAAATTGAAGCAAACGGTATGTGCCATAATCAAGGTATATTTCATGGTCCCCAAAACTGTCATTTTAGCCACCCAGAAATTGATATGTGACATCAGCTAAACATCAGCAAATCATAGATAATTATTAAATACCAGTGATGTTAGAGAAAATTCCTTATTTACCACCCACAAAAAAAATGTAAGTTGCGAAAAGAGGACCGACTCCATTGTTCAGTAGCTTTACTCTTCAGATAAATCAAGAAATTATTTCGTCTAGCTTCTTAAAATAAAAACTGATGCATGCAGTACATTTTCAGAAGAATATTGTGATCAAGGAACATATACATGACATGGTCTCCATATAAAATAAATTTGCTTAACTGAAGCCAAGATATTTATCTTCCACATTCCACTACCATGGTTGAAAATATATTTGTTTCTTAGCACTTCAAACCTGAGGTCTGAAGAACAACAAACTGAACTCATATATCCTGTTTAAAAATTTTACTCACATCAATTCCATACACTCAACTGCTCAAAAACTGGAAGCACAAAAATGACTAACCATAGAAATGCATAGCTACTATGTGCAATGCAAATACCAACTAACTTCTCTAGTGGCACCATCAAACAACATGTTTCATGGAAGATACCAATGAACAGTATATACTGACTGTGTCAAGACAGGGCCATGACAAATATGTGTACTAGTCATTGCTATAAAGCTACCACAAAAATGATGCACAAATAACATGGTTCAATGAGAGAACCTGTAGATTGAGAAACTTCGTTACTGGTATCTTCTTGGAAAGAAGCTGTATATCACCGCTGATGGGCTTGTAGTGGAACTTCCACTTCCGTTCATAGTCCAGAGGCTTCAGAACTACCTTCGCCTCAAAATCATTCACCTCAAGATTATAGAACTGAAAAGAAAATACATCGTTGCATTTAGCAGAGAACAATTTATATTTCACGAAAAAACCACACTGCGATTATCAATTTTCTACGCTAGAAGAGTGTCATATGATCAATTCCCCATGACAAAATTAACCACATAACTCCGCATTGGCAAGATTGGGAGTGAGGTGATATTCTCCCAATGCACACAAGGGGAGGCAACTTCAGCAAGTGCAAATAATTTCCAATAGTAATACAAGAACATCCACAAGATTTATCCTTCGTAGATCGACGAGGGACTCTACTGAAGCACATTGGATAATTGAATCTCTAAATAACTGGGGGAAAGAGAACATAAATCAAATAAAAAACACTCGCGAGGTTTAGGGTTTAGGAATGAGAGGATATGACATGGGACCTCGAAGTTGAGGCCGACGCGGAGGCCCTGGAGCTCCTTGCGGAACTTGAAGTGCAGCTCGGCCGGCACCACGTTGATCTTGTACAGCTCGTCGAGCGTCGTCGGCCCGTCCCCGACGCCCCCGTCGGGCCCGACGCCGCCGCCGCCGCCGCCGCCGCCGCGCGAGCTCGAGGCCATGGGGGGAGGCGGGGGCGGGAGGGAGGAAGGAAGAGGGGGTTCCCTTTCTCTTTCTCTTTCTCTTGGGTTTGATTTGGGCGGCGGAACGACGATGGGCGGCAGCGAGGAGGGGAGGAGCGGCGCCACCCGGCCGTAATCTAGAAATGAGTGGCGCTTTTTTACAGATCGCTCCCTCGCTTTTGCAGCTAATGCATACGAGACCAAAATGCATTTGTGGGTTGTTCAGTTATTACTGTATTTTCTTTTACTACTAATTATTATGCTTACAGAAGAACTACACCACGGCATCACATGCCATTATGAGAACACGGGGTAGTAGATAATGAAGCGAATCATTAGCCTTACTCTTTTTTCACTATGTCTTTCTCACGTCGCGCGGATACAGTTTGTTTCTTTCTTTCTCACTGCTACGAGCACCACCAACCCACCCGTCATGCGGTGACCCAATTCTGTCTTCCTCCTCCGTTTCTCGACTCCTTAATCGTCACCTCCTCAATCTCCATGTTCCTCTCTCCTTACACTGGATCTAGAGGCTGACAAGTTTATTGGAGGTCGTTGGAATCATAGTAGTCGGTGAGGAGGGAGGCAACGGTGATAAGATTGATGTTATCGTAGGTGAAGAGAAAGGAAAAGGAGAAGGTAAGTCCGAACGCGACGAAAGTAGCGGCGAGGGGAGTTGGCGAAGTAGGCGAAGGATTACTGCAAGGTGCTTCATACTCATTTAGGCCTCGAGGTTGTCACACATGCATCGTTTGAAACCGCCGTGCTTTTCACCAGCTCACCGTGTTGCTCACCGATATTGGGTGCTTTTGTCCTCAGGTGTGGTATATAGGTACCAATTGATGAGTGTTGCTGCTTCGCTTGCACGAAAGTCGAGGTTATCCTGCTTCGCTCTTTTTGCAGTGTGGGAGCTTAGGATGCGAGAGGTGAGAGGTTAGGGTTGGATTTATTAAGTTGTCCTATTCCAACAGTATTCCGTGCTCTAGCATCGCTCTAACACTTTAACAACTATACTTATGTATCACTAGCAGTTTTTTTTTATATAAGCACGATGGCCACTAGCTGTCAAAGATACTTGAATCATTAGAACTTATTATACTAGGATAAGATATATAGTTGGAGAAAATCCTATTTTGTATATAGACAAGAAATAAATATGAGTTGATCATCCATATACTAATCTTTAAAATATTTTATCCAATTTAACTGTAGATTTTGTTGAAAGTAGTTGAATTTTATGTTTTACCGAAGAGCTTACCCTAGCTTCAACATGATATATTATGTTCTATACGAAGAAATATCAAACACGGTGGCAGGATCAAAGTCAGCTCTCTCTTTGCGCTCCTATGAATGTGGATATGTATTTGATGGAAACATTTTTCATCGAGACAGGGTGTGTTTAGTTCACACCAAAATTAAAAGTTTGGTTGAAATTGAAACGATGTGATAGAAAAGTTGAAAGCTTATGTATGTAGGAAAATTTTGATACGATGGAAAAGTTGGAAGTTTGAATAAAAAATTTGGAACTAATTGAGACCATAGATAAAAGAGTAAAACATCTTACTGCCAGCTTCACCGTTCACCGCGTTCAACCGCACAAATCGCACTATCAAAAAGGAAAAAAAAATACTTAAGGCCAAAACGGCAAAACCCTGCCCCCTCCATTCTCTGGTCCATATGGCCTCCTCTCTCTTTGTCACATCGCGGTGAGTTAATGACGACCCCCGCCGCCGCCGCCGCCGCCGCCGCCTCCTCCTCCTCCGCCTCCTCGCCCCCGAACCCTCCACCGCCGTCGCTCTCTCTGATGCCTTCCCGCCTCCACGCCCTCCTCTGCATCTACCTGCCCCATCCCCGCCCCCTCGCCCGCCTCCTCCACTACTCCGCCGCCGGCCCGCCGTCGCAGCAGCAGCAGCTCCCGCCTTCTTCGTCGCCGCCGTCGCCGTCGCACGCGTCGGCCGAGCTCTGGATCGCCAAGGCGCTCGCGTCCGCGGCATTGCTCCGCCCGCGGCACCTCCCGGGGTTCCGCCGCATCGACCCTTCCCCGCTCGCCGCCGCCGCCGCGCTCCGTCTCGCGCCGTGCGCCTCCTCGGCCCTCGCCGTCTTCACCGCGCTGCATTGCTCGCCGCTCTCCATCACGCCGTCCGCGCACTCCTGCCAGCAGATCATCGTGGTGCTGTGCAGGTCCGGCCGCCAGGCCGACGCCCTCCAGCTGTTTGACCAAATGACGACCCACTACGGGTACTCTCCCGACGCCCGTTTTCTCTCGTTCCTGGTCAGTTCCTGCACATGTGCAAACCTTCTGGATGCGTCCGCGACATTGCTATCGAAGGCATCGGAGTTTGGTTGCCGCGTAGAAGCATATGCGTATAACAAGCTCATGAGCTCGTTGATTGGCCGTGGACGGGTGCATGATGTTGTGGCGTTGTTTGAACGGTGGATTCAGGACAGGGTATATTCTCCAGATGTTTGGAGCTTTAATGTTGTCATCAAGGGGGTTTGTCGGGTGGGGCAAGTCCAAAAGGCGCTCGAGCTGGTCGAAAGGATGAATGAATTTGGGTGTTCACCAGATACTGTCACACATAACATCCTTGTGGATGGTCTATGCAGGACTAATGAGGTGAGTAGAGGTCATGAGGTGTTGAGGAGGCTCCAGAGGGACGGTGTTTGCATGCCCAATGTTGTGACATTCACCTCGGTGATCTCAGGTTACTGTAAGGCTGGGAAGTTGGAGGATGCAATGGCTGTATACAATGACATGGTTGCATCTGGGATAATGCCCAACACGGTTACATACAATGTGCTTATAAATGGATATGGCAAAGTTGGCGACTTGGGTTCTGCGGTGGAAGTGTATCAGCAAATGACGCGACTTCGGTGCCCTCCTGATGTTGTGACATTTAGTTCTTTGATTGATGGTTATTGTCGGTGTGGGCAACTTGATGATGCATTGAGGATTTGGAGTGATATGGCCCAGCATCGGATTCAACCAAATGTGTACACCTTTTCTATCATAATACACTCACTTTGTAAGCAGAACAGATCAGATGAAGCAATTGGTCTTTTGAATGAACTAAACTTGAGACCTGACATTGCACCACAAGCATTCATATATAACCCAGTGATAGATGTACTGTGCAAGTGTGGCAAGGTGGATGAAGCAAACTTGATTCGAAAGGGCATGGAAGAAAAAGGATGTCGCCCTGACAAGTATACATATACTATTCTAATAATTGGTTACTGCATGAAGAGTAGGATTTCAGAGGCTATCATGTTTTTCCATGAAATGGTGGAGGCTGGTTGTTCCCCTGACAGTATTACAGTTAATTGTTTTATTAGTTGCCTATTAAAGGCTGGGATGCCAAATGAGGTGGATCATGTAATGCGTCTTGCATCAGGGGGTGCTTCATCTATTCAGGAAGTCCCTTCTCCTGTGAGGCAAAGACTAGATATTTCAGTAGCTTTGTAGTTGAATGGTACAGCAGAGAATGGAAGGAAAAGCACACTGACTGTTTCTGGTATGCACTGCAGAACATCTGGAACTTGCAAAGCTTATAAGAGGCTGTGGTGACTGGTGAGTTGTTCTTGTTTGAGTTAGAGACCTCTTACACATCTTTAATAGATATATGTTTGTTTCCTCAAAGTTTGAACTATTTTCATCCCCATACGACCTTGTATTAGTTTTTAAATTATCACTATAGAATTCGAAGCACATGTTTGGTCTAATAGCTTTAGTGCCCTGTGCCCATCTTAATACCGTCTTGACATTTAGTTCATTACAGATGTAGTAGCATGGATCATCAGAGATAATAACTGGGTTTCTAATAGTCTGTTTAAGTCTGCATACTGTGAACAAGATTTTTATTGCATTATGCCAGTTTGTTCCCCTTCAAATGATGACCTAACTGGCAGGATTCCTATGCTTATTAACATTTGTCATAATATAAACTCCACTTTAGCCTACTAACATAGTTGAAGATTTGAAGGCACCTGATATTTTTTCATTACTTGTTTTGCAGGATATTCAGATAAGAGAACCTCAAATGTAAACATATTGCACCTGGACCAGAACTACCAAGAAACTAATCGAAAACAACTTCACACTGATCAATAAAGTAAAAGGCAAGCCATTTGGTCTCCTAGTATTTAGTGAAGCAACAGATATATGGTTGCCAGAGCTGCAAATTTCATTGGAGTTGCTTATGTGATAAAATGATGCTCTATCAATTCTTGGCATGTCCCTAAACAACTCATGTATAACTGGTTCGCCTGATCGCTTTCCTGGGACTTCCAGTCACTTTGGTCCATATGCGTCAGCAACATGCTTTTTTGGACTTGTTAACTGAAATGAGATTGAGTAGCAGTTGAAGACTTGATTCTTGAAGAATGGCATGAAGTAATTTTCCCTCTAGCAGAGGTACTTCACCTGTTACCAGTTTTTCTTGTGCTATTCAGTGTGGTATAGATTTTTTTTAGGAGGTAGTTGATCATTTTGATCATCTATACACATGGTTGTCCATATTTCCAATAATGCTTACACAAGTTTGAGCACAATTTTTGGTAGTGCGATTTTTTTTAAAAAAAATTCCCATTGGAATGATTATTTGGGTTTTTTTCATAGGCAAGCTCATTCAGTATTTATTATCAACCTTCTAGTTTTCCCAACATAATCTATGGCCTACTGAGTGACTTATCAACTTTTCCTATAGTTCTTATTATCAACATTATCAGAGAAGCTAAGGGGGGTAGTTTATTACTCGATGCTTTGTATTGCCTTATCTGGCAGCTTTTCCAACATGTTATTTGTGAGTGCTTATGCCATAACAGCTTTAAAATTTAATATAAAGTAGTTCCAGAGAAGCCAAGGTTTAGTAATTAGCAGCTTTTGCTATTTCAAGGACAAATTACCCATTTTTGTTCAACCTTGCTAGGTTTCTTTTCCTCCCACCATAAGGGATAGGTTCGGAAATTGTTTTCCACTGCACAGATTACATACTGTAAGCTGTAACTACCTCCTTCATCATTCAGGAAGGATTGCAGTTGAAGTTGAGCAAAGGAGTGCTGTCACAATCTCAATAAATGCTGATTAAATTTGACATATGATTTAGCTGATAATGAGATAGGGTCAATGAAATGGAATGATCTCTACTTTAAGGCTAAAGTAGGTAGTTGGCTGATCTACAATATCAGCATTAATGACCATATAACCACTGTTGTGTTCCGTGAACAAGAAAAGAAGAACACTTGTTACTATCAGCATCTGGTGGATTCTCCATGGATGTTGTCAAGAACCGCCATTGCCCCAATGATGAAAGCCTTGTCACAGCCTGACTGCACTACCACATGGTAGAAGTCATTGGTTCCTATCTGCTCTGTCTTCCCCATCTACAAAACGAAATAGCATGTGCCACATGTTAGATTTCTCTCTCATGCACAAATATGTGTTTTCATGCTTGCATTATGCATGCAATCAAAATGTTCATTGGGTGTATACATATCCACGTGCACTTGTACATATCAAGCAAGCAAAATCACTGGAGACTGGACACCTCTCCCAAACCTTCACTGTATTATTCAGACTTCAGGGTATGCTTTAGTTTCATGCTATTGCTGAATGTTTCTTCTGAATCATAACATGAGGGATCTCTATCTCCACAGCTCACTTGTGTTAGCTGCGTATGAGCCTATGAAGCAGAAGAATGTATGGATATTGATAACAAATGAATTTTATATAAAATAAATATAACTTGCTAACTCAGAGGTGCAATTATATGCATGTAGGGGATTATGAAGGTATATAAAAAAGTATGGATGATATACCTGGCCTACTATTGTGCCAGTGCAATCAGTTATTGTACAGTTTCTATCTGCAAAAGATCCACTGATCTCGAAGTCCCAATTTTTGCAGTGCCTCTTGGGTTCAATGTGTATTCTAATTGGAGCACCTTTTGCTATGCATGATTTTGGATCACTTAGGCTAAAAATCAACTTCTTTTTTCCTTGGTAGTCCATTGAGTACCCATTCCATTTGTTCCATGTGCTTAGAGCCTGGATAATTCCTCCCTGCAGTGTGTAATTTTTATTAGCCATCAACTATGCATTGCACTGGTAATAGAATTCAAAACAGCCTGATTTAAATATACATAAATATATGAAATTTAGTTTCCATTTGGACCTTTTTTTTATTTCACATCTTATTGTTCAGAGTGATTGTGATATTCTTGATTTCTAACTTCATGCTTTCAAAATTAAATCCCAAATTTAAGTTTTCTAGTCTGAACGTGAATTTGGATACTAAAACATCCATTGTATTTCTGTCCTAAATCATGTGTGACAAAAGAACTTTGCTATTTGCTTACATGGCATAAGTGGCCCAGACTGCAGTGCACTCTTAAAATATTCATGCATGTAAGAATCTCCTTTACAAAAGGATTGCATATGCATGCATGTAAGAATCTCCTTTACAAAAGGATTGCATATGCATGAGTTCTACACTTCTACAAGTGTTATAAATGACTGTTTGAACTTTGAAGCCAAGCTCTATCATTGTATAAGCAGCAATCTTTGATCAAAGTTGTATATTAAACCAGATGCACAATTTGGACAGTCAGGATTATTATTATTTTTCTACGGTTAATGTGGGAATTTCTCTCTTTTTATTTTCTTTTTTCGATTAATGTGAGAATTACCTAGCCTTTTCTGCTCTAATTAAGGTGGGAGCTTCTAGGAGAGTATTCAATTAGTATAAAGAAAGATATGGTTTCTGAAAGAGTACAGGATTTAACTGTAGGGCATATACTCATGTTATAATCTTGTGTGTGACAATTATTCTGCATTCTACCAAGATAAGTGCTTGAAGTTTCTTGAACCAGAACATAAAGAGTTCTAGCTTGTTCAATATTTTAAGAGTTATCCAGTGCACAAAAATAATGGGATATCTAGACAAGTTTTTTGTGGGAAAACAAAGTTAGGAGTCAGAACACCTATAGATCAACAAATAGTTCTAGGCCTAATCAATTAACTTTCACTCAGGTGTAGCTCCCAAAATCAAACTACTAAATAGGTGAGAAAACTATATTTGTAAGAGTTGCAATTGTGCAGCCATGAGCCCATGATCCATTACCTTTCTAGAAATAAACAGTATTGGTTCTCCATCACCATCTTTCACCAGCAATTCTCCCTTGGATCCTAGTATTCCACAACCATCAACAATGAAAACAACATTATTACCGAGGTCAGTAACAACAAAACCACCACCATTCACGACGGTGGGTCTTCTCCTGATCATCAGTGTTGTCAAAGTACTTGAGCAAAAAATCTTGCTAACTACAGGCATGCTATTGTCCATTGCTCTTGAAATTGCTCACAAAATAAAGAGTGATAGCACTATTGCTTGATCTGTATTCCTGTTTCAGTTTGTCTATCTTCCCTCAAGCGTGTACTATGGCCAGCAGGCTGGTATTTATATTGAGAGCTTGAGTCATAGAAGCAGTTGTGTTGCAGAAGGCAGTTACCCAAGCTAAGAAGCAAAGAGGAACATTCAGTAGGTGTGATGATTCAAGACGAATAGTTCTTTTCTTAACTATGGAAAGTCGGACTCACAGCAAGCTCTTTTTGTCTTGCAAGTTGGATCAAAGCCTCACATAAAGCAATTTTTGAGAAGCTACTCTGTTTGAATAGGCTTTGTCAAACTTTTGAAAGCAACTTCTTTGCAGTGACATTTCTCAGTAAGTTCTTGCTCATTAGTTTGAACTTTGAAGCAATGTCTTTTCAATGTGTTTGTAGATGAGTGATTTTTTTCTTCATTCAAATACATATTGTTTGAGGACACATCCTTCTTTTTCCTTTTCATCTCAAACTGCTACATGTTTTTTCATCACACACACAAAAAAAAACTGCTATGTGTTTTCTGGCAGAATTTTGCAATATGATATTTCCTGAAAGTGTAAGTACTGACTTCACTAGTGAGGAGCACATGTGCTAAATGACGATTTGACAGAATTTTTTTAGTTGTCACCATTTTTTTTTATCACACATGCCTTTTGTCTTAACAAAGTTAGCTTTGCTTTATCCTTGTGCATGGCCCGTATACATCTACCTTCTATCAGTGATGACCAAGTAAGCAATAATTATGTGTTTAACTTGTGCACCAAATGGTTGAAATGCCATTGCATTGTTTCACGGATGCATCGTCATCAGGATATACAAATTTGCCAGAATCAAAATTGATGAAGTATTATGTATAAACATGTGAATTATCATGTAAACAGATAGATACCAGCTGATTGCAGAAAGAATATGTTGGGGGAAATATGATAAATATAGGTCACAAGTATTTTTTAAGTTATTTATTTGCCAGGAAATGCAAAATTGTCAGAAGTGTGGTTGCTCCTATACAGGGAAGACACCCAAATGAAGCATGCGAAAGATGGTGTAACCAGGAAGAAATTGAAATGTTTGAATCTTGTTAGTCCTATGTTTGGTGCTGATATTTCATCTTCTATTTTTGTGCATTTCAAGAGCTCATCTCTCGTCCTGTCTTTTTTCCATAACCAAGGGTAAGAGCATTGCTAAAAGCAAACAACACTGAAGGGCAATGATTTAAGTGAAGTGCAGGCAATTTCTCAAATTTCTATATTGATATTAGTGTTATGTTTTTTTCCTCGAACGTTGTCGGAAATTAGTTTTATGTTTTGTTCCCTATGTTTAGAGATACATTTGATTTGGTACGTTTTGCATCGCATCCTTTTGTTGTTCCTTTGAAGGGGCACCTCTTGAAGGTCGTTTTCATGCAATCAATCATACAGACTGTAGCTGTTGAATCTCAGGATACTACTTATTAGGTGAAACTGCAACAAAAGGTACACTTCTCTATCTATTCTTGATGCGTACTTATTAGAAAGTGCAACAAAAGGTACACTTCTCTATCTATTTTTGATGCGTATCTCATTTGAGATGAGAATTATTCTCCTAATTATGTGATCTGTCACTCAGTATTTTCTGATGGATTATGAAAGTTATGTACCCTAATATAAAAGAATTATTCTCCTAATTATGTGATCTGTCACTCTGTATTTTCTGGTGGATTATGAAAGTTATGTACCGTAATATAATAAAACTGCACGTATGAAGCTTTTTTTCTGTACTTTGTGATTTACAAGAACTAAAGTAGATCAGAATTCAGAAAGAAAAAAGAAGAAATAGAGCTTCCTTCTATATCGCTGTTCTTCACTGGTGAAACAGTTTTAGTTTGGAACCGGTAATTGCCTAATTGGTGCACCAGCTTTGGACTTTTTGTGTACCGAACTGCATTCCCTCCATTCCTTGACCCAGTTTACTTATAACATATTGTGTTGAAGAACACGCATAAGTTGGTTCTCTGTTCTTTCTTGGAACTTCTGTAAAGCTTTTGGTATAAAGTGCCTAACCTAAGAGATTCTCTGCCTAACCCTATAATTTTTCGTGGCTAGGAGAGAACTTGGGGGATCTTTGAACATTGTCAAATATTTCAAATATTTCTGGAATCCTGCCTAGATATCTTCAGTAAGTTAATAGCGGTGTGCTAACTTCTCAAGGGACCAAATCTTGGAATGGTTCATGAAGCCTGCTTATTGAACCTTTGTGACTAAGCAACCACCTACCAAAGGTAAGCTTTGAGAGACTTGTTCCACTGAATCTTTGGCATGCTATACCTGCATATCGAGTTCATATATAAAGCTCAAGGTCTTTTAACTTTTTAGTTTCTGAGATCCTGAAATTTCCACACATGCTTGCCGTCTTCTGAATCTAGACTGGAAGCCTCATAAACAATACATGAGCAATTGAGCATAGTATTGGCCTGAAATTTTTAGGTTAGGAAATTGCCGTGGCAAAGAGGACCATTTGGAGCAGTGATGCTGGGTGGCCGTGGCGGCGGCGGCGGCTGTTAAACCTTTTATAATTTTTCTTGTTGAGCCTGAAAATTGATTAGGAGAAATGCAGCATATGCGCCCCCCCCCCCCCCCCCAATTCTGCACGTCACGGTGGACCGGGCTGCATAATGGAGGCGTTACGGCGTGGGCTCCCCCCACATGGGCCGTCTCCTCACACGGTTGATACTTGGGCCCTTCCTGCGCGATTTCGTTCATGCGCGGGCTAAACCAGACAGCTACAGCTTTCGCAGCTAGTAACAAGGCAGTCAAAATTTTAGAATTAATTCAGGGGTTATGAGGTAAATTTTTTATAAATTAATTTTAGGATTAACTTATGGTTTTTAGTTTTTTTTTTAGCCTTTGGGTTCAAAACCGCTAAGAATGGAAAGATAAACATCTTAACGGGGATTGTTCTGTAGTGGACTACCAGTGCTGCAGTGCAGTAGTAGTAGACATTGACATGTTTCAACGGCTGTATCGTACCAGTGTCTGCTGTTACCTTCGGAGTAGTAATATTTTATGAGCAATACGGGTGTGTCACTTCAGCCGGCCTAGCATGAATCCCGGATGATCCAAGTAGAAAGCTTCTAAAGCTCAGAACCGACCGCCTAAAATGATTAGACGCTTCACCTTATCCGAGTGACCAAAATATCATAGCCTCGTCGGTTCCCACATTTCCTAATAAGCCAAAACGATTTATTATAAAATAAAATTAATTTGTAGGTAAAATTTTTATATATTCGTTCGTAGCGGTTTAAAGCAACTTTAAAAAAAATCATGTTGAAAATATCTCAAAATCAACTTTAAAATTAATATTGAAAATTTAAATTTTAGTTTTTTTTTAACTTATTAGGCTAACCGACGCGACGAGGCTCTCACCCACTCTAGCTGACTGAACTCTGCCCGTCTGCCGTCCTCACCTCCCGTCGTTGCATGCGCTAGCAGCACCACTGCCAGTGCCAAGGCAACAGACGCAGCAAGGCCGGCAGTGAGGAAGAAGACGACTACTGCTGCTGATGCTGCTGCAGTATTTGGCTCGGCGTTGTTGGAGAGACGCATGAATTGTTTGCCCTAGTGATAGTTAATTAATTTACCAGTAGGCACTTACTGTGTTCCTACCCACTGTAAACACAGTGGGGGTTCTTTTGGTTACTGTACTCGTCTCTTTTGCTAAGCATCCACTACATATATACTATGTACTTTGTGCTGATTATCAAGGGTCGTCTAAATCAGTCCAGCTGGGAGTCTATTAATAAAGCTCTAAAAATACTGACACTTCCTAGTTGGATTTGTTGGTGCATATCTTTGCTTTCTTAAAAGCTGGGTCAATATCTTAATTCTCGCGTGTTGAAGAACCAAATAGGGAAAAGAGCAGCCTGGAAATTTTAAGAATGACGAGAGGAAATTAAACACTAGGAACCAGCCACGAACTAGAAGCGCGTTCTTTTTTAAAGCTATGTATTAATTTTGGTTTTCGAGGAAAAAAATGATTAATTTTGTACGCGTTGTGAATCTGTGACCCATTAGCATTATTACATGGCTGCAAGGAAGATAAACAGGATCTTTCTGTGCCCTTGATGACGATGTTAATTGTTATTCACAAGTCGATCTCATAGACTCACAGGTCATAATTAACATGGCTATTATTCATGCATGATTGATTTTTTTCCTCTGTTTTTCAGTTGGCACCAAACTGTACAGTCCTAACATCTGTTGTCTTGTCTCTATTAATTCGGTCTTTGCAACTGATAGATAGGGACAAATAACCATGGGTCATGTTTATCTTTTGGAATGAGAGAATGGCACAGTGCCTGTGATTATATGCTAATTTATTCCTACATTTTTCTAATTGTCTGCATAAACAAAGAAGCAGATACAAACGTGCATGGCCGAAATAGAAAACTGAAACTAAGATGTGGTACGTAGGACAAAAAGGAAAGGAAAAGACGAGTACCATTCACATGGTCCTCGTCAGGAGACCATTTTTCCAGCAACTTTTTTTTTCTTTTTAATTTCACCAACCATGAGCATAACCTGTCCTGAAAACGTCTTTTAGCTAGTATTATACTAGGCTATATATAATGTGTGAAGAGTGTACGTACCGTGTACGGCGTACAAGGACGAAGCATGCTCTCCAACCACACCATCATTTCTTCATTTTTCTATCTGTAAAAGCCAGCTACACATTTACTTACATTTGCATTGTTGTTAAGGTTGTAGTGACTTGAAGCTTTACCCTCTTACCTGAATTTTACGCTACATGCTTGTTAGCCTGTATACATTAAGCTAGGCTAGTGTTTCTGATCAGTACACATGTCCTGTATTCTGCAGTTCAAGCATCAAATGCATGCCGTCCAAAAATGAATTTACCAAAACCAAAACAGTCATATATTCATATTATTTCCACATCTAAAATAAAATCACAACTTCTTTTAAAACAAAAAATCTCCAAGAGCGCATACAGTTATCACTGCAACTTTAGCATACCATTGTCGATTACAGTTGGTGCCCCCATGCTCTTCTTTTTTTAAAAAATAACTGGTGCCGATGTTAATAGTTTAGATCGGAAATTTCGTGTGTACTTGTAGTAGGTACTACTTCCTCTGTTTCACAATGTAAGTCATTCTAGCATTTCCCACATTCATATTGATGTTAATGAATCTAGACATGTGGAAAATGCTAAAATGACTTACATTGTGAACGGAGAGAGTAGTACATACTTATAATGTTGTCAAATAATTAGAAATCTATTAATTGGCCATATTAAATTATTTAGAATCATAGGATATTGTATCCCTATTAAGGGATTAAATGGTATCGGTTCAGTCTTCTGAAGATACTCATAGAAGTATGGTGTGTATGTATATTTATAGAGATAAGTCTATAGAGATAAGTGTGAGATAAGTGTGCAGAATTTTTTATTTTATTTTTTTAACCTTTTTAATTTTAAAAATAAACCCATCCAAAATTTATTTTCAAGATTTGAACCTTTTGACTACGCCAGCTAAACTGGCGTGGCAAAATAATATTGTCACGCTGATCCCGCTAGCATGATAACGTTATTTGGTCATACCGGCGTCGTTGGCGTGACAGCGTTATTTGGCCACGCCGCTCTCGCTGGTGTGGCGGGACAGAGTTATTTGGCCACGCCAAAAGGTTCAGATTTAGAAATATTTTTTGGTATGGTCTATTAATAAAATTAAAACATAAAAATGTCTAAAAATAAAAAAAAATAAGTGTGCGCGCGTTGTGAATATCCACATCTGTATTGTGTTCTCTTTTTTTTTAAAAAAAAAAAGGGAATAGTAGCATCTATATCATGTTCACTAAATTTTCCATTCTTTTGATTAATATTCAATGAAATGATGCATGCGCACACACCAACCACGCAGTCCATGTCCTCTCTTCTTCCCTTTATATGCACGCGAACACGAGAACGATGGAGAGTAAACACAACCAGCCAGCCAACCACAAAGGCGACCTCCCGGCGACGAGCTCACCTGCACCTACACCTCAGCTCGCTCGCCGGAGACTGATAATGGGGGAGGCGCAAGCGCCGGCTGCGGCATCATTCAGCCTCGCGCAGCGGCGGGGCGGCGGCCTCCGCCTGCCGCGCCGCGTCGGCCGGCGCAAGGTCCACGTCGTCCGCCTCGGCGGTGGATGCAGCAGCGCGCGGACGGGCGGCGGAGGCCGCGGGCTGTGCCTACGCCGGCTCAGGCTCCGGTGGCTCCGCCGCGCCGTGTGGCGGCTCGCGGAGCTCTGCGTCGCGGCGCTGTCTGGCCCGCTCGGGGCCGGAGCGGCGGCGGCGGCGACCGACGCGACGTCGCCGTGGGGGGGCGGCGCCGCCGTCGCCGTCGACCCCTACGCCTTCGCCGCGCCGTTCGTCCCGGCCGTGCTGCTGAAGCGCGCGGGAAAAGGCTACTAAGTACATATACGTGACAGTTTATTAACTACGCTTTTTTCTTTTCTCCTTCCATTTTAATTTGAATTATGTTTCCAATTTTCTTTTGGTTCCATTTCTGTTTAGTTTGGCTTCTGAAGCATGGGAACTGAAGAACAGTGTACCGTGCTATTGTAACACCCAATTATATAAAAGCTATGAACGCTACAAATTCTGTCCAACTCTGGACTTTTGTGTGTACTACCGATTGTTGATCCATCGTTGAATCGATTCGGTGCCTGAAAGTTGTGACGTTAAATTAGGGCTGTCAACGAGCCGAGCTCGAGCGAGTTTGGCTATGTAGGCTTGAGCTTGACATGAACTCGAGCCGAGCCTAGATATTGATCGAGCTTGGGAGTGAGCTCGAGTTCGAGCTCGAGCGAGCTTCGAGCCTACTCGAGCTTGACAGCTTGACTTGGTGAAACTCCAAATAACTTACTCTTATATAAGAGATATCAATGCAAATTATCGGTAGTCAAAATTAATGGGTGCTACTTGTCTTGAATGAAGCCTCTGCAGCTTTTCTCATGAATTTATGGCTTTGAAACGTTGCAATTAACAAAAGCTAGCTACTACATCTAATAGGAATAGTAGTTCTATTACTAGCAGCCGGATAATTGCTTTATTGAGAAGCACTGATGAGGTCTTAAGACTTGGGCAGGCCAAACACGATGACAAGTATACATTGACCCATCAAGAATATCTTCTTACATGCAATTCATCTTATGCTAATCAAGCTCTGCCGAGCTATTCGAGCTCGAGCTTGCTAGGCTTGCGAGCCTCAGCCTAGACTTGAGCTTGGCTCGTCTAGTATTCGAGCCGAGCTCGAATCAAGCCTATAACGAATCAAGCTCGAGCAGCTTGCGAGCTCTGAGCTTTTTTGACAGCCCTACGTTAAATCATGCCGACAAAACAAACAGTGACCGTTGCAGGGACAGGTCACAGGTGCACGGTACAATTTTATACTGTACCTGCCTTCGTTTGTCAAACCATGGGCCTGTTTAGTTGGTGAAATGAAAATTTTTGGGTGTCACATCGGACGTTTGATAGGATATCGGAAAAATTTTTGGGTGTCACATCGGACGTTTGACTGGATATCGAAAGGGGTTTTCGGACACGAATGAAAAAACTAATTTCATAACTCGCCTGTAAACCGCGAGACAAATCTTTTGAGCTAATTAATCCGTCATTACCACATGTAGGTTATTGTATCACTTTATGGCTAATCATGGACTAATTAGGCTCAAAAGATTCGTCTTGCGATTTGCATGCAAGCTGTACAATTAATTTTTCTTTTTATCTATATTTAATGCTCTATAAATGTGTCTAAAAATTCGATGTGATGTTTTTTGAAAAAGTTTTTGAGGGAACTAAACAGCCCTCATATGAAAAGTTCCAAAATTTCCATACTCTCAAGTTATAAACTTATCACGGGGACTCAAATTTACAGTTCATTATTGGTCTAAAGTAATAGATGGCATACCCATCGACAACCGGGTGTGAAGTGTCTATGATGACTTCGTTAATCTCAAAATATGCTGGACTCGTCTTCCAAAAATATATAGAGATAGGATGTACATGTACGTTTATAACTTATAAGCATGAGTTTACATGTGCATTGTGAGCATATACATTTGTACCATATTTCTTTTAAAAAAGTCCCGTTTGTAAAAAAAAAAATCAGACATATCCTCTTAAATCTCAGTTTTTTTTCCCATGTGACATCTAGGATTTTCAGTTGAAGCATGAACAGTGCTACAGTACAAGCAAGCTGCCGTTTTCCTTTTCTTTTTTTTTTTTCGCTCTGGTCTGTTCCGAGTAGGTACACACAGTACAACACAACAGTGGGCGATCTCACGTGGAGCTGATCCGCCATTAACGCTTTTGATTTGTGCTCCTACACTGTGCGTTGTGTGTGTGGCAGGCAGAAGGAGCTGATCAATTAGAATCTAATCCAAAAAATTTAAACCCAAACCACTACTTCTACCAAATTGCACGTTGCCTTCTTCAATGCCCAGGACGACAGGGAGAGGGCAGCTCGAGCCTCCTGGCCTCGCCTTTGCGAAATTCAGAGCCATGTGCATCTCATATATAATCCAATCCAAGCATTCAATACTCGCCAACCTTATCATGGAGAAAGAAAGAAAAAAAAGAAGACAAACAAACAGCGGTTGCTTTGATGATGAAGAAACCCATGACTGCCCAACCCCTCTCTTTGTTTGGCTTGGATCTCTTGATTGAGTGGATTATGTATGGATGGTTACTCCTCTCTTGGCTTGGCCCTCTTGATTGATTGAGTGGATTATGGATGGTTTTGATTGCTAGATTGATGCATCATGGTATGTACTAGTACTATGTTGGGCTGTGACTGGCTGACTTTGTAATCTTGTCCTATCATGTGGCAAGGAGATTATCCAGGATCATTACAGGAGATCAATACAAGACATAGTACAATTATACAGGATATGGTACAATTATGTAACGTTGATGTTGCATTGACAGTTGACAGATCAATAACTTGGCACATGTGTTCTTTTTTTTTCTTTTTGGAGAAAAAGGGGGAAAAGGGAGAAAAAAACAGCATGATACTGGTGGTGGCAGCGCCCTGACACATACGTTAATGTCTTTTTTTTTTCTTTTCTCCAAATAATTTGAGACGGATACGGAGTAAAAAGAGATTGCAAAGACAGGAGCAGCATGAACAGGCCAACTGCATGCTGAATGAGCAGCAACAGACTGGAGACATTATTGCCAAATCACAGACCAGAACAGCTGAACGATCCTGTAGTACAATGTGACTCACACAGGCATACATCAATTGACCAAACCATGGGACCAAATCACCACAAGAAATGAGAAAAGATAGCACAGTGAAGCAATTAAGTTTACACATCAAATGCCAATATGCCAAGCACTGTCATTCCATCCAAAGATGGCAAGTTGAAGATTGATTTTAGCGGACAATGTGACAGCGAAAACGGAGGGTATGGTGGCGAAGGAAATTTCACAAATTCCATGCAACAAGAGGACAGGAAGATATCTGAAGAAATTTTAAGAACACAGGTACATTACCGCTGTAAAAGAGTATGTTTACTGAAATCTCCAACCTGAAGAATTCTGGCTGAACAAGCAGCATGAGATACAACGAAATCTGGCTTTCATTAGCCCACATATGTAGCAGAGGCTGCCATTAAAAACTCGCGGCCATAGTGGGAGCAGCAACTATCAAGATGGTCAAATCCATTCTAATCAAAGTCTAAGAACTCCATCCTCTTCCTCATTGAACCTTTCAGATCTCTCGCTTCCCTTTCTGCTTTCTCGGCCTGTATTATCACAAGATGTAACAATATTAAGGGTCATGAATCTCATGATCGGATGATCCTATGTCAAACTACACTCTACAATGCATCGGCAGACAAAATGCTTATCAAATTGTCTTCTGTATCCTTTTGTTCTTCACATATAGCATGATGCCAATTGTTAGTGAGGTAAGGTGGTAAGGAGGACACAATTTCTACACAGTTCAAAGCTGTTGCAAAAGTTATTATGTAATAGATAAAGGACATTATATATAAAAATAAACAATTCCAAACCAATGCAGCTGATCTAAGGATATAAGTTGACAGCTGGAAGCTCCTAAGAAAATCTTCTCATGTTTAATATTCTGTTCATGTAAGCCTAGGTTGCTTGTCCACACATGAAAGAACGCCTCAGGGCAGTGACCAAAGAGGAACGGTTTTCCAAGTAACAGCTTTTCCTCAGACCATGAATGTATTAGGCATATAGGAAGTTGAGAGCTAACTAGTACACCATAGAAAAACTAGAGTTCCTGGACAGTATTATGTCCAGTAGAACTGTGTACCTTTCTTATTTCAGCCTCTGAAACACAAGTCATGTGAGCAGGGAGTTCATCCTTCTCACGATCCTGCTCAATCCAAAACCAGACCTATAGCATCAATATGGGGGAAATGCAATTGATCATGATCATGTTTTTGCGCAGCAGAGATCATTACCAATTCTCCGATTAATACGACATTCTCTCCCCGGATCACATATAGACCAAGAGGAACATCACAATATAGTTCACCTACAATTACTCGTTCACAAGCACCCTGAAGAACAACATTTGCTGCGAGGTAAAAAAAAGTTAACAGGAGCTAATGGCAGAAAAAATCGAGATGAACACTTTTAAGAAAGAGGATTGTGAAGAGTGGCATACCAAACTGATCAAATGAGCAGAGTGTGCCAAGCAGCTTCCGTCCATCTCGTAGTAGGACAATAAGTTTCTCTGGAACAAGACGAGATATGTGAACAAAACAACAATTATCAAAGAAACAGGAGATGCTTCTATGTGAACTTCAGTATCGAAAGAAACCAGTACACACAAGTAGTCACATGATTCACAGCACTACTCATATTCTGCAAGTGTGAATGTTTTCATATATTTGGTTAATAGTTCTAGTCTTCTAGATCAAACTACTGTGTCACCCAAGTACTCTAATTATCTAGAACAATGGGAAGTAATCAAACAAATGTTTCTAATATAATTATTCATGCTAATCAACGACGAAGGCTACAAAAAAGTAACCTATTCTTACATGGTGTGATATCATTGCCAAACTAACTGGTTAAAAATAGTGTCAAATGAGCATAGCATGAAAGTACACAAAGATCTACAAGATGCCAGGAAACCAATAAAAAAGGTTAAAAGTTCAGTGGAACACTTCACAAACATCACTCATATTGTTCAGCTCCAGTGATGGTTCACCTACCCAAATCGGCAAATCCCAAATATATATGGAACACTAACAGTATCTGAAGCTTGACAACGTCTCAATAGTACAATCACTCTTCTCATTGCCACAATAGGAGAATCAAACATGCAAATTGTTTAATAAGCATCAAAGGAAGTCAAGGAGTCACATCAGGGCAACTGTTCACATACGAAACTCATAATACTAAGGTAAAGTCCTCAGTGACCATCAGATGAAAAACTTAAATAACACACTTTATAACTCTAATGCAACAAACTACTACTAACTAGTAACTCAAAAAAATAAACTTTATATTCAGGTTAAGGGAAGTACGTAAGCTTTTAAAGCACCGCTAACAAAGTACATCCTGTAGTAAGCAAAGAATAATTACATACACCTATTCCCTCTGTCCCAAAATAAACCAACCTAGGATACGATAGGGCATTACCTAGTACAACGAATCTAGATAGGTAATGTCCCATCATATCCTAGGTTAGCTTATTTTGAACGGAGGGAGTAGAAATTAAAAGAACACACAAAAGTTCCTGTACAGATTACAGAATCACACTGAGTGACAAGGCTTGACTTCTGTTGATTGACGGGGGTTCCAGTTGAACCCATTTTTCCGTTTAGATGATGTGGTATTGGTGCTAATAATTCAAGCTGGTATTTGAAATCTACACTAGTCAGGTCCAATTGACCATATTTTTTGCTTCGATTAGAATGAAGTTTACACGAAGGCCTTGCGCTGTTGCACATTTGCCAATACCATAGCGAAAATATAAACTGTAGGACCTCACTAAAGGGGCAACTTCCATAACAAATCAATCGGTACCAACGTCTGTGCTTTGTGGAAGTTAACACTTACCAGCCAGCATAACCTACCTAAAGCTCTCCCACCTTTCAATGCGCCGAAAGCAAATGTGACACATTTGCAGTAATAATTTGGTGCAAGTAAATAGCTAAATCACTATCCTTGTCCAAATTACTCTAGTGAGTTACATCCTAGCCTGCATAACCTAGCAAAAGAGCATCCTTCTAGGCCAAAAGAAGGAATTGTGCCTACCAAACAAAGTTAGCCAATTTCCGGGCCAAAGACAGCTCACGAAACCATCAAGATCAGCAGAAATCCGTTTCACTGACTAACTCACATCGGTCGACGCAAGCCACAAGCAAAGAACCTACCCCCACAACCGGATCCAAAGAACCACGCAATCCACGAACCGCATCCAGCATATCATCCGGGAAACGAAAATCAAACCCAAAACAAACCAAAGCCCCCGCTAGAGAAAGAGCCTCACTGTCCAAGAAGCCGGCCAGGGACGTGGAGAGGAAGATCTCGTCGGGCCCGGCCCACGACGACATCGCCGACGCTCGGAACCCTTCAAATCCCGGAGGGCGCTAGAGATCGCCCCGCCCCCTGATCCGCCGCGGACTGGTGTGGGGGCTGCCTGGAGCTTGCGAGCGATTCCGGCAAGGGAGGGAGGGGATTTGCTCTAGGGTTTGGATTGATTGGTGAAGCGGGGCGGGGGGAGAAGAGGAGTAAAGCTGGGTGATTGATGAAAGGAACTATCGTCAAGTGTGAGGTTGACGCAGTTGGGGGCTGACCGGCTGATTCATTGATAGGAGTCCTGACGTGGCACTGACTGACCGGTGGGGTCATGTACCCGCGGCCACCACAATGGGCTCTCTTTCCCATAAGAGCAAAGTGTAATAGTATAGCCAACTACTAGCTCTAATTTATCCGTAACCAATCTAATATTACTCATTTATACAATAGGTACATACTGCACTATTAATACCTATTATATACACACTGCGTCTTGGAGTCCGTGCTACAGCTGGCTACAAATATGTAGCCCGCTACTTTTCTCTCTCTTCATTTATCTTCTTCAAATATATTTGCAGCTGGCTTATAGCCTGCTATTGTACCTGCTGTAAGCGTTGGCCGAGAAATTCAATAATTTAAAACTTCTTGGGGGTTGATAATATGCTTTAATCGATACTTATGGAGATGACATGTAACACAATTTACATGAATGAAGGTAGGTTAAGATATCAAATAATGGAAACATGTTTTAAGGAGTGTTAAATTATCAAATGTCTCAGTGTTGCTCTGTCTGATATGGACTATGGTGATATGTGCGAGATTAAGGTATGTTTTTTTGAATGATTGGATGGATTATGGCTCACATTTTATGGCTCACATTACTAGCTTAGAATAGAGTGTCTAGAAAGGTGACATGAACAAGCCATTATCCACATAACCTATAAGCCATAATCTAACAAAATGTGTTTTGGTATTGAGAGGTGGTTGTTCTGGATGTTTTGGTATAATTTGTTCTGGATTGCTTATAATGTACTCCATCCAAAATATAAGGAATAGACTCTTATATTTTGCTGTCTTGTAATTGATAGTACTAAAATGTATCACATCAGATCAAAATCTCTTATAATGGGGTTGAGGGAGTAGCTAATTAGTGTGTAGCGTTTGAGCATGTCCATTAATAAGGGTGAGCAAACTTAGCAACAGGCATAGACCTTACAAAATTGGGATCTTCAAATTGGAGAGGAAAAGGCTGTTAGCCCAACCTCTCTTTGTTCTCCCATTAATGTCCGAGATTGAGTCGCCCAAGCTTCAACAGCCGACCCAATCCGAGACCGATGTGACAGTGCTATTTTGCCACGCTAGTCCGGCTGAAATGGTCAAAAGGTTCGGATCTTGAAAAATAAGTTTTGAAAGGGTTTATTTTTAAAATTTAAAAAATTAAAAAGTTAAAAAAAATTACAAACCCATTGTTTTAGTAATTTAATCGCATAGCATAAGAGATGATCCTCTGTTAATGACATGAAATGTTATTGTCATGTTTTTTGAAATTTACATCTTTGACGTTAAAATTATTTTTAGACTTAAGCAAAAACTTTGGGTCATTAATTATTATTTTTGAAATAAAAGTACACGTCATTTCTAAATCTATTTTTTCTGAATTGAATTTTTCACATGTTAATAGTGAAAATGTTTCAATACAATAGTGAATTAGTTGCCAGCAAATTCACATGGCAATAGTGAAAAAAATTTCAATACAATATTGAATTTGTTTATCGGCAAATTCACATGGAATGTGTGAAGATCAGAGTAGGGCACACGGCAAACCAACTTCAAGCTTGTTCTACCTGCTTTCCTTTATGCTGAAACTAGCCATGCACGCATGTTCCCAAGATCCTTGATCGGAGGCAACAAACCATCACCAAACTCATGAAAATGCAAATGGATTCTCCCGTTTTGTGCTCCACATTAATGGCTGATCTGTTATACCCACCTACTCTGGACGTTGCTAATATGCGACATCGAAATGAAATACTACAAAATTTGAAGAGATCCAACAAAGTTCAAATTGACAAAGCACATTCGTTTCCTCACTCGTGTTTTACCAACATTCCTAGAAAGGACGACGAATCGAGCTACAAATGTGCTAGGACGCACGGTGTCGATGCGCCCAATTGTATTCAGGAAAAGAAAATTTTAAAGGGACATAAGGATTTTCTAAACCTCTTAATACAAAGAACAAAACAATAGTAGTTCCAAACATAACATCCTTTTTCATTATTAAAAAAACATAATCCTTCTACAATGTCAAATTGTAAACTATTTAGTTTCACTGCTTCTCAACAAAAAAATGGACTTGAGAGACCTATATTATACATTCTCAAAAGGAAAATGTGTTAAAGTAAAGTTAGAATTTTTTTTTTGTCCGAACGAAGTGAGTATAACTTAATCGGTTAGGTTACTTGGTGTAATCAGCCTACCTGGATTTAAATTCTAAACTTAATACGAGTGTTCACACTTACGATTAATTATTCTTTCGGTGGTAGGTGAGACATTTATGATGACTTTATCAATCTCAAGATATGTCGGTCCAGAATTTTTGATGTGCACGCTTATGTGCGCGCCTGCCCTAATGTTTCTAGGAAGAAATTAAGAAAAAAAATATAATGAATTAAAGTTTGAGAAGGAAAAACGTGTACACACCCACGAAGGTGAGGGGCCCCATCCAATCCACACGAAATCCATCCCCCCGCCGCGCGCGCCACCGCCACCGCCACCGCCACCCTCGCCGCGGCGCCGCCTCCACTCCACTCCACCGCCGCCGCCTATATAACCCACCTCCACCTCGCTTCCCCGGCCTCGACTCCACTGCTCCACCACCATGCAGGCGCACGCCCACACGCTCGGGCTCCGCATCTCCCCGCCGCCGCCTGCGCCGCCGCGGCGCCGCGCTCGCCCGCGCCGGCGCGCAGTCCGTGTCGCCGCGGCGGCGTCGGCGCCGCGGCGGGAGACGGACCCGAGGAAGCGGGTGGTGATCACGGGGATGGGGCTGGTGTCCGTGTTCGGGAACGAGGTGGACGCCTTCTACGAGCGGCTGCTCGCCGGGGAGAGCGGGGTCGGCGCCATCGACCGCTTCGACGCCGGCGGCTTCCCCACGAGGTTCGCCGGCCAGATACGCGGGTTCTCCTCGGAGGGGTACATCGACGGCAAGAACGACCGGAGGCTCGACGACTGCCTCCGCTACTGCATCGTCAGCGGCAAGAAGGCGCTCGAGAACGCCGGCCTCGGCAAGGGCTCCGATGGCCACACCAAGGTCAGTGAGAGACTGAGACGTTCTCGTTGGTGTTTATCTCTGTAAAATTCACTTTCCTTTTTTGTGTGCAATGTATGACAGTATGTCAAAAGTGCTCACTTGTACCATTCACTTCGAGAAACGATTGAATTTGCATAAATACATCAGGAATGGATTTATTTAGGAATATTTTGGTATGATAGGAAGTAAGCCAGCTAGAAAGAAATGGCCATCCATGCTTTTATGAAAGAAAAAGAGGGAGCTAGGAATAGACACCAACTGTGTACCAAACTAATAATTGATTTTTGTTCAATTTTTTTTTAAATGTACATATGGGTTGAAAATTTTGCACATAATTTATATATCCAATCATACCAGGTACTCTCTCCATCCCATAAAAAACCAACCTAATACCGGATGTGATACATCCTAGTATTACGAATCTGGACATCCCTCCGTCCCTAAAAAGCTAACCTAGTAGACACATCCGGTACTAGGTTGGTTTTTTATGGGATGGAGGAAGTAAGAATAAGCACATTATTTTATTATTGTGATATTGTCACAGTGTGTTAAGAACAAACTGAGTTAAATTCGGTTAGTTTTCTTGTATGGAGATTGGCTCCAAAGAAAAACAAGAGGTATTGATTTGATTTGGTTTTGCTGTAAGTTCCTGTAACCTATGATGTCATAGAAATGACCTTTTGTTATGTGAGTCCGATTTCCTTATGAGCTGCTAGATCACTGCGGATGAATAGCCTCAAAAAAGAAACTCCATTCATGTGGTCTTATTGGTAGACCTCATAGGCTAGTTGTTTAAGAGTTTCCCGGAACTGTCAAAAGGACTGCTAACTCAAACAACAGAGTAACAGACCATTAGTTTGTCTGAGGAATATGATGGCTAAGCATGTTATATGATCTTGCTGTCTTGTTTTTAATGGGTAGAACGACCAGTTTGTTATTTGTTGCAGCATATTCTGCTTTTCATCATTAATTCATTATGCATCCAGTTGCACAATTTTCTCCTGTTCCTTGCTTGTCCTCTTTTGGAAGTCTTAATCCTCTAATTGCTTCATTTTCAACAGCTTGACAAAGTCCGGGCTGGTGTTCTTGTGGGAACTGGCATGGGTGGCCTCACTGTGTTTTCCGATGGTGTTCAAAACCTTATTGAGAAGGGATACAAGAAAATTTCGCCTTTCTTTATCCCATACGCTATAACTAACATGGGCTCGGCATTGCTAGCAATGGATGCTGGTTTTATGGGTCCAAACTACTCAATTTCAACAGCTTGTGCGACCTCCAACTACTGCTTCTATGCTGCTGCCAACCATATACGTCGGGGTGAGGCTGATGTTATCGTTGCTGGTGGTACTGAAGCTGCAATTATTCCAATTGGCCTTGGAGGTTTTGTGGCCTGTAGAGCACTATCGCAGAGGAACGATGACCCAGAAACTGCATCTAGGCCATGGGACAAAGAGCGAGATGGTTTTGTTATGGGCGAAGGTGCTGGTGTACTGGTATGCATTATTGTTGATATAACTATGCTAATTCCATACTCCCTCCTTCCAAAAATCTGAGACCTATTTTTTTTGCATCAAAACCAAGAAGCAATTAACTCACTCACCAAGTCACCATGTGGCAAAACCAATGAACATGCAACCAATAAGTAATAGAATAGCTTCTTGGTTTCCGATCAACAATTTAATTTAGCACATAGTGACTACAAATATGACTCAGATTTTTAGAGAAACCAAAGAATGAAATAGGTCTCGGATTTTTGGAAGGAGGGAGTACTTTATAACTGTGAAACATGTAGCAGCACGATTGCTGTTTATACCCATTAATTTGTTAATTTCGATTCCATCATTACAGTTTTTTGCTCATAAAGTGCTTCGCGTCAAGTTATCATGCTAATCCCCATTTTAGACATCAGCTATCATACTGATAAAGAGTTTCTAGTTGGTCACATAAACAGCTTAGTCTCTCGTGACATGCTAAATCACTGATGGTCTGGTTGAATAGGTCATGGAGAGCCTGGAGCATGCGATGAAGCGGGATGCACCAATAATTGCTGAATATTTGGGAGGTGCAGTAAACTGTGATGCTTACCATATGACTGATCCTAGGTCAGATGGACTGGGTGTATCGTCCTGTATTACTCAGAGCCTTGAAGATGCAGGTGTTGCGCCAGAGGAGGTAACTCTATAAAACATAGGCTCCCACAGCTTTAGTTCAAAGGTCCTCAAAGTTGATTACAGTCTAAAATCAAAACATTGGCTGAATTGAAGAATGAACCAAATCTCTTACTGAATTATGGGTGGCCCCTTTGATGCAGTTTTTGTTGTGTTTAATCTTTGATGCAGTTGTTGAAACTGTTTAGAAGTGCGTCCATTTGGAAAACCTATTAATATTTCATTTATATTTATTGCTCTAACTTTATGTTCTTTAGGGACTGAGTTGACTGTAATGCTAATCTCTAAAGTTCTTGTTCTATTCTTGATGGAAATAAACAATTTTTACAGTTAAATTCCACTGCTCTTTTAGGTAAATTACATCAATGCACATGCAACTTCAACTCTTGCTGGTGACTTGGCTGAAGTAAGAGCCATTAAGCAAGTCTTCAAGAATCCATCTGATATTAAAATCAATTCAACGAAGGTTTGCACATTTTCATCTACAACATGGCATTCCATAAATTCTTTTGAATGGAAAGTGCCAATTTGTAGTTGTCTTCCTCTTATGGCTTGTTTCTTCCTTCTCTGCCAGTCTATGATAGGCCATTGCCTAGGTGCCGCTGGTGGGTTAGAAGCTATTGCCGTTGTCAAAGCCATAACTACTGGATGGGTGCATCCTACTATTAACCAATTTGTAAGTAATCATTATCCTCTCTGAATGTTATTTGCTTTCTGATGGTTCATGCAAATTATTGTCAGATTTAGCAATCCATGTTTTTCACAAGTTGTCTGTGCAACAGTCAAGAATAATAGGGTTCACTTAATTGATTCATTGTCAAATTGTCAGCATATCAATTTTTAGTCTCGCTCCTTTTGCAGAACCCCGAGCCTGAAGTTGATTTTGATACAGTAGCCAACGAGAAGCAGCAGCACGAAGTGAATGTTGGTGAGTCTCTGTATCCCTGCACAAATCAACGCCAGAAAAGCTTGCCCTAGCCGGCTAGCCCCCTTATCTTCGTTTCATCTGCTATATAGTCAGTTGGGGTAGGGCATTGACACTCTTATGGTTTCCATTCCATGAAAAATTGATACTTCAAGGGTCGGCCTGAGAGGGCAAAAAATTGATTTCCTTGTTGATTGTTTCATTGAATTGCATGCATGAACTTATGTGCAGACAGCTCATTTTCCCCTGTCTTTTCTGGCAATCTGTCTTATGAATGTTTGCTGTCTTCTCAATGCAGCTATCTCTAATTCATTTGGATTTGGAGGTCACAATTCAGTGGTAGTATTTGCGCCATTCAAGCCATGATTCCAATTTTTTGCTTCAGAAAATATATAGCCTGCAGCATTTTCTGGCAGTTGGTAATTAGTGAGGAATTGCTAGATGTAGCATATTTGATTTTACCGGCCTCCATCTTCAAGGGAGAAATTTTGATTTGAGTGTAACCGGATTATGATCATTAGATGCCAATTCTTTTCGGGTTCCCGTTGTGTATGTTATGGTGTGACAGATCTGAAATAGTGTAAAGACATCAGTGATCCAGCTTTGTCATGTGTAATTTGTTCGTTGCGTGCTTTAGCTTCAATCTTCAAAGAATAATAATTCATCGTGCAGTGCAATATTTATCTGTTTCGTAAGTCACTCCATTTTGCATCTCAAGGACTGAGGCATGCATGATGCCTTAGGTTAGGTAAAAGGGTTGAGATATTCAGTACAATAGCCCTTTTTATTCAGTACTTGTCTAGGCATATAGCCAAAAATATACTCCCTCTGTCCCATAAAAAACCAATCTAATACTGGATGTGATATATTCTAGCACTACGAATCTGGACATACATCTATCCAGATTCGTTGTATCAGAATGTGACTGTTACATCTAGTTCTAGATTCGTTTTTTTAGATGGATCCAGTTCTAGATTCGGGACGGAGGGAGTACGTAGTAGTACTATTTAGGAACAACAACGCACAATGGTGTCTAAACATAATAAAAATTGTTATATTTTGAGACAGATGGAGTAGTATTTTTTAGAGTTAATTTCACTTTGGGCCATGTTTTATTGCCAAAGTTTCACTTTGGACCACCCTTTATCTAATCTTTTCACTTTGGATTAGGTAATTTTACCTTTGTTGCACAATGGACCACCCAAAACACATTTTTATTTCTTCGATGACTTCGAGCAAATTGTTAACGGCATGCCAGCAAATTTTCATACCTATATGCATGGCATACTTTTGTCGAAAGAGACGCTAGACATGACAAGCGAAAAGAGTTAGGGTAGTCCATTGTGTAACAAAGGTAAAGTTACCTAGTCCAAAACGAAAAGATTACGTACAGGGTGCTAAAGTGAAATTTTGGTAATAAAACATGGCCCAAAGTGCAATTCACTCTATTTTTTAAGGCCTGGTTTAGTTCCCCAATTTTTTTTTCCCAAAAAACATCACATCAAATCTTTGGACACATGCATGGAGCATTAAATATAGATAAAAATAAAAACTAATTGCACAATTTGCATGGAAATCACGAGACAAATCTTTTAAGCCTAATTAGTCTATGATTAGCCATAAGTGCTACAGTAACCCACATGTGCTAGTCTTGCGGTTTCCAGGCGGGTAATGAAATTAGTTTTTATTCGTATCCGAAAACCACTTCCAACATCCGATCAAATATCCGATGTGACACCTGAAAATTTTATTTTCGCGAACTAAACAGGCCCTAAGATTTGGAAGCAGACTTGAAAAGAAAACCACCAACAGGTAGGGGTGAAATCGGGTCGGGTTCGGTCGGATCTCATCCTTCCCATATCCTAACCCATATTTTATAATCGGAATCGGGTCGGGCACGGATATTATCGGATACGAATAGAAGCACGGATAATATCGGGCATAAATACGGAACGAATACGTACCAAGACGGATACGAACTCTATCGGTTACGAATATTTATTCAGATATCAAGTCAAAGCAACAACCAAATATACCACATAGACAATAGCCATTCAGCCATTTCCTATATGTCTATTATGAATATATTAGGGGCTTATGGCATCGTAATGCCTATCAGCAAAACTGTACCAAAGTAGTAGCAAAAGTAGACATTCATAGCTTGATAGCTTCAGACTCAATGCTGTACTGATCTGAACTGTGAAGTGAAGGCTAGGGTTTGTGCTTGGCACTTTGTTTGGTGGGCCTTTTGGATGTGGGCTGGCTGTTGCCTGTTGTGTTGGCCTGTTGGGCGCTTGCCTGTTGGGCTGCTGTCCATCTATCCGGGTAATATACGGATAGATTATCGGATAATACCCGCATAATTTTTCGGATAATCCGTATCCGTCGGATACCGCTCTCCCGAACCCGATCTCATATCCACAAAAAATTACCCGTATTCGAACCCTGTATCCGTGTAAGGGTCCGGGTACCCGAATTCCCGAACCGAATTTGACCCGAAATAATGTGGCCGGGCGGGCGGTCGGGAAATACCCGCCCCGTTTTCAGTCCTACCAACAGGGCAGCTACACCCACAGAATTTCGCAAAGCATCTCATTCTGTATTCAGATTCAGACTTGCATAACGTTCCAAGAGAGCAGCACATAGCATATATGAATAGCAACTCGGCTGCTGCCAACGAGACAAAAATCCATCCATCTCAAGAATAAAATCAGGAATTTTTCTTCCCCTAATAAATAACGTACGACATCTTCAAAAGCACCTGCAGTCTGCAAAAACAGATACATAGATTCCTCAATAGGAGTACTACGAGATTACAACATCATGTTCTTTTGCTGCTCTTTTGCGATGCATTGCAACTCACTTGCACAACACGTGTCTTTCTGCCCATCCACTACGGGTCTACATCATCCAGATTCTGCACATACCCAGGCACCCAGCATCAAGGCACAACGTACCCTCTTGAACAACTACAGTCCTATTTTAGCTCCAGACTTCAGTGCCACTCCACAAAAAGCAAAGCATATGACACCATCTGTCTCCATAGCATTTCCAAAGAACGAACCACTCGAATCAATTCTTGTGAGCATATCAGATTTAGTAGTACAAAGTTACAAGTACAAGATGCTCAACATGAAGCCTCCCAATGCAATGAACAAACACCCAAGGCAAATTGGCAATGATCTCTCAACTCACCATTCTTTGGCACAAATGAGATCACACATTGGAGGTTCTTGTAATGCAGAGAAACAAACAACAATGTGACTGATGAATGGTACAGGGAGGTAAACTTATCATCACTATCTACTGATAATAATAATAATAATAATAATAATGCTTAATTTGGCACTACTCCCTAGCCAACATTTTCTTGCATCCAACCAATATAAGCTAAGCTGCAGCAATGCAATGCAATCCGGTTTTTTTTTTCTTCTAAGGCGAAATGATGACACCAATTTGGAGTGCCATCACTGGCTCTCTTCTTCTTCGTCGTCCTCCTCGTCGCTGCTCTGTTCGCCGTCGCTGGCAGCGGCCGCTGCAGCGACGGCGATGTTATTCTCATGGTACTGATAGTGCGGGCGCGACGGCGGTGGCTGCGGGTGGTGGCGGTGCCTGCCGCCGTCGCTGACGCGATACCGGCGGTGGTAATTTCCACTGGCGCTAGCGTCGTTAACCGACGCCATTCTTCTAGAGGTGCCACCGGCGCCGCCGGTGGCACCAGGCGGCGCGGCGGCGTTGGCGGGAGAGGAGGAGTGGTCCTTCACCTGCGAGAGTTCCATCTGCGTGTTGAGGAAGAACTGCACGCGCTGCGACTCCAGCTCGCTGGCGAAGTCGAGGCGGCGGCGCTCCATCTCCGCGGATTGCTCCAGCTTCGCCGTCTCCACGCGCTCGTACGCCTCGCCGAAGCGCCGTATCGCCTGCGCGAGCTCCCGTAGCCCCTGCGCGCGGTCGCCGCCTCCGCCGGCGCCGCCGCCGCGCCCCTCGTCCGCTCTGCTCCTCTTGCCGTTCGGCGGCGGCGGCAGCGGGAGAGGCGGGAACGCCGGCTGGCGCTCCGGGGGGAACCCGTCGGACGACTCGGACGACGCCGACGGCTCCGGGGACGGCGCCCTCCGCTTGACCGCAGACACCGGCGCGGGCATCAGCGGCGTGCGGCTACGCTGGGGGAAGCCCACGCGCAGCGCCGCCGGCACCGGGTTGCGCCCGTTCACGCTGGCCCCGACGCCGCCGCCGCCGTTGCCGCCGGGCTTCTGGTTGAACGTGGGGGCGAGGAGGTCATCGAGGCGGCCGAAGAACTGCCACGACGAGGCCGGCTTGGCCCTCTCGATCTTGTACTTCTTCTTGAGCGTGTCGATCCGGTTCTTGCACTGGACGTCGGACTTGGGCGCCTTGGCGTACCCCTCCCGCGACGACACCGCGTCGGCGACCTCCTGCCACTGCGGGTGGCGGAGGCTCCCCCGCCCGAGCGCCACGAACCTCTCCCCCCACGCGTCGATCAGCGCCGCCGTCGCCCCCTCGCTCCACGCATCCTCCCTCCCGCCACCCCCACCCCCAGGATTCGGCGACGCCGCGTGCTGCTGCTTCTGGATCGGGAGGGCCAGCGCGAGGAGGCCGGAGGGAGGCCCCGCGGCGACGGTGACGGGGTCGGCGACGGGGAGCGCGGAGGCGACGGGGGACGGCGAGGGGGAAGGCGAGGCGGAGGCGGCGGCGTCGTCGTCGTCCATCTCGGCGGCGGCGGCGGCGGCGGCGGGATTGGGGGATCTATCCGATCTGGTTTAGGGGCGGCGGTGAGGGGGTGGTGGGATTGAGGCGAGGGGGATCCGGTCGTGACCCGGCGGGGCGAGGGGGTTGACTTGGGCCAGGCCGGTGGGATGGATGGGCCGGCGCCGAGGAGGTGGTGGGTTAGGTCAGGTCGGGGTGGGGATCGGGATCGGGAAAGGAACGGCCGGCCGGCCAGCCGGCAGCCAGGAAGAGACCGGGTTTCAACCTCCCCAACCATGGTGTACCCACCCCTTTCGTACACCAGGGCAAGAGGATATACTTAACTACTCGCTCCGTTTCTAAATATTCGACGCGGTTGATCTTTTTAAAACATGTTTAACCATTCGTCTTATTCAAAAACTTTTGTGAAATATATAAAACTATATGTATATAAATAAAAGTATATTTAACAATGAATCAAATGATAGGAAAAGAATTAATAATTACTTAAATTTTTAATAAGACAAACAGTCAAACATGTCTAAAAAAATCAACGCGTTAAATATTTAGGATGGAGGAAATATAATATAGTAATAACTACGCATGATATGATGTGGTTTGTTGTCGCAGGGTCATTCATAAGCACCAATTTCAGTTTTTAAAAAAACACCAATTTCATTCATTATGTAAGTGATGAGAAGTTTGTTTTTATAAGAAAAAAGTAGTTTTGGTTCAAGGATTTCCCTTCTTGCGAGAAAATAAAATCCTACTACATGAATTAAGCTGTGGCACATATAATGTTATTCTCAAGTGTGTCAACTCTATTTCGGTTTGGCTCTCGGAATCGTTTTCGGTACTAGCCGGTACCGGTGTACCGTTGCCGTGCTTGAAAGTAAAGTAATATAAGTATATTGTTTATGGTATTTTACATTTATTTCTATTTGGATAGGGTTTTACTTTCTGTTATTTCTCTTGCGGTAGTAGTTTTAAGTATTGTGGCTATCTTCATCTACGATGAATTTTGCATAATGTACGTATAGTTATGGCAGTATGAAACAAGCAACATAGCGAATCTAGTGTTTAATATCTATGAATCATGCTTGCACCACATTTTGGTGGAAGACAAGGGAAGGAGATATTCTTGTCCAATGCCATGGTTCTACATGCATTGAGATGAACATGGGTTCAACAATAAAAGCCTACTTGGTTCAAAGCATGTTAAGGGATGTCAATACACATATGCACTAACAGAAAGAGGTAGACCATGTTGTTTGCTATAGCTTCTGAGGTTATCAATGAATGGAGTAAGGGGTTGTTCGTTAGACATTATCGTGGCTATAGCTGCAGTCACCACTACAATGCATAAGCTGGTAGTATTGGTGTAAGGGCATCCACAATGTGTTGAGAAACCAGGTAATAGGCATTCAATGCTCCTCTACAACCTGGTAATAGCCATTGTGGAACTAGTAAATAAGTAGTACCGGGTAGTATGCTTACTACCGATAGCAAGAGAATAAATAATGTTGTTTACACAATCGAGACAGAGAGAGTACAGGATGAAAGCATCTTTACTTATGAATGGTTGAGGGTTGGAGAATATTTTATTGGTGGACCCCACCTTAAAATCTCATACACATTGTGCTGCCTGCGTACAACTACTACCTCTGACCCAAAACCTGACACTAATGCTCACTTCAATTTTATACATTGGTGTTGCCCTAATGCAACATGAGGAGAAAGAGGCTTAGGTCGGTGTTTCAGGTCCTCATCGGTTACCCATAATTCCTAATAAGACAAAATGGTTTATTAGGAAATAAAAATTAATTTATATTTAAAATGTTTATATGTATGTTTTTAGCTACTTAAAAGCCAATGCTGAAAAAAATTACATTAAAAAAAAAATCTTAAAATCAACTTCAAAATTAAGTTTAAAAATTTAAATTTTACTTTTGGTTTTGGTTTATTAGGGCAATCAATGGGGCTCTCAATTATTGTGTACCTCCTCCGTCCCAAAAAAAAGTCCAATCCTAGCTACGAACCTGGACACACATGTGTCCAGATTCCTAGCCAGAGTTTGGTTTTTTTTTGGGACATACTAGTATGTTGTTAGAATCCCTTTTTGAGTCATTACTCGTTAGCTTTATATTCGAGTCGTGTTTGGTATGCTCCAGCTTCAAGTTTTCTTTTGGGTTGGGTATATATTTTAACTCCAAAATTTGTTGGAGGTGGAGATAGTTGCGAGGCTAGACTATTGTTGCTAGGGGGAGACATGTGTTTTGTATATTATGTTATATATAAGTTTAATTTTCTACAAGAATTCAGGAGTTAAAAAGGCATTGCAAACAAGCCTAAAGTTCCTTATGAAACAAAAATATATCATCTCCCAATTCTCATATTTGCTCCCACTAGTATGTGTCTAACATGTGGACAAATGGGTTGTTTGATTCATTGCCATTTCTAGCCTTTGCCATTTTCTGGCAATGGCAAAAACTGGTCATTGCCAAATGTTGTCAGGCTTTCGTTTGGTCTACTATAAGTTATACTTAGTCATTTAACTGAGGCAAACAATCAGGCAATGCCAATTTTTCTACAAACCAAACAGATGATCAATATCTTGTCATTGTTAATTCTTTGGCTTGCTTAGGTTTGGCTACAAAAATTCAGATGCTCGTGTCAAATTTTTGGTCTGCTATAAGTTATACTTTGTCATTTAACTGAGGCAAACAATCAGGCAATGCCAATTTTTTCTACAAACCAAACAGATGATCAATATTTTGTCATTGTTAATTCTTTAGCTTGCTTACGTTTGGCTACAAAAATTCAGATGCTCATGTCAGATTTGCAATTGCTTCGGCATCTACAAAACGAGAATGGAGACGCGGGGAATCGAACCCCGTGCCTCTCGCATGCGAAGCGAGCGCTCTACCATATGAGCTACGTCCCCGTTGTTCTCAGACGATAATATCAACTTATTTAACCGGATCAAATCATGTAATGGTTTGCCGACTCGTAAAATGGAGAGCCGCTGATAAGCACGGTGGTAATTGGCTAATTGCATCACTCGCAAAACAGCATAACCTGTAAACCAGGATGCCATTAGTGCTGGCCATTGGAGCCATCGAATTGAATTGATCGGTATCGCGGGGACACATTCGTATATAGGAATTCATTATTTCTGGGATGGAGTAGTAGTTGAGAATAACCTGTTTTGTTCGCATGACATCACATCACATGCTCCAAACTTCCACTACGACAAAACAGCAAAAGGCATGCAAGTGGGGAGAACAAAACGCAGGGCACATCTCAGAAAATCTGCATTCGCCGCATGGAGATCGATTGTAAAGCATTGCACTTTCTAGCAAAGTTGCAATCATGGATATCGCTCAAGATTTCAGTTTTTTTTTCCAAGAAACCAAATGGCATTGGGCTGCAAACTTGCAGCTTTGCAAGTGAGAGCAGCTTCCGGAATAACAATAGCATGTGAAATGTTATACAACTTAGTACTTACACATACTAAAAGGAACATGGCAACGAGCCAAGGACTAGCTAAAGAGATCTTGATCTTAGCAAATCTACAAACAGATAGCACTTCTGTAGATCTCTGCATGAAATGCGAACTGGACGCATCTTGGTCCTTTGGCAGCATTCAACGGTGATAACAAAAAAAAAGGGATGTTCGATGGGAGGTCCATCGTCCACGACCGTTATCTCCACGCAACATCTAAACCATCTTCCAAAGGTTGTTGCAGATATCAACAGGGGGCGTCGTCTTGTCAAACTCGAACCTCTCTAGTTTCTTCATGTTCTTATCAACAATATCTGAACGAAATTAAGGACATTCAAAAGTTTTTGATTGCTGTAAGACAAAACTGACGGTGAAGTGAAAAGAGAAAGCACTAACCAAATAACTAGTACTAGTTTTGGTATATTAAGATGGGTTTAAACAGTTTTGTTCGAATAGAAAAAATAGCTTAAATTGAAAGGATACAACCAGAGATCTTGTCCTTGTCTTCAAAATTTGGCATGATTTTGGTCACTGACACACACATGGAAAGCATATTTCTGCATAGAAATGTGGTCAGTTCATTGCTCTGAGAATCAGGACAACCAATAGAGGCCACGCTACAAGAGTTCAATACAAATTAATTCAAATTCTGCGACAGTGTTTTCCCACAATGACAATGGAAACTCAATGAGCCATCTTTGCTGCTGTTGAGGAATGCAAATACACTCACAATATACTACAAAGAGGAAGATATGGCATCATCCAAAATCCAAATTCGACCAAGAAACTCCAATTGCTCATTTTTTAAACGAATCTTGCATTACAAATATAAAGCATACCATTTGCTGTTGCACTAAACAACAGTGCTAGGCATAGTAACAATTAAGATACTTGCTCTGTTTTGTAATCTGAGTAGTTTTCACACATTTGATTTTAGTGAGGCTATGAAAGTCAGACTGTTCGAAGAATGGCCCGACGAAAAAAAACTGTTCTAAGATTTAATCAACATTGAGAGAACCAGTATCCACTTACTGTGCTTTCATCATTTCCTTTTCCATCTTCCTTAGAGCTTCCTTCCTTTGTTCTATAGAATCTCTTTGGCTATCTAGGTTATCAAGCTCATCACGTACTGCTGTGTTGACAGAAAACAATATTAGGACTTCAACTTCTTCATTACCACAATGCAGCTTTTCAGATGATACAATTTTGAAACAATAACTTATCTTAAATCCTGGCGAAGGCGTTGCTCATCTTGAAGTTTCTCCTCCATCTCTTTTTGCAGAGCATTCAGTTCATCATCGGCAATTGTTTCAGATTTTGTCTTTTCTATCTTTTCTTTGCAGGACTTTATTTTTTCCTGATACTCTGTTTTGCAAAAAGGAAAGATGCATTTAGATGGCAATTATGTTCTCCATTGTTAAAAAATGTGAACTCCCTAGAGTTCATTGTTCCAACTTCCACGTCAGGCTTCAAGCACAGTCAAACATCATTTTGCCCATATTACTGATGCTATGTGAGCATGTGTTTTCAAGTCATAGCAGAAATATAGGTTTATTTGCTTTGTAGGCCTCACAATTGCAGCGAAACAATGACATAATACACTTACCATGAAATTTTTAAGCATGGATGATTTGATAGTGGAGTAATAGAAGAAACTGTGTACTAAAGGCATGCAAATGTTCAGAAGAGGCAACCTGATTGGAAATAGAAACTTCTATGCTGCTGCCATATGTTAACGAAATGAGATTGTTTAATTGAAGCTTGCTTTGACTAATACTCATTCACCTAAATGCCTACTCCTACTTCCCAAGTGATTCATTTAGAAATATATCTCTAGTAAATTGTAGTAGCAGCTGATGCGATGACTCTACCTTCAAAGGTGTTCATTAAATCATTTTTGATATGCAAGTGCTGGAATTTCAGTCTCGCTTATTACTAACTTTAATTTCTTCTAAGTAAATGAAATTGGCGATGCATTTCCTTTTGTGTGAAAAGACCTTATGCTAGACGGTAATTTTTTTTCTGAGGTAATTAACAGTGAGAATTTCTCCCCGTAACAAAAAAACAACAGTGAAATTGACTAAATTTTCCTAATCCTTTTGGCACCGAACAAGAGCAAAAAATAGCTTGAAATTTTAACCACAGTAGGGTCGCAGAGCACGAAATGGGATGAAATTTCAGGAGAGTCGGGGAGACCCGGACCTTTCATTTGCACCTCGAGGTCGTCGGACTCCGAGCGGCAGGCGGAACGCAGCATCCGCGCCCCGGCGCAGGCCTGCGCGAGGGCCTCGCCGTCCTTCCTCTCGCCGAGCAACTCCACGGTGTCGTCCCCGAGGGCGAGCAGACTCGCCACGTTCACGCGCATCCCCGCCTCCGCCGCCATCTGGTCGCCGGCCAAAACCCTAAAACCACCCCGCTTCCGCCCGCGCCGCAGTCCGGCGGAGAGAAAGACGCGCACAGAGAGGAGGGTGTATGAGGCCGAGGTGGTGGTAGGTGCGGTGGGTGGTCGCCGGCGGCTTCCCTCCCTTCCCCTTCAGCTCGCCGGCGTTTAGGTCGCCGCCGACGAGAGTTTTTCTTCTTCCTTTTCTTTTTCTTTTTTTTTTTTGGAAAGGAGCGCACGAGATTTGAACCGCTAGAGTTGAGTCCAGTAGTCTCCGCTCCAGTCTCCGTGGGCCCACCTGTCAGTGACTGAAAAATTGTAGACGTGATTAACAAGGGCCTACGCGGAAACCACCAACCTTCATCGACCAACGGATACTCGATCTTGGCCGCCCATGTTGCATCGGACGGAGGATGGACGACGATGTTTGGATCGCTACCGTGCTAAACGGTATTACAGAACAAAGCAAGGACCACTACGCAAAATTAATCCCGCATGCTTACAACCTACTTTATCTCGACCGCCAAATTCTGATCCAACGGTGGCCAGAGACCGATGCCAGGATCGCCAAATTCTTGGTCTCCCGGACCCGGAGGGAGCTAAACGGTATTACTGCAAAGGGAGGGCCCCCTTGTAAAAGTATATCTTTGACCAACTGGGCGGGCCCACATGTCGGCGTGATGGCGAGAAACGACACTCCAAGCCTTCGTCGCGGCAGCCGCTCGCCGGAGCTCCGCCCTCTCCGGCTAACCGCCGCCACCGGATTTCGTCGACTCTACGCCGGAGATGCTGTTCCACCGGCGCCTGAGCTGCCTGCCAAAAGCAATCGCTCCTGTCAGTGAAGCGTCCGCAAGATGGCGAAGGATGAGTACAAATTGCAGGCAGAAGATGACAAGATCTCCGCATAAATGCATATCACTCGATTGACCCCAATTGCTCGTGTACGTTTGCGTGCACTTGTTAATGACATCACGCGCGATTCGTTCGTTTGTCAGGCAGGTGTTCGATCGATTCGTTCGTCAGGTTTCAGGCTTTCAGCAACAGCGAGATCATCAATCATCATATCAATAATCTGACACTAATCACACGCTGAATTTTGATGAACTTTTATTCGTTTCTTGAGTCTGAACAATGACACACTCAACCAAGATCCAAGGAATTTGCAGCGAATTCGGTTACAGGATGAGGACGATCAGCGTGGCGACGGTGGTCAGGTTGATGGCGTCGTCGTCCACCTTGTGCAGCGGCGACTCCGTGGCCAGCTGGTTGCCTACGCCGCCGCCGCCGCCGCCGCCGCCGAAGCCGAACGCGTCCTCGCAGCCGGTGGCGGCGCGCCGGACGACGCCCATGTCCGCGACGTACGCCTGCGTCTGCCCGGTGTTCAGCGCGTGGATGGCGCTGTGCACGACGTTGAGCGCCTCGATGTACAGCTGCCGGCACGTGGCGAGCGCGGCCCGCTCGCGCTCCGACCAGCCGCCGCGCCGCTGCAGCGCCTTGATGGTGGCGTACGCGGCCGTGTAGTTGGCCAGCGTCAGGTTGGTGGCAATCACGGCGAGGCCGCGCGCGTCGGCGCCGGCGCTCCCCGGCGCGGCCTGCAGGGTCGACACGCAGAACGGGGCAAGGTCCTTGCGGCTGCCGCTCGCCGTCGCCTTCGCGCAGGTGTCCTCCACGGCGGAGGAGGAGGCGGCGGCGGCGAGCGCCGCGTGGGAGCACGCCACGGTGAGGAGGAGGGAGAAGACAAGCCTCGCTGCCATTGCTTGAGCTCTTTTTTTTTTCTTGCGTTGGCCAATGCAAAGCCGCTTATGGGTTTATGTAGCGGCAATTCCTGTGGACTAGAGACTAGAGAGGCTGTTTTTTTCCCCCAAAATTAAATGTGCAGATAGTTTTCTTCACATTTTGGATGCCTTTTAAAATACTCCTAGATCACATTCCCACTATTTTAATACCATCAGTTATCTATTGCATTGATAGCTTAGCTTGCCACATATGACAAAATAATGTTGCAGTAGTGTCAATGAGGCGAGAGAGAATACTGTCAAAAAGAATGTTTTACTACTCCCTCCGTTTTACAATATAAGTCATTCTAGCATTTCCCACATTCATATTGATGCTAATGAATCGATTCATTAGCATCAATATGAATGTGGGAAATGCTAGAATGAATTATCTAGATTCATTAGCATCAATATGAATGTGGGAAATGCTAGAATGACTTACATTGTGAAACGGAGGGAGTAACAGTTAGGGGTACATATATTGAGTATTGCAACCAATAGCTACCAAAAAGGCTATGTTTTGGAGAGTTTCAGCTCCAACTCTGCCAATTCGGGAGGAGTATGCCCAAACAACTTTAGGTCCACCCTGAAACAGCGTGGAGCGGACTCGAGTACTCTCACAAAATGAACTATAGAGGTAGAGCTAGATTTAGGTTGCTCCATATCCTAACTATTCTTAAAATTAAATTTAAGAGTTTGAGCCGCGAAAGGGCCTGTAGCTTAGTGCGATTTTTTCAGGATTTAACGACATTGTGCTTTTAGTGGTAGGCGACGTACCCGTCGACAACGAGGCGCCTGTAGTGACTTCGTCAATCTCCAAGATTTGCCGCCCCAGTCTTTGAAGATGCTCATAGGGGTAGAGTTTGTGTGCATGCGTTTATAGGTGTGAGTGTACGAGCGTTGTGAGTTTCTGCGTTGTACTGTGTAATTAAAAAAAAAAGAGTTTGAGCCCTGCCAAATAGGTCATAGGATTAGTCCCATATTTTAAGGGAGTCCATGTGGACTTAATTCCTAGTGGCAATACTTCACTACTTCATGCAGTCCGTTGGTGGGGGCCTAGCATCAAACCAAATACGGAACCAATTCCAACCCAAAAGGAGCAAGAGAACAAAACGGCGCGCACCATCCCACCGCTCATCGCACAGATGGACGGCGTTGCGCGCGCGGAGAGGATAAGAAACAAGTGGGCCTCAATTTTTACTCCACTTTTCCCTTTTCACCCCCCACGACGAAAAAAATCTGGGCCACGAATCCGAGGATGCGTTCGAGACGCTTCCTCCGCCATCGGCGAGGCCCAAATAGCACTAGAGAAGATCACCGGCCACGAGACCACCACGAGTCCACGACTACTTGAGGATGGCGAGCCCAACAACAATGGTGGGAGTGGCAACCTCGGCGCATCTCCACACCACCACCACCGGCCGCCTCAGCTGCGCCTGTGCACCACCGACGAGGGGAACAAGGCGGCGGCGGCTCGCGGTGGCGGTGCGGGTGCGGGTGCGGGTGCGGGCGTCGGCGTCGGAGGCGATGGCGACGGAGAAGCTCGGCGTCCGTGTGGAGCGCAACCCGCCCGAGTCCCGCCTCTCCGAGCTCGGCGTCCGCGAGTGGCCCAAGTGAGCAAATCACCTTCTCGTGCTCGATTCCCCTCTCGTTCGATTCGCCCGCGCTGATTGATTTTCCTCTCGTTGGTGGGCAAGGTGGGGGTGCGAGAAGAGCAAGTTCCCGTGGACGTACTCGGCCAAGGAGACGTGCTACCTGCTGCAGGGGAAGGTGAAGGTGTTCCCGGACGGCGCCGGCGAGGATTTCGTGGAGATCGCGGCGGGGGACCTGGTGGTGTTCCCCAAGGGGATGAGCTGCACCTGGGACGTCGCCGAGGCCGTCGACAAGCACTACAAGTTCGAGTAGATTTGGGGATTTGGCACGCCAATCGATTTCAGCCATATGACATGGCGATGGTTTGTGCTTCTGCTATCTTCTACTAGTAACTTAGCTCGTGCTCTTATGCGTTATATGCTCCAGTTGTTGTGGATCATCTCCTGCAAATGAAATAAAACTTGATTAGTGGATTAAAATGATGGGATTAGTGGTATTTTTTGCTCTCTTTTGTTTGCGGTTGTTTTACTTGCCAGCTGCAGTTACACTTCTGAAAATCCATTTAGCAAAACAACACGAGGGAACTAGAAGACATAGTGGCGGATGCTCTTCTTAGCTACTCCTATATAATTGGTGTTTTCAGCTGAAGAAAGTTACGTATTGATCAGCACCTAAACCTCATTTATACTATCTGGTGTTCAACAATATCACCCACAACTAAGCCTCATATTCTCATCATAGAGACATTAGTACTCGTTTAGTAGTATACATTTTGGGATATTTCTAACCAAATTACTCTCTCTCTCTCACACACACACACATCATAAGACGTTTTGTCTCTCCATCTCTCATTTTGATTCACTAGCATCCGTACAGACACAAATATGAAGCACATACATACACCGATACATGAATCTATTTCAAAACCTAAAACGTCTTCTAATGTGAAGTAGAAGAGGTAGTAAATAAATGTGGGCTCATTTTGCATTTCTATCAAGTGAATCGGGGGAGTTACTTAGACCCATATATATAAATAATAAATCTATTCAAAACCTAAAATGTCTTCTAATGTGAATTAGAGGAAGTAGTAAATAAATGTGGGCTCATTTTGCATTTCCATCAAGTGAATCGGGGGGGTTTGGACTTTGGAAGTCTGGGTCTGTTTGGAATTTGGATCATTGTCAAGTCAACCATGACAAAAACTTGGCATGCCAAAATTTTGTCATTCATTTGGTTTAGATAAAAAAATTGGCATTGCCAAATTATTTGGCATCCCTTCCATTGCAATACTCCAAATCAAAGCCTAGGTGGTCTTGCCAAAAAAATAAATTGGCGAGAATTCAAACAAAAAATCCTGACAATCTTCCTGATTTGATTGCAGTAGTGTTTGTGTCTGTTAGATATGGCGGTGTATGCCAGTAATTTCTTGTTTATGAGCGTGCAGCGGGGCTTTCATAGTTTCACTTGTTGGGGGTATTTGATGTTGTGGCAATTGGCAACTATGTTGTCAAGTAGTGGAAGTGTGGAACTGTGGAAGTTGGTTCTCTTGCCAGGTGTTTTTGATGAAACCATGAAGCGGTCTGTGAGCTGGAAATGTGTTCTAGCTATAAAGTTTATATCTATGTTCCTAACCGTTTGCGATCTCTGCCATGTGTGTTATTGATAAACGCGACCATGAAAATTCTTAAGGATTTATCTCGATTAAGATGGGGAACTGAAGCTTCTTATTCCTCAGTTAAGATCTGCACAACGATGAAAGTGCGATACATCTTCACATTTTCTCTCCACACGCATTTTATGTACCGGAACATGTGCTCTGCAAACAAGTGACAACACACCACTCGCAACCATAGTTTCCACTCGACAAATTTCACAGCTCAGAGCTCCACCTTCTTGGCCTGCTGGTTCTGCCCCTCGCCGGCGCCGCCGATGCTCTTCTTGCCACCGTCGTCACCGCCGGCGGAGGCGATGCCGACGACGCGCGGGCCCTTGATCTGGTCGGGCGCCAGCTTCCGGAACCGGACGGTGAGCACGCCGTTGTCGAGGGAGGCGGCGATGGAGTCGAGGTCGGCGTTGTCGGGGAGGCGGAGCTGCCGCCAGAACCTGCCGTAGGACCGCTCCTCCCGGTGCCAGTGGTCGCCGCCGCCCTTCTGCTCCGTCGTCTCCTCCCGCCGCCGCTCGCCGCTGATCCGCAGCACCCGGTTGTCCTCCACCTCCACCCGCAGGTCCTCCTTCCTCATCCCCGGCACGTCCACCACGACCTCGTGCGCGTCGCCGGTCTCCCGCCAGTCCACCCGCGCCATCGACAGCATCGCCACGTCGTCGCGGTCGAACCCGAACGGCACGTGCTCCAGGATCCGGAACGGGTCGGCCGCCGCCAGGAGCCCCAACTCCGGCACCGCCTCGTCCCGCGCGCCGCCGCCGCCGAACCACGGGAGCAGCGCGCCGTCCGCCGCCGTGCTCGCCAGAACGACGGCGATGCAGGCCAGCATCGCCGCCGCCGCCGCAGTTCTCATCGACGCCATCACGGACGTTCTCTCGTCGGAATCTTAGCTAGCACTAGCAGCGTGTGTGTATGTGTAAGTGTGCGTTGCGTTCGTTCTCGTCGTGTTTTGCTCTGTGCGATTTTTGGTTGGGCGAGACGTGACGGCGAGGTTGGGAGAGGATTTATAGGGTGGCGGTGGCGCGGCGAGAATGTTCGGCCGGCGAGCGCGGCGAGACGGGAGGGTTCGGGCGGCTTCGCGGCGGGAGAGGTTTCCCGAAGGATCGAGGCCTAGCCGGGCCGGAGCTCGTGGGCCACCTTTTCCTAGCTCTGATGGGCCGTTTGCTGGGCTTCGTTGCTGAATAAATAGGCCTACCTAAGCATGCCCAATGTATTGTTAGACTTTCTGTTTGTATAGGTGATGGTTGGATTAGATTAGACGTAGGATTAGATTAGATGTCAATCGGTGAACAAACCCTATGATAGGCATGTAACTGTGTAAGTTCTCCATGCATTGAAGCTTTTCTCTCCTTTTTTTTCCCCTTCAAACCAAATTGTACAGACCGGAAGAAAAGAGAAGGATCAGGTGTTGATCCCCTCAATCGAAATCGCAAGAATAAACATTGACCAAAATGGGGAGGAATTATCTGCTTTTTCAAGTGCGTTCTACGTATAAGGAGAGGAGCATACAGAAAAGGAGAAGGGCAAAAAAAAAAAAAGCAACATAATGCATGGCTCTATCTTGAGTTAACAAATACGAAGACGCACAGTGGCCCATAATTAGGTTAATGATAATCCGATTAGTGTTGATTGTGTAGGTGACGTGTCTTGATCATATAACACATTCGATATTCCAGGTCATAACAAATGGGACAAATAGGAAATGCTAAAAAAGAATTTCAGCGCTTGATGTTCGGAATGGCCTCCTCCTCTTTAGGGAAAAGGAGGGATGATCTTTTTTTTCTTTTGTGGACGATTTGCATTTGTGTTTGTCCCATTCATTCCATTTTCGTTTTATTATTATTCGTGTGCGTGTGTTCCTCTCTCTATGCTTAACTGGGCAGTTTTATAAAACAAATAATGGCATATAGCATCATTAATCTGGTCTTGTATCTCTTTCAAAGTTTCCTTTCATCATTCAGATAATTCATGTACTGTTCCAAAATATGCAGTGCAGTGAAGGGCTGAATGCGCTATCATTAAGAAGCTGCTAATCTGCTTTGCATGGAACATAGTAGCATTTATGTAGCTAAACCTGCTTGTACGGAAGCTAAAAATCAGTCTGGAACTGTGATAATGATAACTTTATCAAGAGAGCGTATCCTATGTACACAGTCCCTCGTGTGTATACACCCGTGTACACCAACTAAAAATTATCACAAAAAATTCTAGGAAAATTCATACATGTACTTTCAATAGTAATACATCTACGTGCAAAGTCGCATCTTTAAATTCATTCTACATAGAGAATAACAAAAAAAATAAAATTCTGACAAAATTGCAACCTTAAAACTGTCAGTTTTTTTGTTTTTTTTTGTTACGGCTAAAATATAATGAATTTGAGGTTAAGATTTTAACCCTAGGTGTAATACAATTGAAAGTACGTGTATGAGTTTTTCTAGATTTTTTGGTGACATTTTTTAGTTGGTGTGCACGTGTGTACACGTGAGGGCCTGTGTGCATATGATATGTTGCCCTTTATCAAACTCTCATCAGCTTATTAATTAAGTACAAGAGAATTATGTGGTACAATGGGACAATAGTACAATTATGCAGCCGGATACATGTACTAATCAAAATAGAGGTTCAGAACCCTTCATTTTGGAGCCTAAGCATCAAGCACTAGTTTATTAGTGCAAGCAAAACATTAGCATATCATGGTCATACATGATAGAAAAATTAAAGGAACAAAGCAGCTCGAGTGAGTGTCAGATGCACTAGCTGCTACTGCACCTTCGTCCTAATCCGAACACTTAACCTGCTCAAAACCACAACTTAGTAAAGCTAAACCTCCATGAAACCTCTCATTAACTATGAATCATGTATTATTTGTCTAATCCAATTGGCACTCATTAGTGGAACAATCGGCCATGGCCATCCATTTCTCTCCACTAGGACAACATAATGTTGCTAGTTTAAGCCATCATGTTTAAAAGAGACACCAAATGGTACTAGATTAGTTTGGATTTCAGACTTTCAGTCGGTGCATGCAATGCCTTGATCAAAAGGTTTAGAGATCACCAGCTGAATTCAGCACTGTTCTTCTAATGTAAAGCTGCCTCGAGTTATGACAATGCATTACAGCACAGGCAATCTACTCATATATTAACACCCAGTAAGCACCAATCAGCTGTTCATTAGCTAAAGCTTAGTTTGAACCAACTCCTTGAAAGTGAAAGTTTCAGTCAGCTACAATTTTTTTTAGCCTCGTCAACTCAAAAGCTAATCCAAGTGAAAGGCCAGGCTAATTGGCTCATCTAGCAGACCCCCTTGTTGATCTTCTGTGCTCTGAACTCTGAAGATGACACGCACCTGCGCACTAGAAAGATACCTGACACATGACAAGCCTGAAATGGACTGTCCTGAGCCAAGCTTTGATCTGCTTTTGAGTTTTGACCAGTTTTTACTTGCAATTAGTATCTGGTTCATGAACCTGTTGGGTAAGTTTTGCTGGATTTTGGAGAGCTTTAAAATGGTTGGCCGAGCTCCATGATCTTGCTGCACTCAGCGTTAAGGCTAAAAGATTTAGGTAGCCAAACTATCAACCGTAGATTCCTCTGCACCCAAATTATAGTCATGGAAATATTGTCAGTATAAACCAAACGAACTTAATTAAGAGTATAACTTTTACCTTTCACCTACATCCAACTTGATGTACTGTAACAGTGCCGAATGCTTCTGGGAAGCATTGATGCAGTAACCATCCAGATCTGATGAGGCAGGATTCAGTCGATCCCCTTGAGGATCTTTGACCAGCACAAGTGAGTATAAGTGACCTGTCCTTGCAGCTATGATGCCTAGACTACAGCTTGATGTGTAGAACCAGTACCACTTGGCTGCAGTGCATAATTGCTTTGTAGCATGTGAGAATTCTGTTGCAAACTTGCAATGCTGCGGTAAGTTTTTCCAGCTCTGGGCCGGGAGGCGTGCAGCAGCTAACAATAACATAGATAGCTAACCAGTGACGATGCATGCCAAGGTCACTGAATTTCACAACCGAATTTGATGTCTTCTTACATTGCAAGTTGCCTACTTGCAAAGATGCAAACCCCCATTCAGCAAGCAAAAGGTGTCAATTTTAAACGGCCATCCATGTCACGTAGCCGTAGGCGGACGCCGAACTAGTCCAAAACTGCATGGAGGAGAAGAAAAGAAAAATGGCAGCTGCTGATTTGCTCCAGTGAACAGAAAAAAACGAAAAAAAGAAAGCCAGTGCACCATGCTGCAACCATCACCATGTCAATACGAGTAGTTTTGAAGCATTTAAAATGGGGAGGAGAGGAGATGAGGTGATGACAGCATTTGCAACTATTTGAACTGAACTCACCTCACCCCCAGTTGAGTTGAGCCTGAATGCTAGCTTGGTAGTGCCATTTGTGCAGTGCCCAATTGCTCTTCTGCAACAGAAAGCGGCAGGTCCAGTGCTTTGCTTTGCATTGAGAATCTGCAATGCATATATAGAGGAATTTGACACTTGCAAAGGAGAGAAGCAGGCAGAGAGACACAGTTAGGAGGAGGGAGGGAGGCGGGAGGCCATCATGGCTGAAGAGTATGAGCTGAACGAGATAGATGACACCCTGCATGGCTCTGTGGGGAGCAGGCTCTCGCTGTTTGCGAGGGAGCTCAAGTCAAGGAGAAGCAGCAGCTGGCATGGCGGCACCGCCCTGAGGCTGCCAAAGGATCTGTATGAAAGCCTTGTCATACACCCCAATGGCAGGTAAGACAAAGATTTTGATCTCTCATCCAGATTAGTTAAGCCTTAAGCTGAACATCAAACTGTCTTGTCTAGTATCATTGGAGCAAACTGAAGCTTAGCTACCATTGCATGCAAAAGCGATGATCTTTCACGTAGTCAAATTAGAGAACTCTCCTGCATTGAAAAGAGATGATTATAGTGACCTAGTGGTTACAGTGACCTGAGTAGTACCCTAAGGTCCTGAGTTCAAATCTCCTATGGAGCGAATTTCAGATTGGGTTGTTTGCGGAGCTAAGTTCCCTATTTCAATGGCCGTATATATCCGGTTGGATGTAGAGGCCAGGTAAAAAATATCCTTCTCTAAAAAAAATTGAAAAGAGATGATTCTGATTGAGACAGGATGCTGGAACTTAATAAATTTGGATGCAATGTTTGTTTCGTTGATCAGTTTGGTTTACTGGTGATTACTGCAGATGGTACAGGATCTGGGCGAACATGATGTTCCTGTGGTCCATCTACTCCACCTTCTTCACCCCGTTCGAGTTCAGCTTCTTCCGCGGACTCCCCGATCAGCTGCTCGACCTCGAGTGCGTCCAGCTCGTCTTCCTCGCCGACGTCGCCGTCCACTTCTTCCTCGCCTACCGCGACCCCCACACCTACAGGATGGTCCACGACAAGCGCCACATCGCCCTCCGGTGAGAGCAATCACACACCTGATCAAAGAACTGACCAAGAAGTAATCACTGACACCGACCGGGGTTTGTGTTCTTGTCAGCTACATCAAAGGCAGCTTTGCTCTCGACGTGCTCGGCTGCTTCCCCTGGGACGCCATCTACAAGGTAGGCACGCAGCATTGCCATCGCAAGAACAGAGATCTTTGAGAGAATGAGGCCGGTCTCTGAGCTTCCATGGCGTTGGGGCATTTGGTCGAACAGGTGACGGGCAGGGTGGAGGCGGTGAGGTGGCTGGTGTGGGTGAGGCTGTACAGGGGGAGGAAGGTGATGGCGTTCTTCAAGCGGGTGGAGAAGGACATCCGGGTGAGCTACCTCCTGACGAGGATCGTGAAGCTCATCACCGTGGAGCTCTACTGCACCCACACCGCCGCCTGCGGCTTCTACTACCTGGCCACCACGCTCCCGCCCGCGCGCGAGGGCGGGACGTGGATCGGCAGCCTCTCCCTCGGCGACGCCCGGTACATCAACTTCAGGGAGGTCGACCTGCTCACCCGCTACGTCACCTCCCTCTACCTCGCCATCGTCACCATGGCAACTGTCGGTACGTACCCTCCGTCCCAAAATAACTCAACCTAGAATGGGATGTGGCCTATCCTAAAACAACGAATCTGATCAAGCCTTTGTCCAGATTCATTGTTCTAGGATAGGTCACATCCCATCCTAGATTGAGTTGTTTTGGGACAGAGGGAGTACGTCAACTTCATTCCGAGTCTCGTTAGCTTGTCAGGCACGACTAAAATTTAATTGTTTTCTGATTAGTGTTTAGTTCACGCTAAAATTGAAAGTTTGATTGAAATTGGAATGATGTGATGAAAAAGTTAGAAGTTTACATGAGTAGGAAAGTTTGATGTGATAGAAAAAGTTGGAAGTTTGAAAAAAATTTGGATCTAAACACGGTGTAAGATTCATTTCTGCGAAAACTTTTTATATATAAGTTGTTTTAAAATATCACACATATTCATATGTCAAGTTTGTATTAATTAAAACTTAATTAATCATGTGCTAATAATTTTTTTACGTGCGCTAAGTAATCTTCATCTTCATCCGTTTCAAACGCCACCAAAGTGTCTTTTTTTTTCATCTTAGTATGTTTCATGTCAGCTTTTTAACTGCTACTAATAACATGAATATAACAGTTTGAGTTTTTGTTAGTTATTTCGTTTATTTTTTTTTAATGGCTTAGCTCAACAGATCAGACGGTGACATTCATGCTCTCGATCAGCCATAACCAAAAGTTTGAATTTTCAAACTTAATTTTAGTTTCTTTACTGTAGTTTCTTTTGCTACCTTTTTAACCGCTAATAGCATAAATGTTTTACCCTTGGTGGTTTTAATTCGTTCATTTTTTCTATGGCATATTTTTTTATGGTAAATTGGAACCATGCCATCGGTATCTCAATGACATGTAGGAACCACATGAGTCAATGACATGTGGGTCAGGATGGCATATCTCAAATTTTACAAAATTATAATGGCATGGTTCCAATATTCCCTATTTTTTATCAACCATAACTCAACTGATGAGAGTAAACATCCATATGCTCTCAGAGGCAGAACCAGGAGCAGGGCTGTAGCCTGGTTCTAATCATAGGTCTCTATGAAATAACACTCCAAATTTTAAAAAATTAGAAGAAAAAAGATAACCATATGAAACAACATTAATTGAGCCCTAGGCTTGAAAAAAATTCCAAATCAAAGGAATAGGAAAAATAAATGATTAGGATGTCACATACACTCCATTTCTTAGAAATTTTTTCGAGAGGTCTTACCTCATGCTAAGAATCCTATGGAATTAGCTTGTAAGACTACAATTCTTAGAAATTTGGTATGATCCATTCCTATGAAACGAATGATGCATATAGGAAAAAATCATAAGGATTCAATTCCTACAATAATCCTATGAAAATCCTCTAAACCGAATAAGACCTTAGCTCCGCCACTTAAAATGAGACAAGAATCCCAGCTCTCCATCACCTGCACATGAATCAAAACGGGATTTTCAACTCATGATCAGCAAGATCCCAGCTCTCCATATATCACCCTGCACATGAATCAGAATGAGAAATTTTTTTTATATTATTTTATTTTGAGGGGGTTCAGGCTATGGCGACATCCACGCGGTGAACACGAGGGAGATGGCGTTCACGGTGGTGTACATCTCGTTCAGCATCGTCCTGAGCGCGTACCTGATCGGCAACATGACGGCGCTGATCGTGAAGGGGTCCAGGACGGAGCGGTTCAGGGACAGGATGACCGACCTCATCAGGTACATGAACAGGAACAGGCTGGGCAGCGCCATCAGGTCCCAGGTGAAGGATCACCTGATGCTGCAGTACGAGAGCAGCTACACCCGGGACCGCGTAATCGTCGACGACATCCCGGTCGCCGTTCGATCCAAGGTGGGTTTCCGACAGCTGTTTACTCCCTCTGTCCCAAAATAAATCAACCTTGTATAAAATGTGATGTCTCAGAATAAATCAACTTTGTACAGGAAATGACATCACATCCCGTATGAGGTTGATTTATTCGTGCTGAATTTGCTGTTTGTGAATTTTTGTTCTTTTTGCAGATGTCACAGACACTGTACCTGGATATGGTTTCGAGAGTTGGGCTGTTCAGAGGTTGCTCGGATGACTTCCTAAGCCAGATTGTAAGGAGAAATTTGTGGAATTATGTCTCTGCATTTGTCGCTAGTCCAAGTAGAGAATTCATTTAACTCCAATGTTGATCATTTTCAGGTGCTGAAATTGCATGAAGAGTTCTTCCTCCCAGGAGAAGTTATCTTGGAGCAAGGCACCGTGGTTGATCAAATTTACATCGTGGCACATGGATGCCTGGTACTGTTTTTCACTGAAACGAGAGACTTTTGATCTGTTTATAAAATATAAAACTTCATATATCAAGAGACTACACTACTGCGCTGTTTGAGCATGAATAAGCTGTCACTTACCCTGTTCTTTTTCTTACTGTCACAGGAAGAGGTGGCCAATGGGGAAGATGGGTCTGAAGAGATCATCTCAGAACTGCGGCCTTACGGCATAGTTGGCGATGTCGCGGTGATCTGCAACATTCCACAGCCATACACAGTTAGAGTCTGTGAGCTTTGCAGCCTTCTGAGAATTGACAAGCAATCCTTGACTAGCATCTTACAAATTTACTTCAAGGATAATAGTCAGATATTGAGCAACCTTCTAAAGGTACATCATTTTCATTTTTAGATAAATGCTGAAAATACATTTGTATATTGCCATATTAACGAAACTTTGACAGACGATATAACACACATTTTATTCTGCAGGGGAAAGAAACGGAGTCGAAGCGGAAGCAATTGGAATCAGATATCACATATCTGCTAGCAAAGCAAGAATCAGAACTAGTCCTTGGAGTAAACAATGCTGCATATCATGGGGATATATTTCGTTTGAAAAGCTTAATCAGTGCAGGAGCAGATCCGAGTAAATCAGATTACGATGGCAGGACTGCATTGGTATGTGAATGCTTTTACAAAAACCATTGGTCAAATTGCATTCAAATGCAATATGAAGCATTTTCTACTGAATAAAAAAAAATAAAGATAGTATCATAGTACCAAAAATTAAAATTGTTTGGCAATAAGTAGCTGAAGAAAAAAAAACTCTGATTAACTCTACGTATCTAACTACAACTTCTTCCCTTACCTTTGTCTTCACGTCACAGCATATTGCTGCACTGAGAGGATACGAAAATATTGTCAGGTTCCTTATTCAACGAGGAGCGAATGTCAACAGCATAGGTATGAATATGATAGCAAACACTTCAAATGACAAAAGAACAAAACAAAAGCACTTTCATCTATATCTCTGACAATGAATCAACAACACTTCCCATTTGAAAATGCAGACAGGTTTGGAAACTCACCACTGCTGCAGGCAGTAAAATCAGGCCATGACAGGATCACGTCGCTCCTCGTGGAGCACGGCGCGATCCTGAACCTGGAGGACGCTGGAGGTTACCTCTGCAGAGTAGTCAGGGGTGGCAGGATCGATCTGCTGAAGAAGCTGCTCAGATTCGGGATCAGCCCAAACTGCAGGAACTACGATCAGAGGACGCCGCTCCACATCGCTGCTGCCGAGGGCCTGCACCTTGTTGCCAGCACGCTGATAGAATCTGGAGCAGACATACAGGCCAAAGATAGGTAAGAACATTATTCACAAATATTCAGATGTTATTCGCTACTATAGAAGAAGAATGAAATGGCATTGATACTGCTTTTCTTGATGCAACAAAATGATGATGCAGGTGGGGAAACACGCCGCTTGACGAAGGGAGACGGTGCAGCAGCAAACCACTGGTCAGGATACTGGAGCAGGCTAGAACTGTTGCGACTAATTGATGAAAAACAATGTGTATTCATGGGGAAACTAATTGCAATGAAATATTCTTTCTGAGGCAGTGAGAAAGCTTGTCACAGGATTTCCTGAAAATGTTTTCATCTTCAAACATGTAGCTGCAGCATGGTTGTTTAGTCTGCTTGAAAATATAAGCTGATTATTCTCGGTGAGATTGCAGTGGTTGCCATTAAGAAGGCATTGCAATGCTTTAGCAAAACGCAACATATATTCTCCACTGAACACATGCTTCCCACCAACAATCTAATAACAACAGAAGGCAAGAACCGGAGGCATTACCATACAGGCATAGACTAAAAAATCACATCATTAATCAGAGAGTTTAGACACTTAACCAATCCATCCAACCAAGGAGGCAGAAGATGGCCTATTGATACTACTATTACTGTGGCACTACCAACTATGTCCAGTATGATACAAGAAGTAACGTAGCTACTACTAATACAGCGGGGCAACCAGGGCTGCCGCAACGACGGTCACCCAGTAGGAATTGAGGTTCCCCAAGTTCACGGGTAAACTACTATCTATTTTTTGCCACTACTATCAGGATCACATTAGAAAGAAAAAATGGACGCTCATTCTCTGGTCCTCTTGTTGCTGCAGCCAGGACACTTGTAATGCTTGATGTGCTCCGCCTTGGCAGGGGTGATTCGGACACATTTGCCATGGAACCAGGTCTCACAAATGTCACAGCAAATCCAGAACTCGCCGTTTGCGTAGGCCTCACCACAGGCGCCACAAATGGTTTCAGCTTGATCTTCATCACCTCCATTTCCTCTGCCGCCGTTCTCTTCCTCATACTTTGCCTGGACCTGCTTCTGTGGCTTGCTGTCAGAATTGGGCCGCTTTGGTGGCTGAAATAGAAAGGACAATGAATAATCAGAAAGCATGTTTTAGCGTGCGGGCAAGAAGCCATGAAATGTTAGACATATGTTACCTTAGAGCCTGACTTGTTTTTGCTACTGCCGTTGGCGGTTTTTGATTGTGTATTCACACCTCCTGACACAACTTCAAAGACAGTGGGGAGACTACTGGTCATCATGAAGAGCCGTTCCCTGCATCCATATTCAAATGCCTCTTAACAACATCATCAAGTTCCTTAACACAGCTGACATATTTTAGAGAACTAAAAGAACCTTGGATTCTCCTATCTATGTTGCTGTGTAAAAAAGGACAAACCATAAAGCAAGTTTTGTTTAGAAGGTGTGGACAGAAGGTCGTACTGGCTGTTCATATAAATGCATGAAACAGTGAGTCTATTGTGAAAAATATGGGTTTTGTGAGAATTAAGATAGCTAACAGAGCAAATCATTAATAAATGATCAATTATCAGATTTAAATCATGGCAGGTGTCAGTAAAACAACCTAGACTCACAAGTCTACCATGACACTGGAATCAGCATATAAGTACACGCATCCTTGCACATAGTATAGAGCAACGTGGGAATTCTTTAGTAAAGTGATAGAACAGATAGAATTAAAATGACCAGTTTGAGAAAAGGTGATGCAAATCAACAGGGAAAAAAATGAATTAGAAGCAAACCTGGCCTTTTTATCAAATCCAAAACGAGCCCCAAAGTAAAATGCCACAGACAGTAACCATGAATCACTATGGACAGCTATCAGGGACAGCCAATCTTTTTCCTGCATTCCATCACGAGCGAAGTTTATCCCGAGGGCTGGCTCTGGTAGTTCAGGAGGAACTTCATCAGCTGGTAGAGTCACTGCCCAGGTTCCATTAGGCAGTCCATAGAGGCACAAGTTCTCCTTCTCTGGCAAAATAAAGGAACATGTTTATATCAGCACTATCAGGGGTGGAACCATCCCTGCCGCCCCGCCCTGTTTTGTCGCATAATAAAAGTATGGTGAAAATTGATTGAGGCCCATGGGCTTTTAGTCCCAGTCCCAATCCAAGCCTGGGCCCTGGGTCCACACCCAAGCCCTATGGTTACTATAGAAAAGGACAATCTGGCTTACTCAGCAAGATCAAGGACTTGCTCTAACACATACAATGCACAAAGTAGGATTTGAAGGTTCCTTTCTTTTTCCAACTAAGCATTAATTAAATAGAACCAACAAGCACTAAAAAGTGGATGCTGACAAGGAGCACAACATTACTATATGCACTTTGCCACAAATCCCAGGGCAGCAATTCAAGGCAAACAGGATCCTGTGCAGCTCCTAATCCCCAACTATTGACTAATGCTCCAGACCTCAATCTCTTTCACCACACCTTGTCACCAGCCACTACATTTTCTATAGATCGCAGCGAGGTCAAACATAAACATAAGCACAAGTCCAATTTGCTTCCTGCACTTCTGTTGCATCCTATAAGTCACCTAACATGCATCTCTTCCAGCTTTTCAATCTCATGACGTGAATTGATCTAATAGGTAGATTTTTTTTTTAATTCCGGACAAGGCATAAGGAGCTTTACATCAACAATTTACTAATGTCGCCTCTAATCTGATCAACCAATACTGTAAAAATATTGGATGGCTAGCAACTACATGGAATCACCGCGAGAGCAATCAAATACCGTCTCGCTGTACTAAACAGATAAAAATCAACATTAGAAGCAACGGAGGAGACTCACCAGGGTCGCACTGCTTGTAGAACTTCTCCACCTCTGTGCAACAACGAAACCACAAAAAAAAAAACAAAAACAAATCATCAGTCATCAGCGACGAACCCCACACCAAACGAATCCAGAGACACATTAGATAGATTGATCGATAGCGAGAGAGAGAAACGGAGATGTACCGATGGTGAGGGCCTTGACGATGCCGGAGCGGCGGCCGCAGAAGTCCTGGAAGACGTCCTCGGGGGAGCGCGCGTCGTGGACGATTGTGACCGAGCCGTAGCCGCCGTCCATCCTCGCCTTCCTTCACCGGCAGCGAAGGGTTCGCGGGAACTCGGCAGGGAGGAGCGGGAGCCGGAAGCAGCAGGCCTCCGCGCCGCGGCTAGGGTTTCGTCGACCCGGAGGAGGAGGTCGTCGTCGTCGTCGGCGGCGGCGGCGGAAGGAGAGTGGCGCCGCGGAGAGGAGGAGAGAGATTAGAAGCGGAGGTTGGAGAAGGAAAAAAAGGCGGAGGGGCTCTCGCGTAAATTTCACGGAGTTTTTTTTTTTCTGAGTATTTGAAGGTTGGGTTAGGTGTGGGGCCCGGTGGGCATGGAGATATAGTGTGGGTCCCGTTTGTCAGGGGGATCTGGAAGTGGAAGCGACGACCCAGTAGTTGGAACGGGCCCTAGGTTTCACTCGCCCTGTGGGCTCGTCGTTTACTTGGGCCGTATCCGAATAGTCGTCGCTAAATTCGGCCTGTTTGAAATTTTGGCCTAATAACTTGACAATTACTCCGGGTTAAACGGGAGAATCAGCTTTTCACCTCGATTTTAAAAATCAGAAGATATAGAATCCAGAAAATATACTAAATCTAGAGATCGAGAAACTCGACTTTTATAGATTCCTACCATCACTTCCCTTCTTCTCACACTAAAAAGAAGAGTCGTTCTCCTCTTCATCCTAAGCTTCTTTTCCTTCACCTGAGCGTCTGAGAAAACCGATCATGTCCCATCCTCCTAGAAAAGAATAGTTTCTTTATAGCTGTCGGTGACATGGGGCTGGGGGTATCGTGACTAGAGGCTTAGGTAGCCGCGGTCACCCACGTGGCCTGACCCTCTCGGGGGGGTCGGGCCCGAGGATGACGTGGCCACCCCTCCCTCTGTCTCCCCGAGGGGTTGGACCGCTCCCGTTTCGGCCCCGAGGGCTGGGGCGCCCCCGTTTCGGCCCCGAGGGCTGGGGCGCCCCGACCCCCTGTGGTTTTGGCGCCACGTGTGTGGGTTAGGTGAGCACAGCGGGGCTCACCTAACCGCATTTATAGCAGGTTGGACGAGCGCGCCACGCCGCATTTAATACGGCGCAGCGCACGCTTATCCGGTCCGTGACCAGTCGCGGTGTGTGACCGGTCACAGACCGGTCAGATCGCGGGTTAGGTGGCAACAGGCGGCCTGTCACACGCCTCGCCCCGTCCCGTCGGAATGATGAGAGCTTCCTGGCTCTCGTCCCTAGCCGGAGCCGGCGTGCTAACTCCTGGAGTTGGTATGTCAGTCCCGGTCAGATCCATTCCAGGCTTCAGCGCAAGTATGGCAAGGAAGTCGCTGGCCATTAAATGAAGGTTGAAATGGGCGTCCACCGGGAAAGCAGGCGAGCGGGGCAGGAGGCGTGTGCTCTGCTTGTCAGAGGTCACTTCCGGCTGTAGACTAGCCCTCATTGTAAAAAGCATGTTTCCCTTCTTAGGCAGCTAGAGGCCCATGTGGTGACCCCTGACAGATAAAAAGGAGGCCCAGGCCTAAAAGGAGGAAAAGAAAGAAGGAGAAAGGAGGGTTGGGACTCTGGGGAAGGGGTTCTAGAGCCTGAACTCTCCCTCTCGCTCGGGGGCTCTCTGTATTCCTTCACGCACAGATCCACCAGAACACAGGAGTAGGGTGTTACGCTTCTCAGCGGCCCGAACCTGTCTACGTCGCCCGTGTCTTGTGCACTTTCTCTCTCGCTGACGTTCTTCAGATCGAGGGCGAAGAACCTCACTTAGCGCCCCCGGCCGAACCGGCAAAGGGGGGCCTGCGCGGTCTCCCGGTGAGGAGCCCCACGCTCCGTCAATAGCTTCTTTGGGAATATATGTAAAATTATAATGACATAGTTCTGAATACGTGAATACTAATGGCATATTTCAAAACCAGTATATTTTTAATGACATGGATCTAATTAACCCTTCTTTGTAAAACCATCCAATCAAATAAAAGGAGAAAAATAGGAAAACAAAACCATGGTTAATTTATCTCATGGCATATGGCATGGTTAATTGATACTCCCTCTTTCAGGCTATAAGACGTTTTGACTTTGGTCAAAGTCAAACTGTTTTAAATTTAACCAAGTTTGTAGAAAAAAGTAATAACATTTTCAACACAAAACAAATTTATTATGAAAATATATTTAATTAGTGATTTGATGAAACAAATTTAGTATTATAAATATAATATATTTATCTATAAACTTAGTTAAACTTAAAACAGTTTGACTCTGACTAAAGTTAAAACATCTTATAACCTGAAACGGATGAAGTAATAGTTAGTTGGAAAATCCTCAAAGAAGAAAAGAAAAACAAAAGGAAAAAGGGAATGCAACCACGCATCCGACATGAAACTTCATATGACGTATGTGAATTCGTAATGCCTTCACGTATGCTCACGTTTCCGATCATGCAGAATATATACATGCACGCGCCGACGACGGCGAGCTTGTCGTATGTGTAGTGTACTGTACAGGAAACAGGATGGATGGATGGATTTACTATTGGTGCAGGGCCTCGGCTATAATTTTAATCTTTAGTTATTTTATACAGTACATATTAACTACTATTATCAATTAAAAATTAATATGTTCGCCACCTGCGCAGAGTGTCGTACTAGCTCTGGTCTACAGACTACAGGTCGAAGCTGTGGCTGTTGAAATGGAAGACGGCGCCGGCGCGGCGGCGCCTCCCGCCGCGGCGGCCGAGGTTGTGCGACCTGCACTCCCTCGCCACGCTCGCCTGCAGCCCCGGCGGCCCGCACACCAGCACGCCCACGTCCGCCGCGCCGCCGCCGGCCTTCTCCGCGAACGCCGCGAACTCCGCTGAACGCAAAACGAAAACGAAAACAACCGCAGGTCAGGTTTATTAAGCACGTCGCGGCCCGGTCGCCCACAGCGCAGCGCGCCGGCGTTCGCGTCGCGGCATTGGTGTGGTGTGGTGCGTGGTGGCGTACCTTCGAACTGTGGCCGGCACCCGTACCGCGTCGTCTTCACCGCGGCGAGGCTGACGCCGCCGTCGGCCGCGTCGGCGCCGTTCGTTGTCTGCTCGGCCTCCTCCTCGCCGTCCTGTGCGCGCGGGACGGCGGCGGCGGCGGCGTCCCACCTGTCGTCCTCCGCCTTCCGCTTCTCGGACAGGTGCCACAGGAGGACGACGAGGCCGCCGGGGAGCGCGACGCCGGCGGCCATGCACAGCACGAACACGAGGCCCAGGTGCCACCACGCGAACACGTTGAGGCGCCGCACGTAGTACGCCTGCGCCAGCGCGTACGCCAGGACGAAGCCCAGCGTGGACGCGGCGAAGTACATGCCCGCCCAGAAGTTGTTCCCGGTGCCGACCAGCCCGGACATGGTCGTCCCGTTCTTGACGAACATGCCGGTCGCCTTCTGGTCATCCCCAACAATGCCTTCTTCCTGCAACCACAAATTGCCAAATGCCAATTGCCACAAATCTCATGGAACAAACGCATTGATCAAGAACTACTATATGCTCTTACCAATGGAGGTTGGGATTCTTGGGTCACGAAGGCCTGGATGTCGAGATGTAGCTTGTCAGAGACAGACGAGCTGATGAACTGCGCGTCGACGGCAGAAAGGAGCGAGAGCTCGTTGGACTTCTTCACCGACCACAGCACCAGCACATTCTTGGGCATGCATGGTTTGCCTTCCTCGATCCTATGGATTATGTCACTCAGGATCGCCAGGAACGGTGATATGCCGATGCCTCCGGCCACCAGGATGAGATTCTCGTACCTGAACAAATACAAGCACAACACAAAACAGAAATCTTGAGCCAAAATTCAATTGCCATCGGCACCAAATCACCAATGTTACGATTTAACTGAAAGCTCACATCAGGTGGTATGGCGATTCATGCCCGTAAGGCCCTTCCACGCAGGCGGTGATCCGGCCGGTCTCTGACTCAGAGCCATTCCTGCCCTGTTCCTGGGCATCAGTGATGATGCCCCTCAGTTTTTCAGTCCATGATCCAAGCACCTTGATCAGGATCGACATGTGGTATCTTCCATCCATGGGGCTCGAAGACACACTGAACGGGTGCCACTCCAAGAACGACAGCTCCCTCACCTGAACGAAGATGAAGCTGAGAGCATTGTACCGGAGACCTGCAGAGCAGAGGCACAAATCTGTTCAACCAACTGTGGCAACATCGATGGATCAGTGATCAACAGAATGCAGGACATGTTCTTTACTTGCTGGCTTTGAGAAGACTAGTTCCACGGTTCCGCAAGGGCGGCATGAGGCCGAGATGATGTCCACCTTGGCCCTGCATTGCCAGAACCTCAGGAAGCGATCGAGCATGAAGAGGAAGATGGGTCCGGCCGAGAAGCTGAAGATGAAGTCGCCAACGTGAAATGCCAGGAACACGACGAAGATTATGTAGAGCTGGTGGGTGTAGAAGAAGAGCTCGAAGTATGTCTTCCTCACTGGGTGGAGTGATGTCACCCACATTAGCAGGCCGGCTGCCAAGCTGATCACACCGGGTAAGTTTGCCACTCCGATTTCTTTCCATGCAGCCAACTAACAATAACAACAAGAAGAAAAAAATTAGAAAGTTTTCACCAGATGTCTAACCTCCAAAACAGAGTAGATGACACTTGTAAGTTGTAACAACAGGTTTAACAGTTTTTTTTAATATATCAGTGTATTCAGTAGTGTGATTTATCTGTTGCTTATTTACTTAAGAAGATGGACAGTAACTAACACACAGGACATTGGTCATAGCAAATCATTTGCCTGAATGATTCTAAATCATTCTTACTTCTCCAAGTAGATTCCCCTCGAGAGACCATGCGATCACATAGCATAGGCCATGTAATGTGAAGAGAGCCATTGTGAGATGGCCGAGCCAGACGTGGTATCTAGTAGCATGCTCAAATGGAATATCAATAAGCCGGAGAAGAACTGAACCCCTTGAGACAGGGAGGAACAGGAAAGCCATGCAAAACAACCCGATCGATCCGAACCGGAGGCCAATAATGTACAATAGCAACTCGCTGCAAAAAGCATACAGAATGTTAGAAGTGTGTTGAGATCATATCTGAGTTAGTAGTACAATTTTCAGCAATATCATCAATAGTAGCACAAACTGCACATTTTAAATCAGTACTGTACATGTATGCAGTAGTGTCTTCATCCACCAACATTTTTCTGAACATCACAACTTGCCTTACATTCAACTACACAATACTTCAGCATCTTGTTCTCTCTTTTTTTTCTAAAAAAAACTTCAGCACCTATAGGGTTTAGTTACATATTGAAACGAAAAGGATATATGTAATAATCAACTCTTGTCACTCATATACTCAATGCATGCATCAGTATTACATAGTTCTTCAGTTTCAGTGCATCACACCGTTTGCTCTAACTATCTAACACAGAGGCTACTCTTTCCCCAAAAGATATAGTACTAGTACTTCATATACGGTATTTACAGCATACCTGTAAGTAAGCGAAATCTGGCCAAATTTTGAGATGAGACTCACGCTCTCCACAGCGTAATAGGTCATTGAATAGACAACATAGACGATAAACAGGACGATTCCGATGAATTCTACCGCGGAGACAACCCCGAAAGGCCCGTCCACAAGAACAGGGAAAGTCCAGAGCCGGAAACACAGTGTCTTCAGCTTGTTCTTCCTGATATCAAAGAGGTAAATAACAGTGAGCTGTAGGCATGAATCAGGTCACTCTCAAATATATAAGAATACAAAGTATGCAGTGCTATTTTCTGAACTTTGACTGTTGCGAGGTTAGATTTCAATCAACCGTGATGGTCTTCATATCAAACAGGCTCACCTACAGTCTGAATTATATAATTTTATCCATAAAGCAAATATTCACAGAATTATGTGTGCTTAAATCAACAAACAGCCTGAATGTTCAGCGACAGATCCATCCCCAGTGATTTTTGTACTGACTAACCGTCTCCATCCCCGACAATTCAGAATAGAAGTTGACTAGGAACACCAGATTCCCCCACAGAATTCTCAGATACACACGAGAAGATTAAAGAAAGACTTACTCCACATGGATATGGTCACTCGGGAAGGCGGAGATGTAGACGTACGCCAGAGCCGCGACGATCAGAATCGGCGCGCTGAATGCGAGGAAAATACTCCCTGCAAGAACCAAAAAAAAAAAGCTTTAGGTTCTTTCACTTGCTTTTGATTGCAAAATTGGGGAAAGAGAGGGGATGGAAAACTTGGGGAGATTTTCTTGAGAATTCTGTACCGGTGATGCCAAAGAGGGACTGCTTGGTGGCCGCCATCCAACCCTCGAACGCCGCCTGCGCGGGCTTGGTCGGGTAGAAGAAGATCGCGGCGGCCCAGGTGAGGAACACCGCCCACATGAGGACCTTGAGCACGGTCCTGGCCAGCGCCGGCGGCGGCCACCCCTTGGCTCCCCCGCCGGCGGCGCCATTGCCGCTCTGCAGGAGCGGCTCCCCCCGTTCTTGCGCCATCATGGATGGCGTCATGGCGAGCGGCTGTGAACGGTAGAGCCGCGGAATCCACGGAAACTCGCGCCCTCCCCTCGACCAGCCAGGGCCAGGGGGCGCTGCTGCCGCCGCTTTATGCGGCCAAGACGCGAGGTCCTCGCGGGCGCCGGTCGCTGGCAATGGCGACGGCGATGGATCATCGGTGAGGAGAGTGTACGGGAGGCGTCATCGCCAGGTGGTTGCAGTTGGGGACAGTGGCCGAGCGAGCTTGGCGAGAGCCACACATCCAACGTGTGCTCCTGATTCGTGAAGGCCCCAGCCAAATCTCCGTATGCCTCGATTGATTTTTCAGCGGGTAATATATTTTTTTTCACAAATCTTTACAGATGATTTAGTTCGTGAAAAAACCGGACAAATCTGCCACGGAAATCGCCTGAATTATCAGGGGGGAAATTACAGTACCACACGTTGGGGAACGGGAGGGGGAGGGTATGTGATTAAGGGGGAAAAAAGAGAGAAATTATTGGGAGCCGCACCGCACGAACTGTCAAATCGAAATTCAGACGAATGGCTGCGGTTTTCATCTCCTGCGAAGGCGTAAACGCCAAGGATATTCTCCAAAATTAACCGTAGTTGTTGCGCGGAGATTTTCCCCAGCCAAGGGAATTTCCGGTGGCTGGCGGGGTGGGACAGCGCCGCGCGGTGGCGGGGCCTCTTATCCGCTCGTAGCGAAGGATTTGCCAGTTCGTGGGCGTGCTCGTGGTCCTCGGCGATCGACGGGGAAAGAAGGAACCGCGACTCCGACGTCTCCTCCGACGGGAGCAGCAGCGTCAGCGACAGGAGTGTGGAGAGGGGTTACCACCCGCGGATGAGAGGGAGACGAGGGCGGTGGGCCCGGCACACAGCTCCCGCGTGGGGCCCAGTGGCCCACAGGAGTGTTCGGGAGGTAGGAGGGGATGATAATCATTAGCGAAGTACTAATCTCAAGCCGGCCGTTTTGCCGGATTTGGATTGGACCACGTGGCAGGGTTGGATATGAAGATAAACTGGAGCTATATATGAGGTAAAAGAAAAATGACGTGTGAGTTGAAAAAAATGAAACATCGATAGACTTCCCGTGGCCTCAGCTTCAAGGGAATTAATCCACCTGATCATTAGAACCGTTACAAGTCTGTGTAACTGAAATCCCATGTCGTAACTTGATTACTTGTTTCCATGTATTAACATATAGTATCTATTAAGCTAGCTTATGTGAGCTGCTCATTGAAAATTTGACTTATATGTACAATTGTTAAAGAACATCGAATAAAAAAATTATCGGAATTGCTAAGCTTATGTGTCTACAGAAAATGCATTCCAAAATTTTATAAATTTTGGATCAGCGGATGTGCTTCGTGATTCGTGCTCCAGATGCCTCTTCTCCAACACCGGTGATCTTCTCTTCTTTTCCGGCACCGGCAACAACCCAAACTTTGGCAGAGGACCGACGAATTAGGATCTCAGGGTAGGGTGGGGTGGGAGGGGGAAGAATGGGGAGGTGGCCGGGCTTAGAAGGATGGTCATGGGACGCGGCGGCCCAGCAGTGGGCAGCAGATCAGGCGGGAGGCAAGGCGGCGGCGACACCGGAGCCGCAGGGATGGAGGATTGCGGTGGGCTGGCGTTGGCGGCGGGGGCATCTCGCCGCCGGTGGCTCGAGGAGGGAGGAGAAGGAAGAGGGAAGAGGGGGAAGGGGAGGAGGTTAGCCGGGGGAGCGGCGGCGGAGGTGCGGTGCGGATCGCAGCTAGGGAGCAACAGCGTAGTGTCGGGAGAAAGGAGTATGAGAAGATTTTTAGGGTTGGGTTTCTCTGCACGAATCTTAAAGTAATCGGATGGTCCAGAATTTACAAGATTTTTAGGGGTTTTCTGTCAAATGACGTATAGACAGTCCCAAAATTTATATATGATAAATATTAATATTTTTCAATGTTGGGGGGCATGAATTTTTTTTAGAAAGGGCATGAAAATAACTGTATGCTCTAATGGTAATAGCTAAGTGCACGCATTATATGTCCCAAGAAGAGACCGGAATTATTTATGTTGTGAAAAAAAGAAGAAAACTACGAACACATGTCTAGCTAATGGATGAGAAATGAAACCGACTTCGTGATGATTATTCGAGAACACAAACAAATGAATTAAAATTATTTTCTTAAAAAAGTAGGTATTGAGAAATTGATATTTTAAACCATCATAAAACACATGTAAATATAATATACCATTAAAAATACTCCTTGCCTTCATAAAATACATTTTTTACTTTGAGGTGCTAATTTTAACGAACTATATTTTTAATAATCAAATTTTATAACATTAGAGGCACATTGACTCTGGTATGGTTCAGTAAAATTTCAACATTAAGATTACACACGGGCTATGAAAATAGCGCGCCAAAAAGCGCGCTTATTTTCTAGTTACGTACTCCCTCCGTTCCATTATAAGTGCGGCCATAAGTTTCCGTACCAAACGTTTGACCGTCATACATATTTAAAAAAAATATGAAAAATTTCTAAAAGTTAAGTCACACATAAAACACTATTCATATTTTATCATCTAATAACAATAAAAATACTAATCATAAAAATATTTGAAATAAGATGAATGGTCAAAGTTGGACACTGAAACCCACAACTGTGTTTACTATGAGACGGATAGAGTATTAGATAATATTATATTATATATATATATATATATATATATATATATATTAAAGAACTTTTCTATAATTTTTTTTTGATAAAACACATCATTTAGCAGCTTCGGAAGCATGCGCGGGAATCAATGTTCCCAACTTCACTTCTCTCGTTTCACACACGTTTTGTAAACACCGATCACCGTCATCGCTCGGGAGAGCCCCTACATCGACCCTCGGGGCCAAGCCCCACGCAACTGGTGTCACCAAAGAGAACCCACGTAGCCCGCTTCCTCTCGAAGTGCTCGATGGTGGTGGCCAACACCATGACTAGTTAGTGTGCTCTTTCTTAGGGGCTAGGTGGCAGGTTGGTGGTGGAGTTGGCATGGAGGGGGCAACATGAGCCATCGAGCACCTCGTCGAGCGCTAGAGCGCACGGAATGGTGCGAGCATTGGTCTTCTGCGTTGGCCGAGCTTTGTGCTATCGAGGCCGCGTTCCGCCCAAGTTGCACCCTATGCTCCACAATAATTTGCTTCCTCGCTTCCACCATGTTGCAGCTCTAGCACTTCTCGACATCACTCTCCTCTTGTTGCCACCTCCGGGAGGAAGGCCTCATCTCCATTGCCATCGACCGATCTCCACCAAACCATCTTCATCGCCACTGCACCGTCCTGGCTATGCATCAGCTTCTGGTCATTGCCACGATATTCCTCGTCGTCCTTTATATCATTGGCCATCCATCGTTGGCTGTCCTTCGCGGCCCACACCACCGCATGGCCGTCGACCTTGTCTCTTCCGCCTAGGCCCATTCCATAACCCAACGCCAGTCTCGCCACGATGATTTTGCGTCGACCTCAGCCACTGGTCCACCTCCTCGCTTCCACGGTCACTCGTGATCTCTCGGCTTGATGACCTTCCACCTCTGTCGTGGGACGGGCCCCTTATGGCATCATATATTGGCGCAGTCGCATTCCCCTTCTACTATGCTCTGCTATGGTTGTCAACAACCGGCGCGGAGTCTATGGTGGTTGAGCGAGTGTGATCGCGGACAATATGTCACATCAGTATTTTCAAACCATCAAAGAAGCCAATTTACATTAGTTTTTAAAGCTGGGAAAGGGACCACCTATACATTTGTCGACAAATTTTCTCCTAAAAATTTGACAGATGTAATTATAGTACAATCGTAGTGTAATTACACTGTAACTTATATATAATTACATTGTAACTTGCATGTAACTACAGTGTAACTTGCATATAAGTTTCACGTAATTTTGAATCGTTAAATCTATTACAAGATTTGTTTTGGTGAGGAAGAAAAAAAATCACAGCACAAACATATGTGTAAGAATTTGTTCCCACAACCTCCATTTTACCGAAATAACATATTACAAAGAGATTTTTGAAAGTTACATACAAGTTACACTATAGTTACAGTGTAATTACACTACGATTGTACTGTAATTACATCTGTCAAATTTTTAGGAGAAAATTTATCGACAAATATATAGCAAAATCGATTCTGAAAGGTAATACAATACTTTATTATCCTATTAATTCTGACAGCTACCAGTAGCTACACCACCCGGCCTTGTTTGGCAAAGCTCATGTCCTGGCCCATATGATATATGGGCTGGCCTGGGAAAAGGGCAACAGGGCCACCGACCTAAGGCCCACGAGGACCACAAGTGGGTCCTCTCTCTGACTCTTGGACCCGGCCAAAAAATTCGTCTGTCTGATCACTTTGCCGTGTAGTACAGCGGCAACCAGCACAAGCTGAACCGAAGCCGATGATGCCTTGCACAGCAAATCTTACTATCTCTTTTCTCTTCTCAAAGCAAGCGCTAGATCGAGCCATGTGGAAGCAAATCCAAAGTCAAAAGAGCAGTCACGCACACACCTGAAAACTTCACCCCCAATTCATTCTCCAAGCTGATAGCCTCATTACTCATAAGTGATTAAGTTTCATCAGCACAAACGCATCTCACGCATTTCAAATTCAAGCTGATAATAACATCATGAGTTGATTGAATCTCCTGAAAATAAAGATAAAAATTAAGTGTTTTACGCAAAACGAGGTAGAAATAACGTGTAATTAATTAAGTTTTAATTATTACAAACTTGAAAAATGAATTAATCTTGTATTTTAAAACAACTTTCATATAGAAAGTTTTCGCACGAAACGTTTAACAATTTAAAAAGCGTGTCACGAGTATCCAAAAGTGTATCAAGTTTTGTAGGAGAAAAGAACGAGGCCTCAGGACTCTTTTTTTATCAAAATTTGAAAACCAAATCGCACAAATCATCGAGCAAATGTTACCGCCTCGCCGAAAGAGTTGTAAACTTACGCCTAATTCGCGGAGATTGCAAGCTATTCGCACTAACATAGAGAATTAACGTAGAGACGGGAATAGCGCCCGCGCGCGCGCCAATCTCGAGGCGGCGCCACAGCTGGTTTCTTGGCTGCGTTGCCGATCGCCAGCTCGCGTTGGTGGTGGTGGCCATGCACACGTCGACCAAGCTCCGGATCCCCACGTCGCAGCAGCAGCAGCTTGACGCGGCGATTATGGACGGCGCGCACCGCTCGCCGGCGGCGAGGCCGCCGGCGCCGCCGCGGTCCAAGATGAAGCTCCTACTCCTCGTCATCGCCACGAACCTCGTCTCCGTCTACCTCTTCTCCGGCGCGTCGCTGTCGCTCCGCCTGCCGGCGGGGGCGGCGGCGCCGAGCATCCACCTCTGGGACTCCTCGGCGCTGCTGCGCGACCTCGGCGCCACGCGCGCGGCGCTCGCCGCGGCGCGCGCGGAGGTCGCGGCGCTCCGCGCGCAGTGCAACGCGTCGTCGCTCCTCCTCGAGTCCGTGCTCGCCGGGCTCGGCGCCGCCCACGGGGACAAGCCGGCGGCGGCGGATCGGGGATTCGACGGGTGGCCCGAGGAGCCCACCGGCGAGCTCAGGCTCGCCACCGAGCCGCACCGGCTGCCGCTCGGGTTCTCCGCCAAGCTCGGCACCGACGAGCTCCACCCGGGCGTCGGCTTCGCGTGCCGCAACTTCCAGGACGAGCTCGCGCGGTACATGGCGTACGACGCCGGCGGCGAGTGCCCCGACGACGCCGACGCCCTCGAGCTGCAGCTCATCCTCAAGGGGTGCGAGCCGCTGCCTCGCCGGCGGTGCAGGCCGAGGTCGCCGGCGAGGTACGTCGAGCCGGCCCCACTCCCCGGGAGCCTCTGGTCCATCCCGCCGGACACCACGGTGAACTGGTCCCCCTACGCGTGCAAGAACTACACCTGCCTCGTCGGCCGCGCCCGCGCCAGGGGCGGCGGCGGCGGGTCGTACGAGTGCAAAGACTGCTTCGACCTCGCCGCGGGCGGGAAGGAGCGGCGGCGGTGGATGTCCGACAACGGCGGGCCCGGGTTCAGCATCGACGGCGTGCTGGCGTCGCGGGCGCCCGGGACGGTGCGCGTCGGGCTGGACATCGGCGGCGGCGCGGGCACGTTCGCGGCGCGGATGCGGGAGCGCGGCGTGACCGTGGTGACCACGACGCTGGACGTGGGCGCGCCGTTCAGCGCGTTTGTGGCGTCGCGCGGGCTCGTGCCGCTGCAGCTGTCACTGGCGCAGCGGCTGCCGCTCGCCGATGGAGTGATGGACATCGTGCACGCGATGCAGCTCGGCGGGTGGGTGCCCGGCGCCGTGCTGGAGCTCGCGCTGTTCGACGTGTACCGGGTGCTCCGCCCCGGCGGCGTGTTCTGGCTGGACCACTTCGCCTGCGTCGGCCCGCGGCTGAACGACACCTACGCCCCCATCCTGGACCGCGTCGGGTTCCGCCGCCTCCGGTGGAAGGCCAGCCGCAAGCTCGACCTCGGCGCCGAGAGGAACGAGTGGTACCTCTCGGCGCTGCTCGAGAAGCCCTTGACATGATCGAGATCGCCGTCGCCGCCGACGACACGCGTCGCCGGCGGCGATGGTGACGGCGATTGCGCTTTTTCCTTGGCTGTTTCTGATTTTGCGCGCGTAGCAGTTGATGGACAGAGGAATGTTCAGATAATTCAGAAAAAGAAAAGTAGTAGCCTTGTAGGGAAGGTGAGTGATATACTGAGATATTTGTGGCAAAAGGATTCAGATTGTTTCCAGAAACATTATACGACAAATAATTCAGCGTTTGCTTCTTGCTTATCTGGGAGGTGGATTTTTATCACTGGAGGGGATGACCCTTCTTTCGTGTATGTCGTCTAAAAAGTTATTAAAAAAATTTGAAAAAAATAACAAGATATATCAGCATGTGAGATATCACTTCACAAACATGCAAATTCAAATTCAACGTGTACAAGTAGGAAAAAAAACAAATTTAAGTGCAAATAGTACACACTATTCACAATCAAATTTGATATTTTTATATTGATTATCATATCAATTTTTTTTGTATTTATGGTTATTTGAATACCATGTCAAAAATAAGGGGATATAGCCTTAAGGTATCAAAAGAGTTTCCCATTACTTTGCAGTTCTGCTTTGTGCGGATGTGAGATCATACTGGGATTGTGACACGTCCGTCTGTCGAAGAATTTCTCATTGCATTCGATGTTTAGAGTAATAGTATAGAGTGTTTGGTCTCGCTTTTAAGTTGTATCGGCTGGCAATATGCCATAGCGGCTGGTTCAGAATATCCCCTCGCGAACCTCCACCCGCGGACCTAGACTCCAACCGAAGCACAGACCTGAGAATTGGTAGTCGGAGAATCAGTATTCAGATTGTTTTCAGAAACATTTTCGAACAAATAATTCAGTATATTAATTTGTTACAGAACACTAAATGCCTCCTTGCATTAGATGAAACTACAGGTCGCTTCTTATAAATTCAGTTTATTGTGAATAACAGTTGACGAATAGTTGTGTCTCTGATCCACCGGCTGACCAGATTAGCTGACATGATAGCTTTTGTACTTTTGGTGAGAACGAGTTGTACTTGTGCTGATAGTTCAGCTAATATATAAGAGAAACTCCATTAGCGCCACTCATAAATCGAGGGAACACGATCGATGGACAAAAACGGCTTATTATTAGGCATTTGGTATGAAGAATAGATACGGTTATCGCCGCGCGCGGCATGCAAATAGGGATTAAACAAAAGATTTACTCCATTGGCCAAAAGAGTACTCAGACGTATAAAATAGCATACCTTGGATTACACTAGAAAAAATGCCCGTGCGTTGCAACGGTTACAGAAATTTTAATCTTACATATATTAAGTCCGCAGTATATCCTACTTTAAGCTCAAGGTTGATCAAAAGGAACTGACCATTATTTGCTCGATGAAAATGGGAGCCCTGCTATGGTTTTTGCATCGATGCACAACCTACTACATCCAGTTAGATAGTTAAGTCTTCCTTGTTATGAAAATAGATGCATAACGGATACACGAATTTTATATGGAAAGTCCTTATGGGAAAAAACCATGGGCGACGATCGGCAATGATCAGTATAGATGAGTTGCAACAAACGTAGATGATACACTGGGCTATCACATCTTTCCCATGCGGTATACAAGAGATATATAAAGGAGAAATCTAGAAGTCCTAATATGCAAAGACTCTAAACCCTATTAGGAAACTAATCCTGTAATACAAAGTCCTATTAGGTAACTAAGGCCAAGTTTAGATCTAGGAACTAACGTTTAATCCCTGTTGCATCGGATGTTTTGACACCAATTTTGAGTATTAAATATAGATACTTACAAAACTAATTGCACGGATGGAGGCTAATTTGTGAGATGAACCTATTAAGCCTAATTAATCTATGATTTGACAATGTAGTGCTACTGTATATATGTGCTAATTATGAATTAATTAGGCTTAATAGATTCATCTCGTAAATCAGTATCTATCTGTGTAATTAGTTTTATAAGTAGTCTATGTTTAATACTCTAAATTAGTCTCCAAATATCCGATGTGACAGGGATTAAAGTTTAGTGCCCAGGATCCAAATAGGCCATAACCCAAATATATTGTATGCTGAAATTCAGATCACATATTTCGCAATCTCCACCTTGAGACGAATTTCGTCTTGTAGTATAAAAATCTTTAATCTCCAAACAACCTCATGATGTTACAAAATCATTGTGTGCCAAATAGTCACTTAGACAATAAACCGTAACACCCTTAATCCAGAAGAGGTATACCATACTCCAAACTCATCATTGGGAATAAATTCTATTTATGAGTATAAACCTGTGTGAACCTAGCAGAAACGCGATACACTTTGGGTGAAAAAAGAAGTATTTTGATCTTCATAAAAACCTCCTAGTAATTTGGCATGTGAGCTTAGCAAAAACTGAAAAAAGCTTGGGTGGACATAGCAGTGTAGATGAATTAATTCCCCGCTACATGCACAAAGCGACAATCTGAAAAAAGCTTGGGTGGACATAGCAATTTGCCACAAAATCACCACTGTACGGTGACAGGGGCAGCGAATTATGTGAGCCGTGCGAGTAGATGGATTAGCCGGCCTCTGCTTTTCCTCTGCAGATGCGTGCCCATCGCTGTCTTGCCTCCGGACAGAAACTTCGGTCGGCGTGTTCAACACGGAAAGGACAGTCACACAAGAATCGGACGTGAACTGCTTCGCACGCGGAGACGATATCAGGCGCAATCGGACTTAGGCGACGTACGAAACTTAATACAAAAACATCTTAAACTTATAATAGATAGAGAGATAGATGAGTACTTCAGTTGAAAACTGTATATGACTAATTTTACGTTATTGAGTGGCTTCAAACTTCAAAAGAACAAATTTCGTCTAACTAATACCATGATCTCACAAACATTGTACACAACTCAAAAGTTTGGCAACAGAATGGCTCTTTAAATAAATTGAACAAAATTCAAACAAACAAATCTCGTGGAAGCATTCGCTAATGGAAACTTGCAAACATATCTGGACTGGTCAATACCCAAAATATCACTCTTAAAACTATCCTTGCATTTGTTCATTACATGTAAGAAATAAGCATGGTCAAGAACTCAAGATGTGAAAGGCAATGAACCCCTATAGGAAAATGGGCAAAAGGAAGCAACAAGGGGAAAACTAACACAACCCAAAAATCCACATGAATAATTGCCGATGAGTCAATGACTTACAACAGCCTCTCAAGGCCACATCATCACAATTACAGTGCTCCATTTGACATAAAGAAATCTGAAGAATGCATCTCATATTTTCAATTCTGTGGACAAAGACTGCGAGGTAGTGAGGTAGGCATCTATTACCTTTTATTCTTCCTAGTCTCAAATTCCTTCATATGTTCATACAAAATGCATTCATTTGCAAGTTAGTTTCTTCAAAAAGAGAAATATTTAGGGCAACAAGAGAACTCAAGTCACTTCATCAGTTGAGAGGATGGTTATTTGCACAGACAGCTTGAGCAAGCCATCGACCTTAACATCCAGCTTAATGGTTTGTAACCAGTTACTATTTTTCCTTTTTTTAGAAAGAGAAGTTTCAACCCAGTCAGAAATACATATTAAAAAAATGAAAAGACATCAGCTAGTGATCAATCTAGAAAATTAAATATCAAACAGCAAAGGATGTCAAACAAAAGGAATAAAGCCTAATTTCTGACATTGCAATGCTCTACTTTCTGAAATTTCTCTTATGAACCAAAAAAAAATGCATGCTCTAAACAGCGATGCTATGATGGGAAAATTAGCATGCTTAGCATTTTCTGCTGCTTCCTGCTAGCCTCCTTTTTACTGGTTGTTTCTTCCAGAGGAACTGGGAAATCAAATGGCAGCTACAACAGCTGAGCATGGAGCTGTCATCTCCAAGTGGCCATTTTCAGTTCCATGTACTTACCTTTGTTCTTCCAAGCTTGACTAAAGTAGTCAGTGGATATCACCATCTGATTATATCACAAATACTGTAAAGTAACTTATGCAGAGATTTAGAAGATGATTAACAGCATAGTCAATCCACGGACCTTGTACTAATCTGCAATTCATATAAAAGATAATTGGACCAAGAAACATAAACACAAAACTCGTAAACCTAATCCTTATGTCTCAACAGTCAAAAGCCCAAAGCAACTACTTTGCATTGTACATCTGGAAATTATTTCGAAAGGAGCATACTTCGATGCCAACATACTCCCTCCGTCCCACAAAAAGCCAACCTAGGTGGGGATGGGACTCCACCTAGGACAACAAATCTGGATATGAGCAATCAACAAAGCAGGGCATGGACACAGAGCCAGCAAACAAAGAACATGCAAAGCGACACCTACACCGACGAAAACAGTACAAACCCGCCAACACACCATGTAGAACAGTAAAAATCATAATCAGTTGACACGCACGAAGCAACAAATATCCACACAAATCACCGGTAGATAGAAACATAAAGAACCACCGCACAGAACAACCAAAATGAAAAGTAATCGGCATAATTACCACCGTGCCTGAGCTAGTCAAAGATAAAAAGTTAAGGGTAAATTACCGTATGGTAAACCAGTCCTATAAAAAAGATAAGCAGCAAATCGAATCCAGCTACATGCATGTCATAATTACCCCCCAATAACAATCGATCATCACTAATATAGTTCATGGGGTTGCTTTATTCATGATATATTCACCAAGACCAAACCTTCAACAGAAAACAGAACAGATAAAAACATAGTTCATGGGGTTGCTTTATTCATGATATATTCACCAAGACCAAACCTTCAACAGAAAACAGAATAGATAAAAACATGTACTCCCTCCGTCCCAAAATATAACAACTTTTAGCCCTCAGGATTTGTCCCAAAATATAACAACTTCTCGACCAACATTCTTTTCCCAACCAATCACAACCCTCCACAATTCACTTTTCCACCTACCTTCATTACTCATCCAATCACAAAACTCCACCATTCACTTCTACCTACTTTCTTAATAACCATGTCCAACTCTAAAATTTCTTCTATTCTAGGACCTTTCTTAATAAACGTGTCCAACTCTAAAATTTCTTCTATTCTAGGACGGAGGGAGTATCTATTGGAAGACTACCATCAATGAAACACAAGCATGTTCATCAGAATTTTTACATGCATTACCAAGCACATGTTCTTTCCAGCAATGTTCATCAATGAAACACAAGCATGTTCTTTCCAGCAATGACAGCCAGCAATTACTAAGCGCACATTGTGACATCAAAAGGTCATAAAGAAGCTAACCCGGCATTCATGACATAGGAAGTAAAGAAACAGCAAATTGTATTTGTTCGCATTCAAGACAGGGTACCTTTTTTAGCTAGGAGAGACCAACATGCAGAACAAAATGTCAATATGCAGGATTAAATGTCTGTGGAGACCAACGGGAACTGAAGCAATATGAAATAATAGCCAACATAACTAGCACATGACTGTAAAGACATTTTGGCATTTAAGCCATGATCTTGGCAGACCTCATGTAAAGACTGTCGACGACCTTCCCAACATTTGAAATAGTTTCAAGTGTAGCAGGGAAGATTGCCTCGGTCTTGGGATCCTCAAAGATAATGAGGCAGCCAGCACCTTGATCCAGAGTTCCTGCAAACTTCTTGTCAAGGATCATCTGCGACAGCTTCTTCTCAACATGATCAACTGGCAACTCAATCATCTCCGCAATATGTGCAATCTCCACCCTTGAGTAGGGCTCAATCAGCCTGCACAGGTTCTGCTCCAGGAGGGTATCATACAGAGATGAAAGATGCCTGTGCACAATAGGGTCCTCCTCCAGTTGAGACTTGTAATCACGAAGGGCAGTTTCAAAGTACTTGAGAGATCTTTTTGAGTAGGCATCAGCAACAGCTTTCATAGCATCAACATCAGGACCCAGATACTTCAAACCAGCCTTAGATGAGATTATTCCTGCGACATCATCAGCTTGGTTAACCATAATCTTGCACAGGAGCATGTACTTCAAGCTGAAGATCGCCTTTGGGTCTTCTAGGGCACTGAATGCTTCAAATGCTTCAAAAAAGTAGCTGTATGCAGTCTTGTAGTCCTTTTCTTCAGCATGAAGGATTCCACTCTGCAGATCAATAGTACCCTGCTGTGCTGGTGGAACATAAATGGCATTCGCTGCTGTTCTAGCAGCAGTCAATGAAGCTTTGGCCTTTGGCAGGTTTCTCAGAGAAAAGTGGAGTTTACTCTCCAGAAGGTCAATGTCCACAAGAAGCAACTTGTCATCAAGCCTCCTGACTTCCTTGATAAGACCAGTAAGGAGAGTAAGCGCTTCAGTGTACTCCTGATTCTCTAACAGAAGGGCTGCTAGCCTTGCCTCCACACGCTGCCTGAGGAATGTCCGCTTCTCAGCACGGGTCCATTCAACCATCTCCTTGCAGAGTGAGATCTGAAGTTCAGATGTTCCTGGTATCTTGGCAACAGCATCGATGATTCCACGGACAATTTTTGCAGTCTTTGCCTTGGGAATCAACGAGAAAAAAGGCCTGAGCTGGGTTAGAAGGTTTCGCAGCTCCTCAGCCCGGTTCTCTTTAGTGAGGTAGTTGGTAAGATTTGTAATTGCAAGTTCCTTGGTTCTCAGAGCCTCTGCAGAAGATGACGGGTCTTGTAGAACACGGTAAAGGATTGAAATGGACTCCGAAGCATCTTTAGCTTCCTGAGCCTTCGCTATTGACTCAGTGGTTGCAGGGAGGTACGATGATTCCATAGAAGACATGATCGCTCTGTCAGCAAAATGAAAACAAGTTACAATGAGAGTTACAAAACAAATCAGAAATAGCCAGAACAAACGTGAAAACAATCCAAAGTGCACATTACTATCAGGAAAATTATTTTTCAGTTTGGTGGTTTTCATTATTACATCTGTGAATTGTCACAGTGCCCAACTGAAAATTTACCAATACTCAGAGAACAATAACACCAGATTATATAACCAAACAACTTCTTCTGAACAATTTTTATCCTCTACAGCTAAAAGACTGGGACTTCTATAACTCTCTTTGCTTAAGTGTTGCAAAATTTATCCGAAAATTTCTGCTAACGGGCATGCCAAGATTTGTTCCTAATTTTGGGGCAAGCAAACAAAGGCGCTATCCAAATAGACACAAGAACTCATCAGAGTATTTTATCAGATAATGGTTAAACCAGCCGCTGCATCTAAGATACACCAAAGCCACAATCCTCGAGAGTATCAATTCACACACACACACACAAAAAAAAGAAAATATCCAATCACCCTTGTTCATCTAGATGCATCGCAAACTAAAGACTGCCCCTAATAACTCCCGGGTTTGACGATGAACCCTAGGTCGCAACCAAAAATCTCTAGTAACTCAGCTCTCAACCCCAAAATTGGGTCGGAAAAAGGCGCTGGATTAGGGCAAAGAGTTAAAAGGGCTTCCAGATCTAGAGCATCGCCGTGCGGTGCGGGCGCTCACCGCGGCGGCGGCGGCGGAAGCAGCAGCTACACCTGCTACCCTCGCGGGCGGGACGTAGATCGGCGCAGGCGGCGTGCGGCTGTATATATATATATATATACGGAGGCGAGATCGAGTTAGGGCAGGCGGCGAGGAGGAGTCGGAGACCAACTCGATATTCGGGCTCCCAAGATTTCTTTCTTGGAGAAGAAGAAGAAGAGGAGTAGGAGATCTGGATGCGGAGGAGGAAGAGAGGGGGGGGGGGGGGGCGTGGCTTACTTACCAGCTTGCTTGCGGCGGACGCCGACGCCGACTCCGGCGGAGGGAGAGTTGCGGCGGCGAAGGCGAAGGCGAAGGCGAAGGCGGCGGCGGTGGAGAGAGTGAGAGCTGCGCGAGGGGATCGCCTGATTGCGGCTTTCGGCGGCGTGCGAGATACTTGGGGTTGGGGACGAGGCGAAGTCGGAGGTAGCGAGGCAGGTGGGACCCAACGCCTCTCGCCGGGATAAGTAAAGGCTAAGGCCCAAGCCCGGTAGATTTGGGCTCCCGTGGCAAAATATTTTTTTATGGCCCGTTTGTGTTTTCAAAAAAGAAAGGAAAAAAAAAGTAAACCTTTTCCTTTTAAGATTCTAACTCTAGTTCGAGTCTAGTAATAACTCAGTCGGAGTCTAATACAATCCAAGCTCTATGTCGTTATGGATCTAAACCCACCATGAATCGAACAGGTGTAAATATTTCTTTTCTCTCCGATTAATTTAGGGATTTTCTATACTCTAACGGCCTGTTTGGTTGGAGGGAGTTGGTAATGGGGAATGGGAGTTTATGATATCTGGGAGTTTAAGTCTGTAGTTTAGTTGGAAGACTTAGAAATTCGAGGGGATTTGGGATGGGGAATTAAAAGGTCGAATTCCCACCAAACTCTTACCTGGGGGAGTCCCGTTAATTCGTGAGACTTGGAGGGAATTCGATGTGAAACCAAACAAGGGATGAGGACTAAAAATGTAACTCCCATGACCAATCCCACCATCAACTCCCTCCTTAAAACTCTCATTCCTCTTCCCTTCTCTTGTCAAACAGGCCGTAAAGTAAACACGTTTTTTTCTTTTCGAGACGATCAAATAATATGATGGATAGACGTCTAAAGAGATCCTTTGAAAAAGGAATTGGATCCTTTTTTTCTTCTTTTAGAAGACGTATGGAATGTCAGGCCTACTTTGAAACACAAGATTTTCAGAAATCAGAACACAGGGATGGGGAAAAAATGTACTACCTCCGTTTCAGGTTATAAGACTTTCTAGCATTGTCCACAATGTCTAGATTCATTAGTATCTATATAAATTTAGGCAATGCTAGAAAGTCTTATAGTATAAAACGGAGGAAGTAGGAATCTAATATCTTAAATCCTATAAATAGAACAGTATATAGGAAAACTACACATTATCTAAAAAAATATAGGAAAACTACAAGAATAACCGGGATGTAATATAGAACAACATAGAAATCTTCATAAGAGAGAAATAAACACAGAGAAATTTTTCCAAGGGAGATCAAACCTCATGTTGAAAATCCTCTAAAATTCTTATGATTTGAGGCAATCCTATGGAATTTTAAAGGGATTTAAGAGAGCCATTCATTCATTCCAAAGGATCACAAGGAATTTTTTAATAGGAATCCAATCCTTCAAAATTCCCGTGTTCCTTCAAAATTCATTTGTTTCAATCATATAGAGAATTTGAATGCAACTTATGACTCATAAGGTCATTCCTCTTTTTTTTTCTCGTCATTTGGGCTTGATGTGTGTGTTTTTGGAGTAGGATTGGATAAACTGGCCACTTGATTTAAATGTTTTTTTATATTCCTATATTTTGAGTTTCATGCATTATGAAAAGGGTCTAGTAGGGATCTGACGACGAGGACACAGCTAGGGTGACATACGGTGAGCGTAGGGCGAAGATGGTGACGGCGTGTGAATTCAGTGGCTCCCAAGCTGACTGCAACAATCTGGAGGGGTAGATGATGATTGGAGATGAGTAAGGAGAGAAAGTCGATAAAAAAACTATGATAAAAAAGTATTAATATATTTAGTTTTAAAATTTAAATTCTGGTTACGGACAGCAATGCAAAAGTGCAAAAATGCTCAGGCAGGCAGGTAGGGCAAGTCTGTCTGTAACTCCGCGTCCATGGGAATCAATTGAAAAAACAAAGTGGCCTTTATGCTTGCATATGCCACTTTAATAACTAACTAAAGAAGAGCATCGGTACAGCTATACCTATACTCCTCTCAAATCTTTTGGTAGTAGTGGCTGAAACACTAAACTATATAGTATATAGTCTTACTTAACATATATAATCACCATCAAGAGAGAACATGATTAATGTGTTCCTTAACCACGAAGAAGCCCATGTCCACTGCACATATAAGAGCTAGCTATAGCTTTATCTAGAAGGACACTGACGAATAGCTGGCTTAATTAGCTCGCCGGAGAGGAGCCTGCCATTGCCGGACGACGGGGATGGCGGCGACGGAGGCGACGACGATCGAGGACACGCCGACGTGGATCGTCGCGGCGGTGTGCTCCGCCATCGTGCTCATCTCCTTCGCCTTCGAGCGCTCGCTGCACTACCTCGGCAAGGTGGACCGAACAAATCAAGAACCAATTAACTAACCAAGCTAATTGATTGCACATTTTTGCACTGCTTATTTCAGCTTCAGCTCATTAATTTCTTGCAAAGCTTTGCAGGCGCTGGAGCGCCGGAGGAGGACGCTGTACGAGGCCTTGCTCAAGCTCAAAGAAGGTTGGCCTCGATCGGTTGATTAATCGCGCGCTGACACTAATGCCAGAAAAAATTAACTGAACTTTTTAATTCGATTCAGTTTTTCTTCCGAATGTACATCTCCTGTCTGTGTGATCCGTAGAGCTGATGCTGCTGGGGTTCATCTCGCTGCTGCTCGTCGTGTTCCAAGAGCCGATACAGAGGATATGCATCGCCGAGAGCCTCATGGGCCACTGGCTGCCTTGCCGGAGCGACGGGAAGGCGTCGTCGCATCACGGCGTCGCCGCCGCATCGGCTGCCGTCGTCTCCGGTGCCGGCGCGAGGAGGCTGCTCGGAGAAGGGACAGCCGGATCTGGGCACTGTTCGAGCAAGGTATATTATTTTCTCTCTCTTTTGTTTTAATGTAAGTTCGAGCAAGGTATAGTTTAGCTTTTGTACTTTTGCTTGCGTTGGAAACGATTTCAGACTCTCATGACTTTGGTATAGTTGTTGGCTTGTTGCTTAGAAGGCTTTTTTATTGAGGCCCTATTCAGATTGGAGGAATTTTGAATTTTGGAGGAATTGAAGTGTTTTCTAAGAAAATCCTGTAAAATTTCTACGTTTTGAAGGAACCCTAAGAAAGAAGACTTCAAGCTGACTGAGGTCAACAGTCAACTGATGCTCCATTGTTAGGGTTCTACACCGTGCACCTAATATTATACATTACCACAAGTTAATACTAGAAAAAGTGATGACCTCCGGTATCAACCACAAGTTAAAGTGCATTTAATGACAAACCAAGTCATTACAAAATAAACGATAATTATATGATCTTTTTAATGAAACGATGGTCAAATATATGTATCATTTTGTTTGGTCCATAAGGACTTTGGCAATGCAGAGTTTTTTCTTTCACTTTTTCTAGAACAGATGTGATATGCAGTGCCTGCACGGTTTCTGTCTCTCATTTTGAAACAAATTCATAAATTGAGATTTGAAATAACACATCTCTTCTCATCTTGTGTCAGGGAAAAGTTCCATTGCTCTCGCTCCATGCCATAGAACAGATACACATATTCATCTTTGTTCTAGCCATCACCCATGTCGTCCTCAGCGCCGTCACCGTTCTTCTGGGACTTCTGCAGGTTAGGCTAGCTGAAATATAGTACTCCCTCCGTTTTAAAATGTTTGACACTGTTGATTTTTTAGCACATATTTGACCGTTCGTCTTATTTTAAAAAAATTGTGAAATATGTAAAACTATATGTGTACATGAAAGTATATTTAACAATGAATCAAATGATATGAAAAGAATAAATAATTACTTAAATTTTTTTGAATAAGACGAATGGTCCAACACGTACTAAAAAGTCAACGCTGTCAAACATTTTAAAACGGAGGGAGTATCATATCAGCCCATGCTAATCCAGTAATCCTGTTAGCATATGCTGGTCCATTTCTAATTTTACGTGTCCAGATGCGAAGATGGAGGCATTGGGAGAACGCCATCAAGGCAGATGGAGACTTTGGTAGGACAATTACGATGAATATTTATTTTCTTTAAAAAAATCAACCTTGAATGCAAATTAGGCTCACTAGGAACACAAGAAAATTTAGGAACTATCTCCTATAAACTGTGAAACAATTGTGCTTCAAACGGGAAATTGATAGATCCCATTTTGAGATGAATGCATAGATGCAGCTGTTCTGGGAGGCTGGGACTATGTTGGTGTCGCAGCATAAGAAAGCTAGTTTATTTTGCCATGATCAGCTGCAGGTCCTAAGATGATCAACAGAGCGCAGCAATTCAAGTTCATCCAGGATCGGTACAAGGGGTTCGATAAAGTCACCATGGTCATAATTTGGATGGTATGCGTGCATTAATTATGCAATCAGCAGTACTCTCTTTGTCCCATAAAAAACCAATTTAATACTGGATATGATACATTATAGTACTACGAATCTGAACATACTAGAATGTGTCACATCTAGTCCTAGATTTTTTTTTTTTGACGGAGGGAGTAGGCTTAAGCCTTTTTGTGTTGAGCATCACCTGATGTATTGATCATGTATGTATCTCTGGAGTCTGAACTTCAGTAACGGTTTGCTTTTTTCAGCGTTCTTTCTTCAAGCAGTTCTATGGATCGGTAACCAAGGATGACTACACAGCAATGAGGCTTGGTTTTGTCATGGTACACTGATACAATGCTTGGCATTCATTGATTCATATGTTAGCCATGTGGTCTTATTGCTGTCTTCTGATCCTGAATGCATTTTATCTGGTTGCGTTCATTTGTTCTTTTGATCATAGGAACATTTTAGGGGGCACCCAAAATTTAACTTTTACGACTACATGATTAAAGCTCTTGAGAAGGATTATAAGAGAGTAGTTGGCATAAAGTAAGTTTGTTCTATGTTTTTCCTATTATTTCCGATCGTTTATACACTGCTAATTGAAAGCATGTATTTTTTTTGTAAGCAATAGCAATACAATCCATCAGTCTCTACCAACATCAGCTACAGCTGCTAGCTGTATTAACAGTTTAACACTGACCATCATTACAAACTGCCACTAATTACTCGTTTTGCTGCAACACAGATGGTATCTCTGGATATTTGTAATGATCTTCCTCCTACTAAACATCACTGGTTCGTGGCGTGACTCTGCTCATCCATTCAGTAAAAACCTGTTCCTGGAACACTATTCAGAGATGAAACTGACCATGTTGCATATGATTTTCTCTGTGAAAAGGTTGGCACTCCTACTTCTGGATCTCATTAATCCCATTGGTTGTAAGTAGTACTACTTCTTTCATATATTATGCTGCAAACAGTTATGTACTTACTACTATATGGCATTTAGCTATATGCACAGTCCTGGAGCTAGCTTACTGTTCATGTTCAGAAGTTCAGAATGTGATTGCAGCTGCTGCTCCTGATCGGAACGAAGCTGGAGCACATCATCACTCAGCTAGCCTACGAAGTGGCCACGAAGCACACCGCCGTGGAGGGGGACATAGCCGTGAGCCCGTCAGACAATCTCTTCTGGTTCCACAGCCCCAGGCTCGTGCTCGCCCTCCTCCGCTTCATCCTGTTCCAGAACGCGTTCGAGTTTGCGTATTTCATCTGGACAATGGTAAGCGTAAAACAAAACGTACTCCCTCCGTCTCATTTTAAGCGTAGTTGTGGGCTTTTGTGTTCAACATTTAACTGTCCGTTTTATTTAAAAAACTTATAAAAAATAAGTCATACATAAAATACTATTTATATTTATCATCTAATAACAATAAAAATACTAATCGTAAAAAAAATTTTAAATAAGACGGACAATCAACTTGGATACGGAAACTTACAACTACACTTACTCCTAAGTTACTCCCTCTGTCTCCTCCTAATATAAGAGATTTTGATATTTTACTTGCACTGTTTGATCATTCGTCTTATTCAAAAAATTTAGAATTATTATTTATTTTTTTGACTTACTTTATTATCCAAAGTACATTAAGAACAACTTTTCGTTTTCTATATTTGCACAAAATTTTTGAGTCAAACGAGCGGTCAAATAGTATAAGCAAAATATTAAAATCCTTTATATTATACTACGGAAGGAGTACTATCATGGGTTATCTGACATTTTCAGTTTCAGTGATCATCGTATCTGACATCCCTGTGCAGGCAACGTTCGGCTTCAACTCCTGCATCATGGACAGGCTGCCGTACAGAGTGTCAAGAATTGTCATATGGTAGCAAGAACCATCAATTTGGTTTCTCCTGTTTCAGATTAACAATCTCAGATTCAGAGATTCAGTTACCATCTGTTAGTTACATATCTCACGTTTATTTGCTTCTTTGTCCTGTCATGCAGCGTCGTCGTCCAGGTCCTCTGCAGCTACAGCACGCTCCCCCTCTACGCCATCGTCTCCCATGTCAGTATACATAATTGACACAATTAACTTTGACTTTTTTTAAGTTAAACTTTATTAAGTTTAACTAAGTTTATAGAAAAAATTAGCAACATTTTAAACACCAAATTAGTTTCATTAAATTTAGTATTGTATTATATTTTAATAATAATAATTGTTTGTATTAAAAATACTACTATATTTTTCCATAAATATAGTCAAACGTAAAGAAATTTAATTAGAAAAAAAACCAAAACGACTTATAATATGAAACAGGGATTACTTATTCTAGACATAGATAAGCTGATGTTTTCCTTTTGTCCATGCAGATGGGGAGTTCGTTCAAGAGTGCCGTCTTCTCAGACGACGTCGCGGACAATCTAAGAAAATGGGCCGACGAAGCTCGGCGGCGCACAGGAAGAGCCGCCGCCGGTGTTGGCTGCCTAGGTGCGGCGGCAGGATCATCAAGGCGGGAAGGGATTCACATACAAAACATGTGAGAGGGGCCAACAAAGGGAAGCAGATCCGCTGATGTAACAGCACATGCACATGCAGTTAAGTCACTTATATGTGTGGATTCTACTTTATTGTGACTCACATGTCAATGGCTCAACTACAGAAGACCCAGTTCCCAATAAAGCTGTTCATGCTTAATTAGGCCTGTCTCCTTTGATGGGCTGAAATTACGATATTGAGAGACCAAAATTTGTACATTAACACGCACTAATGGACCAAAATTAGAAGCGCATATAGGCCTAAGTGTGCGCATAACGGGGAATAAGTTCACTTGAGGCCCCTCAATTTGCACTGAATTCAAGATCGATCCCTTGAGCCCTACCTTACAAAACCGTGCAAACGAGGTCCCTCGGCAGTATAATGCCCGGTTTTGGCTCACGTGGCGCATACGGGGCTCCTTTGACTAGGTCTTTGTCCCACATGGCATTAACGTGGCGCTGACGTGGCAATTTGATCCCCGAAAAATAGTTAGAACCGTGGGACCCACGTGTCAGCTACATAGGAAATAATAAAAATGACGGGGCCCAGGTGGCCCACATGTCATTCTCACGCTTCCCTCCTCTCTATCGCCCTCTCTCCCCGTGCATTGCAGAACGGTGGAGCGGTGCCGAGGGGCAACGGGCGGAGCATAGGGCGGCGGCGGGCGGCGGGTGAGCTCCTCGCCCTCTCCACCTCCTAGTCCTCCCTCTTCTCTCTATCATGTCTCTCTCTTTCCCTGCACTGCATGAAGAAGCAGAGCGGCGGTGGGCAGCGCGGAGGGGTGGGTGGCGAGCTCATAGCCTCTATGGCCATCCTCGGCCAATCCCAACCCCGTCGGTGACGCCGAAGTGGCCGACCACTGCAGCACCGCCCTCACAACGGGCACGGTCTCCCCGCCTCGCCAAGGTCGCCGCCCGCCGTTGGTTCGCTCCGCCGTTCTCGTTGCCGCCCATCCTTCTTGTTCGCGTAGATCCAAGCCACAGTCGTCCCTCATCTCGCCGTCGCCCCTTTGCTCCGCCGGAACCAGCCACACGCCTCATAGAGCTCAAGGAGGATCACGCCCGGGACGCACTCGAGGCCGAGGCGGCGGAAGCGGGTTCCTAGCGGCGGCGAGCTGCTGGAACAAGGGAGGAGGGAGGATGAGGAAGGAGAGAGAGAGAGAGAGAGGGGATAGAGAGGAGTGAGGATTGACATGTGGGGCCATATTGGCCCCACCATTTTTTATTATTTTCTATGTAGCTGACATGTGGGTCCCACGGTTTAAATTATTTTTCCGGGATCAAATTGCCACGTAAGCGCCACGTCAATGCCACGGGGATGAAGACCTAGTTAAAGGAGCCACGTAGACGCCACATCAGCCAAAGCCCGGACACAATACTGCCAAGGGATCTTGTTTGCATAGTTTTATAAGTTAGGGGATGTGTTGTATCTGGTTTTGCACTCAAGGGACGAATTTCGAACTCAGCGAGAAATTAAGAGACCTCAAGTGAACGTATTCCGCATAACGGTGGCAAAAGTAGGGAATTAGTTCACTTCAGGATCTTATCTTGGCGTCGTATTTCAATCGCATTCTTAAATCGTAATACCAAATACAGTACATCTTTTAATTTACATCACCAAAAATCCAAAATACCTAAGATCCTAGGACAGCATGGTGCCCGATTTCAATTAACATGACAAGTTAACCGCGATCAACCCAACTAAGTTAGCGTGGGTTCCACGTGTCAGCGGTCATGTCTTATTCCTCCCCTTTCTCCCCTCGTTCCTATATCTGTTCAGTGGCAAAGCCATGTTAAAGCTAGAGGGTGCACATAAAAATACTAAAATATACAATATTGCATTGAAATTTTGTTGATTTTTAATGGCAGTGTACCTCTTATTTTGATGTTAGCTTCGCCCTGTCTCTGTTCATGCCACCAGGGCGGTGTGGAGCTGAGGCAGCGGCCACGTCACTTCTCCCGCCCAGCCGATGCTGCGCCCGGAGACAGATCCCGTCGCGCACTTCTGGACCGAAACTTACGTTCATGGGCTAAAGTTGCCCTCGCTCGCCGGCCCAATTTCCGCACGCTTAGGGGCCCAATATACTGGCAATTATGGGCCGAAACTACGCGTACTTATGGGCCAAATTTACTCGCACCCACGAGTCAAACTAGTTAAGGGCTTTCTTAACCATGCAGATGAGTCAACCGAACAGTAAATCAGTAATGCGGCGGCGGAAGAAAGAAGAAGAATCAAGCCGCCTCAACCTATAATTCACAAGATCAAAGTGATTCATGATTCAGAAAGATCCCAAATTTTATAATTGGGACAATCGTGTGCTAGTTTTGTTTACCAAATTAAAGAAGTTGTGAGCGTGTCGAGAATTGAATACGGACCTTGGTTCAAATCACACACCTCCAACCACTATACTATGATTAACCGAACAAAGACAACGATTGGATGAGATTGATGAAGAAGATGCGCACTAAGTAATTAATTAGAGAGGGAGCTTCTCTACACCTCCAAATCCAAGGGAAAGAAAAAAAAACAAGAGAAAAACGATCGATGCAGCTGTTTATCTACAAGACTACAAGTAGGGAGCATGTCCCGTCGTCGCCCCATTGCGGCCGCCGCCGCCGCCGCCGCCGGCGGACGACGACGACGACGTCGTCGTCGGCATGAACGCCAGCGCCAGCAGCAGCACCAGCATCGCCACCGGCACCAGCATCAGCATCGACGGCGGCGGGGGCAGCGGCGGCAGCACGAGCGGGAGGATCACCAGCGACGCCGTCACGCACACCAGCAGGAGCAGCGACTCCACCGAGAAGTACTTGCCCCACACGCCGCCGCCGCCGCCGCTAGCCGCCGCCTCCCTGATATTGCTGCCGCCGCCGCCGCCGGATTTACCTGACGACGACGGCGGCGGCGGCGGCGGCGCCGTACTCCCGCCGCCGCAGGCTTTACCTCTTCCCTTCTCCATGTCGCTGCCGCTGCTGCTGCTGCTGCTGGCTGCAGTGGCGCAGGATGCCAACTTGAGATTGGGCGGCTCGTCGTCGCTGATCAGCTCCTGGATTTCCTCCTGTTCGTCCTCCTCGTCGCCATTTCTTGGGCTCAACAAGTACATGAGCTGATCGAGCGAGCTTGAGCTAGCTTAGCTCAGGTGCAGTGCATCCGATTCGATCGTATGCGTCTCTCTCAAGGAAGTATCAAATATCAATCACACTATCATATCACGCTAGCTGCTGGAGCTTAGAAATGAAGTTTTCATATGTAGCTCGATTTCTTGATACTGAACCAGATATATATTCGGATCAGATCTAAGCTGTTCCTGCAATCTCTGCATGCGGTATCTGCCAAGAAAGATGGATCGAATCAATTGTCAGCATGTGAAGCAAGCAATCGAAGCAGGTGATAGTCACTAATCACAGTATCTATCTATCTATCTATCTATGCGTAAGCTTTACGTAGGACAGGTCACATTATATTTTGTTACTACTATACCAAGGAATTGAAGTTGAAATTAAAGTTGGTAAAGCTAGCCGGCCACAGGAAAAAGGACTCAGGATATCATAACAAGGGAGACAAGGGAGATTATTCCTTGTCTTTTCAGAGAAAAGGGCCCATGCATGCATCCTAGCTCGCCAGCTAATTCGCAGAATCAGTGACAAATTACAGGACGAAAAAACAACCAGTGATTACCCAATGAATCAATCACCACCCAGATCGATCGATTAATAACAGAGAATCAGAGATAAATATGATGACCAGCAAATTAAACTGATGTACAGCTAACAGCTCTGCACTACACATCTCATCTCATGCATGTCTGTCAGTCTAAGCTATCCATCATCATCATCTGTAAGAATGAGTCAGACGATTGCATGCAAGGATCTATTACACATGAACACTAATCAGCTGTAATTAATCACGAATCAGCGAGCATACTGCATACGACTTACGAGCATATATATATATATATATATACCTGCTGATTCAAGAGACGGGATGGCAGGCATGCATGCAGCAGCTAGTCAGCAGCATATAGATCGATGGATCACCTGATCATCACCTCGATCTCTTCACGCCCAGGCAGCATCCCGATCGATCGATCCGAGCTAGCTAGCTGGCTGGAGTATTCCAGATCAAGCTGCTGCTAGCTACAGATGCAAGCAAAGGGAGGAGAGACAGGAGGCGACAGCAAGCAGCAGCAGCAGGAGGGAGGCAGTGGTGGGGTAGCTAGCTAAGCAAGAAAGCAAGCTGGGTGTGGGGGATGCAAAGAGCGGCGGATGCAGTGCATCTGGCGGCCGGGGGTGGGTAGGTCGTCGCCATGCAAGTGGAGGATGATGGTGGTGGGAATATAGTACTTAGTACGAAGGGGGGAGGGGGTTCGTCTCCCCTGGTCTCTTGGCCGCCCTCGTACGCGCCCTTTTTTTGGGCGTTTCTCTCTCTCTCTCTCATGGATCATCATGCATGGATGACCCAGCTCTGCTGCCAGTACTCTATCTGCATGTACACCCTCCTTCCTAAAAGATATCTATTTTATAAGTTTCTGTATCCAGCATTTGATCATCCATCTTTAAAAAATTAAAAAAATGAGTCACGCATAAGTGTTGTTTATGTTTTATCATCTAATAATAGAAATATACTAATCATATAAAAAATTTAAATAAAACGGACTGTTAAATGTTGAATATAAAAACCCACAGATAAATTTATTTTAGGACAAGGAGTGTACAGTACACATGTATAACTCGCCTCGATCGGTCAGTCGGTCAGACGGCGCGCACGATGTAGTATATGTATATCCATCCAGCTGGAGAAAATTGGCACGTATATATGTTCATACTCCAAATTGTCATTTTTCAAATTTGAGTCGGGGAGAGAACATGTAAGCCATTGATGCATCATTAATTAAGTAGTAATTATTTTAGATTTGAAAAATAAATTAATATGGTTTTCTAAAGCAAGTTCCCTTTAGAAAAAGAAATTTTGCAAAAACAAGCCATTTAAAAATTTTGGAAGCGTGTGCCCGTAAGAAACAAGGTAGCTTTTCTCTCAGTCCGTTGCTGCCGAATGCAGCTCAAGTATCGTTTTGATTCAATGCATATTTCTATGTTTGTAGACGTATCAGGAGATATCATGTTTTCTAAAAATAAAATTTGATACCTTTCAGTAACTAAATAAAGTGTAAATTTTGGTATCTCTTCGTAATGAAAAAAATGGAAGATTTTGGTGCTTGAAAAAAAAACAAAATGTGGCACATTTTTTTTCTTCTCAAATATCAAGCCACTCCTTTTTAAAATGATGCGAGCGTGTGGTGTACGTCAGATTGGTGTGAAAAATGATGACAATATACTTGGGAGCTTTTTATGGGCACTGCTCGTAACCCGATGACACGTAATAAAAACAACAACAAAAAAAATCAATTTTAGGTTATGAGTATTCTTAGTTCAAAAGGTCAACACTGAAAAGTAATGAAAGAAACCCTCCAAACCAATCCTAAGATTTAAAATTAGCACAGCTCAAATAAGCAAGCCCCTGAAGCAATTCACTTTTTAGAAAAATGCAGTACTTAAGTTAGCTCGGACTTGATCGGAGTGACAGGCCGGCAATCGTTCACGAACCAGATTGAGTGGTATTCTCCCCCTCGCGCATGGATTAGTTTAATCGCAGCGGAAATCTAGGGGCTGGACCGTGTGGTGCATCGTACTAGTAATCCTTAATTTAATTTAGTTAGGGGTTGGATTAGATAGCTCTTGATTGCCTGCCAGGGGCAAAGCCTTTGGCTCTTGGCAAAGCTCAGCAGGGGAGGAATCGATCGGTGAGCCATCCAGCCACGGATCAGTACGTAATAGTAGTACTTATATTTGTATTTAGTATTAATTCTGGTAATGCGAGTACTTCTTCACTCGACAATTAATTAGTAGGACGAGCAGACTAATTAGATGGGTGTCAAATTGTCAATAGAAAATGGAAGTCGCGGTTGGTCTAATGCCTAACTCGATTGGATCCTTTTGATTTGCAAAAGTACAATGATTAGGTGTACCACGCACCGTGTGATGCTTCATTCTGATTTTCTAAAGCCATCCTTAAGTTCCTAATAACCGCCGATTTGCTCGGAATATTGCAACTTCAGGTAGAAATTAATAAGCCGTTCATGTGAAATTCACTTTATAAGAGTTGATTAATAAACAGTTTGTGTGAAACCCATTCCTAAGAATTGAACAGTTGAGTATGATGTTGAAACATGTTTTGATTGTGAATTGCTTTTTCAGGGGAATGCTTTAATGTGATGCTCAGAAATGCAATAATGTATACTATGACTACCATTTTGGTCCAGGACAAGAGGATGGCGACATGCCTCCTATCACTTGTGTTCCCAAAACCTCCAACAAATAAATTTGCACAGTTCGGATCAAGGATTGCATGTAATACAACAGGGCGGACTAGCAAAACTTACATAATGTCCATCAAACAGCTATACAAACAACGGGTGTCCATTTCATACTAATAAGCTCGTCATGTGGACCATCCTGGCCTGGTGCATCGCTGAGCCCATTTCTTTCATCAGTAAACATAAATATCAACAGTACTATTGTACAAGACCAGCCAAGAGAGGCGTGTTACCATCTGTCCAGACTGGCCAGGCCTCATGGTCCATAAGATGAACACTCCGGACGACCTCCGCTAGGCTAGTCCTCCAGCTCGACAAGCTGAGCTCTTCTCTCGGCAGCTTTCTTCCTCACAAAGATGCCCCATCGCATAGCGGCCTTAATCTTAAGCCACCCAACAACAGCCTTACCAGACGGGCGAGCCCGGTCATCCTCGTAGTTGAAGGCTGGTGCAGGAGACGGCATGAAGGGGGAGAATCCATCTCCATGATTCATGTTGGCTGATGATCCACCCATGCTCAGGATGCGCAGCATTTGTTGCATGTCCTCTTCGTTCTCTAGTATCTCGTGGCTCCTCACCCGTATCTCCTCCATCAAGTAGTCGTCAACGCCTCCACGGTTCTCCTGCAACCGGGACCAGTCATCAAAAGGATTGAGGGGAGAAGGCTGCATGGACTGACCAAGTGCTGAGAATTCAAAGTTTTGCTGCTGTGTTGGTCCCAAGGCTAGCATGTTTGAGCTTCTTGAAGCTTGAGTTTGGATTGAAGAACCAGCGAACTGTTCTTCGGGTCTCAATGAACTCATGTCATATGGCATGGTGATACTTTGTGAGATGTCCTGAGGATTGGCTGCATATCTTGCTGCTTGGCTCCCGTTGGACATGTTTCTAGTTCCATCTGCATAATAACAAGCAAAATAGTTTATATATGCAAGTTACTATGAATTACTTAGAAAGGTGAATAATAAAATCGTTAACTGAACTTATAAATGCAACATCATATGCTATTCTTGGGAAGTAAATTGATGAAAGCAACAGCAGTAACAGATCTTCTTTTGCACATGAAGTTAAATGTAATTTAGTAAAATGACTACTTTAAAACAATTTGCACAGATGAAGTCAAACAGAAATATTAAAAATGTTTTTAGTTGTTTGACTAAGTAGAATTAAAATTGTACGTATATCAAATACATCAATGAAATCCAAAAGATACAATATTCACAAATGAGCATTCCTGTAAAGATAATAGAAACATAAGCATGCAGTTCAGGCCACAAGAAGGGGAAGATATTTTTGTTTTAATAGATAGAAAATCACTGGCCAGGAAGAATGGCTAAAAAAAAGGTGAAGAAAAGAAATTCATATACCTTCACTCATACTGCTCATAGATGATTGCTCAATATTCACAGGTCCGCCTGTCAATTGTTTATGTGAGTGTGTCGAACCATATGAAGAAGGGTAGCTAGTTGAAGCCTTTGCTGTATCACTTCTTGTCGTGACAGATTTCTTTTTCTGCTTGAATCTCAACAGTTCCTTGCCATCATATTCGACAACGTTGATCCAGTCATCATATGCTTGTTTCACTAGTGTATCCGCAAACAACTGCAGTTGAGTAAAATGAGATAATGACAAAAGGTTAAGTATTTCAGCCATCGCAAAACAAGTATCAGTAAAATTTAGTGTAGACATCTTATAGTGGCAGACTGGCAGTGACTTAGGTGATAAGAGGGGTAACAGAGCTGAGAAAACTCAGATTTCAATGTAGCACGGAACAATTTGAGATATTCTCAGATCACTATACTTTGATTATGTAATGTGGGCAAAGTGGCATAATGGATACAAACCACGATTGTGAACAATATATATCTTAAGAAAAGCTTTGAGTTTTTTTTCTTGAAATAGAATTATGACAATTTAATCATCACCATTCTCTGTTCAGATAGTGCAAATGGCCAAAATAAGCATCTACAGGTCAACCAGTACTAGGAATATATTTCAATAACTGGTGCATATTTTTTTGGATATAATGAAGTGGTTAACTATATTATGACCATTCAAATCTTGGTGTTGTGCTCTTGAAAAAAAAATGCTTCCAAGCATCAGAGCTTATTGGTAATGAGCACCTCAACACAATAAGTGTAGAACTGCTTGGGTGCTTTTACGTACTCTGCCTATGCCAAAGAAGTATGGCACTGTAGCAGACATTCCAATCAAGAGTGATGATGGGAATTTGTTTGTCAGGAAAAGCGAACACTTTCAGAATGGGCAAAAGAGACCAGACAAATAAAATTCAAGATAACTGGTGCTAGGATATTTAACTTCCATTGTTAATCCTTAAAGGAACATTAAAAATATACTAACCCTCTGGTTTTCAGAAAGGTTTTCAGCTGAAATGTACTGATCATCAGCAATCAAACCAGTGAACTCATATATGTTATTGAATATTGCTCCAACACTTCTTGCATCGCTTGAGTAATATATATAGTGTTTGCCACTCAAAACACATGTCTTCGCATGCTCAACAAGACTTTCCCACATCTTATTTGACATGTTACTGCCAAGAATCTGAAAATATCAGAAGAAGAAAACCAAATTTTAGTTTTAAAGAAACAAAATTCTTAATATAAGTTACAAAGAGGAATAATAAGACTTACAGTTCTTAGCTTCTGTTGATCTCTAACAAGAAGTTGAAGAAAATGTTCAACTGTGTATATTCCATTTGAGTTTAGCTTCTTGTGAAATGCACCATCCTTTCCAATCTTCTCCAATCTCCAAACATCATCCTTTAGGGCAGGAGGGTAGTGTTTCTTGTACACTACAAGAGGGATTATAATTTAAGATCTATATGTTAAGACATGTAACAGTTACACAAGATCAGTAAAGTATATGGAATCATACATTCTCCTCTGTGATCTTTAACAGTAAAAGCCTCCGTTTTCGCCTCCTTAACACGGACACCTTCACAAAATCCTGAAGAGACTCGCAAACCAAGTCTAAATTTCCTGCTTCTTATCCAGCTTGAATTGTCAGTGAAGATAAGCTCTCCAATCGTCCCTACACCTTCTTTGAGAGTCACCTGGAGGTCACCAGTTAAAAGAGGTCTCTTCCCTTCACGTTCTTTCACAATATGGTTCTCAAATTCCTCTTCAGTCCAATCTTCATCTTGCTCTTTATTAAAATCACCCTCAAGCACAAGGACATCCAGTTTTGCAAACGACTCGGGTCCTGAAGTGACTACACGTCCAGTGTTTGCATCCAGCAGCACAACATGTATCGCTGCTCCCTGCTCACCTTCCACTTTTCCTCCTGTAAATAGTGGTAGTGATAGCCTAGACCTAAACTGAAGCTGGAGATTGATACCACTAGGACCTTCAATTCTTTTGGGAGAGCTCCTGTTTTTATTTGGGATATGAAGGTCAACTTAATGTGGAAAATCCAGATAATACTATAGAAACATGTATTTGTATTCCTGCATTAGATGCATTGACAGGCGTAACCATAATGAACAAGTTCCACTATCCTGTACCTTCCTTGAATTCTAGCAGGAGTTGCAGCTGGACCCAATTTGGCTAAAGCACGCTCTACTTCTTCACTAACCTACATAGCAAATATGGGTGACGATCAATCATGAAAGCAGCCATATGGGTAAATAAAAAGGTTCCACAGCAGATAATAAAAGGATATTTTTCAACTCACAACTCTTCGCAGAATCGGCTCAAGTGATGAACAAAGCTTTTGTAAACTGTCTACTTTGAGGGCTTCTACAATGACACTGCAAAGAGACAAGTTTCTTAAGTAAGCTAACAGAGAAGTATTAAAACATGGTAAAACAAAAGTCAAAGATGCAGAGTAACCCAAAGGTATCATATTCAACCCAACATAAATGATGTGAAAAAAAAAATCTTAGGTTTGTCATTGTGTGCCTTTGTTATAGAACTGGTGATCAAGATAAAATGCATCAACTGAAGTATGTTTCACATGGTTTTCATACAGCCCTATAAAATGGATATTCAATAGTTGATTGACAATTGTCTATTAGGAATTGTGTCCGTCATTCAGAACCTCATATCATGACATAAAATCTCCTGTAGTCATTTGGAAAACAAGGGCTGAATTGTTGCTACATTACCTAAAAAAACGAAGTAATGTAAGTCCTCATTAATTGCAACAAAGAAAAACTAGAGGTTCCAATAAGAAATACCCATAGTATGACAGTGCACTTAAAAAGTATAGATTTTAGTACGACAGTACACTGAAAAGTATACAGGAAATGGATATCACTGTTGAACAGACTAAACCAAGGCATAAGCTATCTGATGAATTGTGGATGGACTACAATTTTGAGCATACCATCCTTGTAAGCACTAAGCAGTTCCTACGTTTAATCTGACTGTCCAAAAGTTGTTCTCACTTATCTATTGGTAAAGAAGAGGGTTAGCTTAAATAAAAATCTGAGAAAACTAGCAAGGTGGTACTGCCAACAAACGACAACAGGAACATGGATTACTCGCATAAAGGGTTAAAGAAAATCTGAGAGGAGCCTTGGTCCCACACTCTCACTAGGCACCAAGTTCGAGCTTCCTCTTTTATCTTTGCAGGAAAGGTGGTTAGAGCTACAGTTTTGAGCAACGAACTCTCACTTCAATCCTACCCTTAATTTTTGTGCGGAAGAAAAATCCAGTGAACTAATCCATCCAAATGAAACTAAGACACTCAACATATACCGCCTAGTTCTAACTTTTTGAAAGCATAAGAACAGATTTACAAATCCAAGTACTACTCAAATACAGACTTGACATTATCTACACAGCTACTAATTCACTATATTTGCTAGGCCGGAACCAATGCCACATGAACAAAAAATCTGAGCACACCTGCACCTTCACACTATAAATTGCAGTTACCATATCTAACTCACAGTCAAACCAAGTTAGGGATCAAAGTTCCAGCGAATCTAAGCTACTATACAAAGTAAAGTAGCCCGAACTAACACCCGCAAATCCTCCCGCCAGCCAAATGAAACCATTAAACCATCCCACACCACATCAGGGTTCCCCGCACCCACCTCGCGAGGGCCGGGACGCGCGGCCGCTTGGGCGCACGGTCGTCGTCATCCCCGCCGCCGCCGCCCGCGTCGAGCGCCCGCTTCGACCCCGACCGCTCCAGGTGCCGCCCCTGCCTCTGCATCGCCTCGCCTTACCCCCCACTTCCCTCCTCCCAGCCCAGATCTGCGACCACCCAAATCAATTATTAAAAACAAAAACAAAAAAAAAACAAAGCGGGGTAAATTAAAACAACAACAATCCAGCTCGCCCAGACCACGATCGAAGGAGCGCCCGCGCGCGGCGCGGGGTACCGAGTCGCTCGCAGCCGCCGGCGAAGAAATCCGCCGCCGCGGCGCGTGGAGGAGGAGGAGGAGACGCTCGCGGTGGTGGTGACTAGGCGACGACTTGGGGGGCGCGAGCGAGACAGCGGCAGGAGGGGGAGAGATCTGTGGACTTGGCTTGTGAGTGGGTGGGTGGCGTGCCCGCCTCCTTTTTTTTTTTCGTTTTTCTTTTATTCTTTTTGGGCCTTTGGCCCGCGCCGCGCCGTCCCAAGTGTTTTGTTTAGCCGGTTTTTGTCGGGGGATGGCCCACGTGAGTGCTTATTAGAGCAAGCATAATACAGAGAAATAAGATGGCTGAATGCTAAGGTGTCCTAGAGATGAGAGAAGATATATGAGAAGCGGGGCGTAAGTTTATAGTCAGCTTAGATATAGAAATTAAGCAAATCTGTGAGACAGGCAGATTGACCATATATTTATAGTGAATAGTTAACCACTATATGAGTGAGCTGAGAGATATATAGGCTATAAAGATCTATACAGTAAGCAACTGTTTGTATTATTACCTTTGCTCTTAGCCTCGCGCAAGCTTGACTGACCGGTGGGGGCCAGTGAGAGGTGAGACCCAGGTGTCATTGGGAAGGGTGGGCGTCATTCATGGCGGCTTCGCGGGGATAAGAAGAGCAGGTATAATACAGACTATAACCCATCCATAAACATATATCAAAGAGATAAAAAAGAACACTGAAGAGTAGCGGGCTATGAATTTATAGCCAGTTACAATATGGACTGCAAGACAAAATGTGTGTATGATATGTGAAACTATATATTAATAGTACAATATATATTTATAGATAAGTATTATATGAATTGGTTATTAAATTGACTAGTAGTTGGCTGTATTATTAAACTTGCTCCAATGATACACTTGATCATTGGGCTTGTTTGGATGCTTCGGGCTATTAAATATCCCTTCGGAATCTTGCTATTTAGGAGTATTAAACGTAGATTACTAACAAAACCAATTCCATAACCCCTAGGCTATTTTGCGAGACGAATCTAACGAGGTATATTAATCCATGATTAGCGGATGATTACTGTAGCATCACTGTAGCAAATCATGGATTAATATACCTCGTTAGATTCGTCTCGCAAAATAGCTTAGGGGTTATGAAATGGGTTTTGTCAGTAATAAACGTTTAATACTCCTAAATAATAAGATTTCGGAGGGCTATTTAATAGCCCTCCGGATCTAAACAGGCCCATTGTATTTTTCTTTCCGTATATAAGGGGATTGTGCACTGACTTATTTAGCGGCGTCTATCACCGACATGTGGGTCCTATGTAGTGGGCCCTACGGTTAGTACTCCGCCCCGTGTGGAGTGTGGACGTGGAATTTTTTGGTGAAAGAGCACTCACTCACTGGTCATTGGTTGTTGTAGATTGCGTTAAGTAACTGAGGTTGCGTGGATAATACACGGGTGGCAATGCTGCAACTTGTTCCAATGATATGGCTCTAGTAAAAAAGTCCAAATTTCTATTATACAAGTGTCGTAGTTTTGCTCTTCAATTAAAGAGAATATGTATGTGGGTGTGATGGTGACAATTTTGCACTCTTCTCCCTCCAAAAATCTCATAGAATTAATACAATACAAATCATTTGTTAAGCGCAAAACAAATTATTTATGTATTCTAAATATTTATTAAGGGCATTCCTAGAGAGATACTCGAATGGTACTATCTTACATAGTAGAAAAAAAATATGTGCGTGTTTCAATGCGGTTACTAATTAAAAATTAGATGTGCCAAAACTCCTTACAATTCACTAAACTACAAATGAGAGAGTGATATCAATTAGTTAAGTTCATGTGCATCACATTACTCCGAGCTATACATAGCCCAGCTCGATCAGCTTTGAGATTTATGTGCTAACCTTAGTACCTTACATAAATAACCTCTATAAAATTACTTTGCACCGATAACTTCTATCCATATTTGCATTTTGGTGCTTGTTTGATTCCGATTTAAATGCTACTGCAATATGAATAGAGCAACTAGCTCTATGGTCGTTGTTTCAAGTAGAGTACTCTATACATATATACAATACGATCCAGTTGTACAACTCATATACAACTAGAGACACGTAATCCATAGATCAATTAAATGAAAGTATGTTTATATACACTGTATAGTTATTTGTAACCGTTGATCAAATTCCATCATACATGAGTTGCACAGTAGGGTTGTGTCAGGGTTATGGATACCACATACCTAATAGTAGTTGACTAAATCTCGGCGGGACCCACCACATACCATGTCTTATACGGAAACAACCTATAGGAGGGGTTCCACATAAGGAAGGATGAATAGAGTTCTACATGGAAACGATAAGGACTACTCGGATTGTATCCATATTGGTTTCCCTAGTTCTACTTGGACAAGGGGACACCTATAAGTATAAATACAAGGCCCCCTAAGAGAAGAGGGGACATGGAACAATAAATCAAGACACAAGATCAACATACAAGCCAATATATGTCAAGACAAGACGCCGTATATCGACTTCAGAGATAGGCATGGCTAGTCCCCTACGGTGCCTACGGATACCGTTAGGAGAGATATAGAGCTGTCTCTGATCTCGCTGGATGCGGATTCAAGGAGGAAGGCTACCCTGTTGTCGACTACGAGTCAGACTTTCAAACCGCCATGTCGACAACAGTTAGATAGGCTACCCCAAATATTGTACTGGTATGATTATGATGAATAAGAGCAACGACCGGCTTCGACCAACAGGATGTAGGGCTATTACCTGACATTTCAGGGGCCCGAACCTGTATAAAAATCCCTGTCTCCATCTCTTTTACCTCAATCTCGCATATATCCTAGTACCAACGATCCCCATACTATGCAAATACCGGAATCGCAACATCAAACGTCGACAGGTTGTACTCCTTATTTTCCAAAAATGTTGCCAATGGACAACCATTGTCCATTGATGCACTCCAAATAATTTTTTACATTGTAGTCTCATACTAGTTAATTAGAATTCCTTTTATTGAAGAAAATGTACATGCATGTGAAGGACCAGTTACCTTATTAACAATATCAATGTTATGAGATAAATTACAATAGTTTCTAGAAATTAGATAGAAAATGTCCAGATTAAGTTAGCACACGCGTGCGTTCAGTCACTTTTTCAAAAATCTTAGGTTTGTCGATAAACTATAAGGATAATGCCTTTATCTTGTCATTAAAAGGTTTAAATCCCATTCAACTAGCTTAGGTATAGAAATAACCTAATACTAGCATCATGCTTTTAATTATTTAACTATATAAACTTTCTTGTTGGATAATTAATTGTACCGACGGTACACCGACTTGTGGGATATGGATACATGAATTTGCAAAACGTTTATTCCAGTGCAAGAACTTATCAAGACCAAATGAGTATGCCATGGTTAAAATCTTACCGAGTTAACTTGGCACGCATATCAAGATAATTCCTTCTACACATCTTGTGCTCGGATAAACGTATATGCTGCATATGTGCCATCCTAATTATCTTCCAACTTAGCATTATTAGTCACAGTGTGTTCGCATGCATGAGATAAGTCTCTTAACCAAAATAATATTTTACAAGTTCACGTACTAATTAAATTGTTACCAGACGTAGTCCGGTATCACCAATGGTTAAAAAAACACAATACTTTAAATTTTTTTTATCTTGATAAGATGATTTTACTTCGGTCAAAAACTTGATATTTGCAGGTCAAACACTTGGAACTTAAATATAATATATGCTCACCTCAAAGAATAAATTTAAGCTAACTTGGATTGAAAAATCCAACTTAACAAAGTAATAGTTTTCTGAAATGCTAATTCAAATGGCTTTTGTCTCTGTCCTTTTTACAAACTTCTTGTTCAGATATTGAAATTTTAACTTAACAAGCTACTCATAAGATACAAATCAAGTTGGTTGAATGCACCATAAATTATAAGATTCGAGTCACCGATAATATACAGTATATGGCTTTCATCACCCTTCGATCAATTTTAAATGAATGAATGAAATGGATCGGGGACCGGATGCAACGTACCTTCATTCGCCGGCCCTCATGCTGATTATTTGAGAGTTAAAATTAATTACATCAATCCAGAGGTGTGTCGGCCCTATTATGAAGAGAAATCAAAGGCAATACAAATGAAACACCGCATATTCATGAGTAACATATATAGCGCTCAACCCTCTCAAGGCCATTCACGGGCTCTTGATCACTCTGAGCTGATTCTGTACTTACAGTCTTTCCACAGTTACACTGTGGTTTTTTTGTCAGCTCATCTGCTATAGTAACATGAATTACTCGACAAAGCATATGGCTGTGACAATATGTGGGGGATACATAGTCTGAACTGAAGCAGTGCACTGAAAAGATTATTCATTTCAAGGTTGATCTGCAATTCTGCATCTCTGTCTGTACTCTGTACTAGATCTCTGCGACACAAACTCATGGCTCATGCAGGCTTTGCATGTCTAGCTAGGAAGAACAAACCAACTAAATGCAGCAGCAACCAGATCTTTGTTGCTCTAATAAGTGCACATCATGCAATCACCTGGTGCGTCCTATTCTAGATATGTCTCTGAAACACATCATATCGAATCGTAGCTGTCAGTTTAAGCTTGAATCCTCTCATGGCACAGTACATATGTACATATATGCTACTAGGAAACCTCATGTTTCAAATGGCCAAGAACTATTAAAAAGACTGAGATGTGAGTGTTGTATACTGCAGAAACTAAGGAGATTAAGGTGATACTACTACTACTACTACTATATATAATCCGTGCCCATTGTGTCTGATTATCATCCCTACTAGTAGTTCTTACAAAACAAAAAAAAATCCTAACTTAATACTACCTCCGCCCCATAAAAACTGAATTTCTAAGGAATTAAGGACATATTAGCAGGATAAAAAAAATGACTACAATAATCCTATTTAATGAACACAGTACATGCATACATGCCATATATAAACTTGATTAAAAGGAATGTTGAAACAATGGGTTAGAGATGGGATGGAAGGAAAGAAGATTACAATGAAATGTAATCAGTTTAATATGTCCCACATTAGTAGAAATATAACTTTTATGGGACAAAGGTTCAAAGGTAAAAATTTAATTTTTATAGGACGGAGGTAGTAGAATGCAACAACACAAAGCAGCTGGATAATTAACCGCAACTGAAAAGGCAATTCTAGGACAGAACATTTACAGATGACAAGTACTACAAACAGGCATGCAGCTCCACATGTAAAAAAAAAATACCTTCTGATCTGTCATCAGTGTACCTAACAATGCATGCACGAATGTTCCCCCCTGAACTGAACACTGCAATCACTCAAATCACAAGTCCCATGAACCACACAGATGACAAGATCGACCAGATGGCACAAAGAGAGGAAATTAAATTAAGGAAAGAAAGCACAAGAAATAACGGGAAAGGGATTCAAGCAAATTAACGGACAAGAGCTAATTAAGCTAGGGACAAGAAAAAGCACACAAGAGCGCTTCATAGCTTCAGGGACAGGTCAATCATCTCGTCGGCGAGCTCCCCGTTGCCCCTGCCACCGGCGGCCGACGAGCCGCCGGAAGAGTAACCACCCTGCATCAGGCGGTGGTGGTGCGCCGGCCGGCCCCTCATCCCAGCTCCTCCCCACACGCCGGCGCCGTCGAGATCCGCGGCGGCGCGAGCAGCAGCAGGCGGCGCGCTCTCGCCGCCGGCAAGCACCGCCGCCGCCGCCGCCGTCGTCCTGCCTTGCTGCTGCTGATCCCCCGAGGAAGCGGCCGCCGCGGCCGCCGCGGCGGCGGCGGCGGCGAGAGAGGCGGCGGCCTCGCGGCCCCGCCTGGCGAGGTTGCGCTGCAGCTTGTGCGCGTTCTGGTGGCCGCCGAGCGCCTGCGAGCTCCGGAACTTCCTCGGGCAGTAGCAGCAGGAGAAGAGCGCCTGGAACCTCGGCGGCGACGGCTGCAGCGACAGGCTCAGCGTCAGCCCTTCCTCCCCCGCCGCCGCCGCCGCGTCCTCCACCATCCCAAACTCCATACGAGGTCGAAGCGAGAGAGAACAACAACAACAACAACAAGAAGCTATAGGGAGAGACAGCAAGCTAGTGCGCGAGGAGAGGGAGAGCTCAGCTCGCGACCGATGATATTATGGCGCGCGCGCGGCGTGGGGTTGGGCCCTGTCGGGAACACGGCTGTTACAGTTACATCCACATCAACACTACACTCGTCGCAGTAAAGCTCACGAGGTTAAACCGTGTGTGTACATGTCCATGTCCATGTCGTCGAAAAGGCGACGGCGACGATGTATGGCGGGCGCGCGTCCTCAGTGTATCAGAAAATCGATTCGTTGGTGTTATAACGTATCTATCGATATCATAGTAGCAATTATATTTAGATCATAATATTATAATATATAGATAAATAATTTTGCTATAAGTTTTATTAAAAGTCGTCGGTATCGTCTGTCCCTAGGCGACACGGGCCGAGGGGCTAGCTAGCCAGCCCACCTACGTAGCTGGGGAGATAGCATCTGCATCGATGTGCATGCATGCATGTAGCATGCGCGCGAACGTACGATCGACGAGCTCTCTGCCGCTGTGACTATAGCTTTAGGTTGGTTGATTCGCTGTGGCTAGCCAGCAAAAAAGCTATGCATGTACGTACGTGTGCATGCGTGTACGTGTCGCGTAGACGCTGGGCCAAGGCCACGCCGGGCGCGCGGCCCTCGTCGTACGTCGTCGTCTCCCCGGCGATGTGGATGGATGGATGGATCGATGAGGCGCCATTACTGTTGATCTGGATGTGTGCATGTGCATGGCACTGTGCGCTCGCGAGCTACTCCTACCTAGCTAGACAGCCACAAGCGCATGCATGCACTGCAATCCCCCCCCCCCTCCCAACTACCTACTCTTATTTTTCATGCGTACGTTTTTCAAAATATTAAACAGTTTATTTTTTTAAAAAAGTTTATATACGAAAGTTACTTTAAAAAACTATATTGATCTATTTTTTTAAAATAAATAAATAAATACTTAATTAATTATCTGCTAAGAAACCGCTCCGTTTTTCATGCGTATCGTTTAGGTTAGGAACCCAAACCTGCGAACAAAGGAAATGAAACGAGAAGGAGGGGAGAGGGGGCTGGAAATCGAAACCTCGCATTTGCTATACCTGGCAACGAACACATGCATGCGAGATTCGTCGATCGATCGACGTACGTGACACGGACTGACCGGTGAGACTTTGAAGGTATAGTATATATATGCATGCCGCAACAGTGGTGGTCGATCGATCGATCCATCTCTTTCTTCAAAATAAAAAATTAAAGCAGCCGATCGGCGATCGATCTATCTAGAGCAGCGACAGTCGAACCCCCAATCCGGTTGATCGATCGATCGATCCGGGGAACGGGAATCCCAGGGAGCATGTCGCGTAGTAATTATAGACATGAAACGAGTGTACAACACCTAGTACGCGCATACTACCTCCGTGTTAAATTATTCTCGTCAATCTAGTTACGTTATGTCAAATATTTTTGTATCTTTTTTTACCATCGGTTTTTAGAAATTTATATAGTTTGACATCATAAGATTTTGTTTTTATATTCATCTCACTATGTTATATTGTAACCGTTTGACAACCAGTGAAATCCGACCAAATTTGTCAAATGAACGAATAGATTTCAGTTTGAATATTATTAATTTTGGGCTAGCTCAAAACCTCTTGTTTATTTTTTCACAAGCATTTTGGGCTAGCTTAAAACCTCTAGTTTCACTTAAAATGTTTCGCCGGAGTCCGGACTGCTCTCGAAACCTCTGGTTTTCCTAAAAAGTGAGTGGTTTCATCAATTTTTTAAACCTTGTGAGAGACAATAAATGACTTTTTTCAACGACATAAAATAATAAAAAAAGAAATTATTACCACTCTCAGCGACAAACGCAAACTGACATGTGTAACATAAGTAACCTTGCTCAATCTCACGTGGAAATAAATATTTGGTTACGTGCCTGTCGATGGAGACTAGGATGCATGTACACTACGCCAGATCGGCCTATCTGTGATGGCCTATTAGTGATGGACCAAAGTGCCTCGTCGGAGGTAACCTCATCTATGACGGGTACAATAAATCACGTCATAGATAGGGCTCAAGAAAATAACCCGTCACAGTAGGAAGGGCAGTCACCACAACATGGGTGTAGCGCCCGTTCCGTCGTGGCGCCTAGCGGGAAAATTTAAATTCTAAAAACCCTAATTGCGAAAATTGTTTCTTTGCTCGTAGTCAGTCTCCGTGCCAATTCCAGATCTCAAATCCCCAATCCATCGACGAATTCAAATCCCGAATCCAATTCCTTCCCAAATCGAATTCCTCCGCAAAAGTCTATTTTGCCTCCCTCGGGTTCGGTGGGCCGATTCCCTCTCGGCCCATCTTTCTCACTCTCTCTCTCTCTCTCCCCCTCTCTCCCTCGCTCTGCCCACGCGTGCGCGAGAGCCGCGCCGAGTGCCTCCCCCTCGCTCAACCTCTCCCCGCCTCCATCCCCGGCGAGCTCCCCGCCCGCGAAATCGGCCCCCGCGCGCCGTTGCTTCGCGCGCGTGCCCGCGTGGTCGCCGCCCGTGTCGTCTGCGCCACCCGACCCCGCTGCCCTGCCGCGCCTGTAGCCGCGCAGCCGCTAGGCCCTGCAAGCCAGCACGCGTGCCCGAGCCGCGCCGCTCAAATCGCCACGCGCCGTTGCTTCCCGCGCACGCGCGCCGTGGTGGCCGACCGCCTGGTCGCCGCCGCCGTCAGCATCTGCCGCGCCTGCCCGCGCCTGCCGCCCGTGTCGCCGCTCCGCTCCACACCGCCCCCGTCGTCATCGCCGTCGTCACGACCCGGCCCCGCCACCTCCGCGCAAGCTTCCAAGGGATGGAGGCAGAGCCCCTCCTCCCACTGCCCCGTCGTCCTCTCTCTCCCTCCTCCTTTTCCCAAAGTAGCAAGGGGCAAGCCCCCCTTTCTTTCTTCTTTTTTATTTTTCTCTTCCTCCGCCGGCGTCATCCTCCCTGTCGCCGTTTTGGCCGCTAGCCGGAGCGCCAGCTCGCTGGCTTGACCACCCAATGTCGGTTCCTCCCTCCCAAACCGACATTGTCGCCCCTATAAATCCAAGGTGCCCTCCCTTTCTTTCCCTCTCCCTTTCGCCCTCGCTCCACCGCACCATTGCCGCCCCCCTCTGTCTCGCCTCCGCCGTTCGTCGCCAAAGCACCGGGAGAGCCGGTGCGTGCGAAGGACGCGTGAAGGGGACTCCGGGCGCACGTCTTCCTCCTCTTCCCCGGCCCGAGGCCGGAGCGATCACGCCCCGCGCCGTCGGCCATCGTCACTGTGCCCGCCCGCACGGTAGTGCATCTCCCCGTTCTCCCTCCTCGCTCTATCTCCCCACCTTAGACTCGGGTAGTAGCACGAGTAGCCCCCCCTAGCTAGCTGGCGCCGCCCCAACCCTTGCCGCCGCTCGCTGTGTGCTCGCCGCCGTCGCCGCCCGAGCTCGATAGCGCCTCTCGTCGCTGGCCTCGCTCGGCGTAGCTCCGCCCAATCCGGCGCTAGAATCAAACTCCGGAGACCTCGTAGATGCTCTAGTGTAAATGAATCGAACCCTAGTCGTCTCGTCGCCGTTTCCCTCTTCTCTCGCCGCCGGTGGTCGCCGCCGCAATCCGCCGCCGTCGAACTCCCTCCGGCGAATCCGAGCCGTTGGCTCGTCTCCCCTCGTTCCGTGCAACCTCCCGGTGTGCTCGCCTTCGCCTGCCTCGCCGTAGATAACCCCGTCGCTCGCCGCCGCCGTCCGCCGTCCGTTCTGGCCGGCGTTGTCGTCTTCCTCCAGCCGGCCCGCGTGGCAGCCACATAGGCGCCACGTCGGTGCCAGCTCGGCCAAGACCGGGTCAAGCCGACCCCGGTCAGCCGCTCCCCTCGGCCCCGCTCGCGCGCGGGGTCCACCACAAGCCGTGAGGCTGCGTGTGGGCCCGCCGCATCCGCGACCACCGCGAGCCGCGCGTGCACCGCGCCTCCCCTTCCCAAACCCTAGCACGCCTCGCGTGCACCTCGCTCACGGTGAGCCGAGCCGCCGACAAGCGGGTCCCACCCGGGACCACGCAAGGTGGACCCGGCCCACCGGCTCCCTCTCTCCTCCCCTCCCCGCGAGCCCCCTTGGGCCGCCCCTCAGGCCGGCCGGCCTAATGGCAAGGCCGGGCCGTGCCAACCCCTCTCGGGCCGCGCTCAAGCCGCCCGCAAAGTCCGTTCCTCCTCCCTCTTTCTTTTCTTTTTCGAAAGGGTTTAATTAAATCCTTTTTCCTTTAGATCAAAAATCCAATAATCTTAGAAATTCAATATCTTTCCAACCGTAAGTCCGTTTGACTCCGTTCAACTTCCAAAATTCCTCAAATCTCGAGATCTATCTAATGGCACGCTTAGAGGTCAATAATAGGGCTTTATTTTCGCCGTTTGTTGAGTTGTCCCGTTTTGCGTGTAGTTTCGGAGCCCGAAGACCCGCAGTGCGGGGATTTCGAGGATCAAGCTCAAGGTCTCGAGCAAGGCAAGTGACCTTTGATCATCTTGCACCTATAATTTAAATCTAAGTATTTCTTTTTCGCAAATATTGCATGAATAGGATTTACACAAGTAATTCGGCCGCGGCTTGCGAGATAGCCTGCCGGCCCCCAATCCTAATTGCTGCAATTACCCTCCTTGAATTATTGAACACTTAAACGTCCTTTATCGACCGTTGTGCTTCGATGCACGGGCCTTCGGACACGCGCATCGGAACACCCCCCCTCAAAATTTAAAATATCCAACGATGGGTAAAACTTGGGGTTTTACAAAAGACTTGGAAAACCCGACACCTGGGTCGGTGCTTGCGAACTAAATGAATTTCCAAAATCGCAGACCGGGGAACGTACTGGGAATATGGTTTCCTGCTCTTGCACTTAAGGACTGTTTCCTTGGAATTTCATCCGAACATAAGACAAGTGCGACCACATGGGTGGAATGGGACACCCCTGGCTGAGTAACTAGCTAATCGGGGGAGCCATGATGCCAAGAGACATGTGGATTCAACGGGGTGGTGCCGGGGAGAACCCCCGGGTTTCCTGGCACAGTATGGTCTGGGACCTAATCT